TAAAGTTTATAAATAGTTTTACTATTTATAAAAAGCTTTAAATAAAATATTAATAATAGTTTATAAAGCTTATAAATTATTATAATTCCTTTAATATTTTAAATAACTTTTAATTTAAAATTATTTATACTTTATTAAAATTTATTATAATATCTTTTATAAAAATAATAAAGCTTAAGTACTTTATTTTAATAATATTAAATTTATACTTTATAATGTTAATAATTAACCTAGCTTTAATAAGTTTATTTAATACTTTATAAATATATTATTTATACTTTACTTTTAATTATTATAAATTAGGATATTATTTAAATATATTATAATATATTTATTAAAGATATTAAATAAAATATTATTAATATAATATTAAAATAAGCTTAATATATTTATTATATTAAAGTTAATTATTAAATATTTAAATAAATTAAACTTAATAATAAAAGTAGTTTTTTATTTATTTTTAAAAATAATTTAAAAGTAATTAAAAGCTATTATAATATTTACTTTAATATAAATTTTAATATAATATAATATATTTAACATTTTATAAATTAATAAAATAGGGTACCGATTTTGGACTATTATATTATTTAATCTTTAATAATTTATATATACCTTTATTTCCCTTTTTAACTTTTAAATAAGGAAAATAAGTATTATTATTAATAATATATTAATTTATATAAACTTTTTTATTAAATAATCATTTAAATATTTTTAAATTATTAAAAGTTTTAAAGGGGATATTAATTTTATTATTATATTAAATAATGATTTCTTTAATATTATATTTATCCTATAGTTAAATAGTTAATATAATAATAATTAATTTATATTTTAAAGTAAAAAAGCTTTAATTAAATTATAATATTTTTTTAATAGTTTAATAAAGATATTCTTTTTTATAAGGGATTTCTTATTTTTTAAATATTTAAAAATATTTTAATTTATTATTTATTATAGCTATAATGCTTTATTAACCTATTATTAATAGGTTTAAAGGTAATTTAGTAATACTTTATTATTTTTATTTATTTTTCCTATTAAAATGCTTTATAGTATTTTAATAAAGGTATTTAATATAATATCTTTAATTAAATAATTATTTTTTATTTCCGCCTTTTATTATTTTACCTTTTTAAATAAGTTAATTAATATATAAAACTTTACTATAGGTATAAATTAAATTATAATACTTTTTACTTTATATAAAAGTAAAAAGTTTAATATTATAAAAATTTATATCTTTATTTAATTATTTTTTTAATAGGTTTTTATTATTAATATAATAATTATTTATAATATAGGTCCTAATTATAGGTTTTTTTTAAATTAGTTTATAAGTTTAAATATATCTTTTTATTATAATAATAACGTTTTATTATATTTTTATTTTTATATTTTTATTTTTATATTTTTATTTTATATATTTTTAATATATTTAATTATTAATTAATTTATAGGTTATAGTATTAAAGCTATAGTAATTTTAAAATAATATGTTATACCACGGTATCCTAAGGCTCTTGGAGTACCTGTACTTCGCATATATCACGTACCCTTCCCGTACACGCTTCGAAGGAGATTCTTCCCTTCTTTAAGCTTTAGTCTTGTTGAATACCTACTATGAGACTGAAGAGACTTATGACATTGTACCTGACCTTTGAGATTTAACCTACCCGTGATATAATATTTAGCTTATTTAATAATTATATATATAATATTAAGGTTTTTATAAAGTTTCTTAATATATATTATATTATATATTATTTAAAGATTATTTTTATTTTAATATTATTTATAAAGTATAATACTTTTAATTATATTATAGTTATAATTAATATTTTATAGGTTTATATATATTTTATATTTATAAAGCTTTATAATAAACATTTTAAATTAATAAAGGTTTAATATTTAATTATTATTTTATTATATAGTTTAATTAAAGTATTAAAATAAAGGAATATATTAAAGCTTATTAATTTAATATATAGATTTATTTATTTATTTTTAGTTTTTTTTTTATTATACCTTTAATTATAACTTTTATTAAAGGTTATATATTTTTTACTTTATTTCTATTTAAGTATTTAAATAGTAGTATTTATTTATAATTTTACTTTACCTTTATTATTAATAAATAAAATAAAGTAAAATATTTTATACTTTTATAATATAAATATAGCTTTAATAATTATTTTTTTATCTTTTTTTTATTTATTAAGGGTAGTTTAAATTGCTTAATATAAATTTTATTTAATTATATTTGTCACGACGGGCGCGATGTGCAGTGTCGTCGGTGAATACTGGAAACACACTATTAATTGTAAGGTGACGAAGTAAAGGATGACTTACTAGGTCATGACCTTCGTCAACTAGGCTATATACGCTACGGTAGGCTGAATAGGCTTCCGGAGGTCCGGCAGGGCTATTGACTAGGCTACAGAATAGAACTATCACCCGTACGTAACCGTACGTCATCCGTACGGCTAGCCCAAAGGCTAGGAGCCGTGACTATATTAGGTTATTTATATCCTATTTAATTAATGCTATTAAGGTATATATTAAATAATTTATTTATATTAAATAAAAGGGGCGTTTCTTTTAAAACTTAAAGTTTATTAAATTATTAAAAAGGTTATATAATAATTATATTTATTTTATTATATTATTTCCTTTTAATTAATTTATTTATAAAATAAAAGCTTTTTATAATTTAATATTAATTTTAACTTTTAACCCTTTTATTTATTATTTATTTAATTATTTACTTTTTTTTATTAATTTAATAAATTTAAAAATAAAGTTAATATAAAATACATCCTTTTATTTTAAACTTTTAAATTTTTATATTATTTTTATATATATATTAATAATAATATATAAATTATTTAACGTTTTAAATAGGTTATTATATATTATTTATATTTATTTTTTAAATTTTCCTTAATTATTTATTACTTTTTTAACCTATTATTAAATTTATTAAAAAATACTTTTTAATTTAATATTAGTTTTAATTATATTTTTAATTATTAAATTATATATTTAACTTATTATTTATTTAAATTTAGTTTTAATTTATTAAATATTAAGGGTTTCCCTTTTTAATTCTTTTTATATTTAATAATATATTATTAATAATTTAATATTAATATTATAATATTAAATCTTTATATAATAGATAAACTTAATATAATTTTTAAATTTATTTAAAAGGCTAATAATAAAGGAAAAGGGTTTAATAGAGTTAAAAGGATTATAATTAATATTAAAGTTTAAATTATTATTAATTAAATTCCTTTAAATAAGGTTTAAAGCATTTATAAAATAGTAGCTTATTAATTATTATTTATTATTATAAGTTTCCTTTAATATTTTTTATTATTTAGAATTTATTTATTAATATAATTTTTAAAGTTAAAACTTTAATATAGGTTTATTTTATTATATTTATTTATTATTATATTAAATTTTAATATACTTTATATTTAATATCTTTTTATTTAAATTCCTTTATTAATATATTTATATTTTCCTTTAAGGTAATAATTTAAGGTATTATATCTATTATATAAAGTAATAATTATTAAAAGAGCTATTAAAACTATTTTAAAGTATTTATAAATCCTTATAATATATCCCTTAAAGTTATAGCATTTAAGTTTAAATTTTATAAAGCTATTATAATTATTAAGTAGCTATTAATAATATTAGTAATTATATATTTATATATAAAAAATTCCGTTAGGGTAGAAATGTTAAGGGTTAAAGGTCCTAACTTTATAATATTCCAAAGGTAAATTTAAAGTATTTATATAAGTTAATCCTTAAAGAAGGATATTACCTATTTTTTAAGTATAATAAACTATTATAGTATTGCTTAGCTATAGTTTTATATATTTATTTTGTTATTGTATAAGGAGGGAAGTTCTAGTTTTCGCCTCTTATTCCCTTTTTTAGCGTTATATATAATGTTCCTTGGTCCGTGCTGTATATTGGAAATTAGGCTTCTTTGGTTCCGTGACAGCGCCGACGATTAGGATCACACGATCAAAAGGATTTTGTAGATGAGGCTTCTAGTGTAATCTATTACTCGTGGACTCAATGGATCGCTGGTCGAGAAACAAAGCCGGAACGTATGATGATGACACCTGACAATTATTCCGGGAATGGAAGGGTATCTCCTTGTGCACATCTATCTATATTAGGTAGTGCGCAGAGCAAATCTAGCGTATCAGAAATTCTCCCGTGTACTGCGTTTCAAGTTTCAAAGAGAAGTCCTGCGACTATGTAACTCTTTGGCATCGAGGTAACTAGAATCGGTTGTGAGTGCTATCGACGTATCACTATATATTGCTTCGTGCAGGCTTCACAGCCGTGAACTCACCTGCGATCGCGAAGTACTCGGAAGCGTCTTACCCTTATGGCGATGACATGACAGGCAATGATCAAGACCGACACTGTCCATCTTCGGATTTTTTGTGTTTTAGGATTGGATGAAATGCTCGGGTTTAAACTATACCGTGTTGGCTCTTGGTTACACTTTGGTGCTGCCCGATAGAATGTTGACGTATTGATTGGTTCTTACGATGTGTGCTCAAAATGAATTGGCGTAGCGACAAATAGAGGCATCATTTGGGGCTATGCAGAGTTAATCTTAGACTCAGTATGTGTAATTAAAAGTCATCATTACAGTAAACCATACACCATCCTCGATACATCTTGCATCGTCTATTCAAATATAACTGTTTTGATTAATGTTCAGATCATCGACCTATCCAGGCCAAATACAGCCCTGTAGGTGTCGCGTCCTAGGGGCTGAAACGAGTCTCGACTCCTTGTTTAGCCATTGTCTGTTCCAAGTTGATTTTGGCGGCTTAACCTATTGGACAAACCAAGGCGGGACCTGGGAGCCGCCCCTGTTGTGTCCTTATGGTTGGCTGACGCTTGCTTGTGGGAATAAACGCTCCGAGGTTCAGACCGTTTACAGTATTTCCGTAGTGTGAAATCACCTACCTGCTTACTTACCACTGTTACCAGTAACTAGGAGTACACTTCTTCCTTGGCTCATACTAGAGTCGCTAAATCACACACAGCAGAATACCTATAGAAGCAAGCTAAGTGAATCAACAGAAGCCAAAGCACGAACATATCCCGCAGTGTTATAACTATAGCAGCATGATATACGTAGTGTCACAATTCCAGAATGCATGAGTGAGTGGATGTGATCAGCAGAACATGGATATGATGACGAAGCCAACCAGTATCGCTAGGGGTTTTGTAACAACAGCATGTTTCAATTCTGCTTGAGAAGCCTCTGTTCTTCGCCCATCCCCGAGCACCCTGGTCGCTGCTGTCACCCCGGATTCCTGCATCTTATGATGGGCCTTGGCTAAGCTTGGAAAAAGCTTAACGAAAAGCTTGTCAGAACCCGATCGCTCTGGATTCGGAAAGTGGATCGACGAAACCCATACCAGGGACGCCATCCCCATCAATGGCGCGATCTACTGTATTACCAGGTTTGAGGTATTCGGGCATCATCCCACAGCCAGGGGAATGATGTGATGGGCCGCGGAGCCTGGGGCCTGAGGCGGGCCTCCCTTCGCGGCTATGTGGTAAGTTCGTGCTGGTGTTCGTTGGTATATATATCATACCGTCTCGGCCTCTCACCCAACTCATTTTTCTCTTGGCAAGGCTTCTTGTGTTTCTTTCTCTTCGTACTATCTGGCTGGCCGTTTCTTTCCCTTTCCATATTCCCTTTTCCATTGCATCGCCATCATAGCATTTCCTTTCTTGTACATTGTTGAACACGTCCCCACGACTTTCATCATAGCGACTTGAGCACTTTCCTTCACCTTCTCTTCTTCACTGCCTGGAGTGGTCATCCTTTTCAAGAAATCATTTTGCATTCACCTTCATCATGCATTCTCTCTCTACCGTCTTACTCTTGGCATATGGCCTTTTGGCCATTGCCGCTGCCTCGCCGACCAACCCGATTGAGAAGCGAGGTGTCTATAAAGTCGAACGTGTCCGAAATCTGAACGCAGCTCCTAGGAACGGGCCTCGAGCTCTCCTGAAAACCCTGCGGAAATACCGTATGCCCGTACCGGCCTCGCTCCTCAACGCTGTTGAGAAGCAGGAAGAGCTTATCTCAAAGCGAGAGCCGAGAATACAAAAGGGGATGGGCAATGGCCCCAATGCAGGAGGCTTCAGCGCCACCGCCGAAGGCCGGAAAGGTAAAGGCCATGGCCGCAAAGGAAAGGGTAACGGTAAGGGCGCCGGTACCGCTCCGCAACAGGGGGCTGTAGCAAACAGCAACGGCACAGGTATCGTGGAGAACGTGCCCGAGGCCAACGACGTTGAGTACTTGTCACCCGTCAACATCGGCGGACAGGTCGTGAACCTCGACTTCGACACCGGCTCGTCCGACCTTTGGGTTTTCAACACACAGCTGAGCTCCGCCGCCACTCAGGGCCACGCACTCTATGATCCCGCTAGCTCCGCCAACTTCAAGCTCATCAAGAATGCTCAATTCCAGATCCAGTACGGTGACGGCTCAGGTGCCGAGGGCATTGTCGGTACAGATGTCGTCAACATCGGTGGCGCCGAAGTCCAGGCGCAAGCCGTCGAGCTAGCCACCGCCGTGACCCAATCCTTCGTCAACGACATTGCCACAGATGGATTACTCGGCCTCGCATTCAGCTCGATCAACACCGTCCAGCCCCAGCAGCAGAAGACGTTCTTTGACAACGTCAAGTCCTCGCTGGCGGAGCCCCTGTTCACCGCCGATCTCCGCGCCGGCGAGAACGGAGCGTACGAGTTCGGCCGCATCGACACGACCAAGTTCACGGGCAAGATGACCTTTGTCGACATCGACAACTCACAGGGCTTCTGGCAGTTCACCAGCGACTCTTTCGCGGTCGATGGTGGTAATGCTCAGACCTCAGTCAAGGGTAACCAGGCTATCGCAGACACCGGCACTACGCTTCTCCTCGCTGACCCTGCTGTTGCCGAGGGGTACTACTCGAAGGTTGATGGCGCCGTGAGCGATCAGCAGCAAGGTGGCTTCACTATCCCCTGCAACGCCAAGCTGCCTGATCTTCAGCTCTCTGTTGGTAACGCCATGGCTACTGTCAAGGGAGCAGACTTGAGCTTCGCCCCCGTCGATGCAACTGGACAGAGTAAGTACAATATCTTCAATCCCGCCCTGACCTTTTCTCTTCCTTTCTTTGCCCCGTCTTACCTACATTAACCTCAATGGATAATACAAGCTAACTTTATTCGCTACAGCATGCTTCGGTGGTCTACAGGCCGGCGAGTCAGGCGGTCTGCAAGTCTACGGCGACATCTTCTTCAAGAGCAACTTCGTCGTGTTCAACGGCGGGGACAACACCCTCGGCTTCGCGGCTCACTTCTGATGTATATAGGCACATACACAAACTATGCATAAGACGCAAAAAGGGTTTTCACGGGCGGGATAATAGGTCTGGACATACAATTAGACGTTGGACAATGCGATGAATGATTGGCTGCACTATATCGTTTTCCTTCTTGACTTGTCTGGGCGTCTGAATAATTGAATGGCAAATCTTACTCTATTCCGTATGTAAGATGAGATTTGCAGAGCGCGTGATACTCTCACCTTTCACAGAAAACCCCGCATCCACTGACACCTCCTTGCTTGGCTACCTAGGTAGGTATCTTGTAGTACCGCTGAAAATTTCAATACTCGTGTAGCGAAACAGTCGCCAAATCACGCTTGTTCGGTAGCACGTTGTCTCAAATCATCTCAGCATAGGCCAGTTTGACTGGCGCTAGGCCGATGAGGACCATCAAGCATTTCACACGGCGACAAAGGTGTAACATTCGAACTATGCAGAGCACGGAATAAGTGATCAAAACGGGCAAGTGTCAATATATACCAGAAGCGAAGAATATATACATGTGGATCATACCGCACCAAGCAGCCCCCGTTCGTGTGAAAAGCGAGAGTAAGCAGGGTATCCCAAAAATGAAGCGAGCGTAAGTAAGGTCTGTCCTCAAATCCAACCCGATCCTGTGCGCCCCGCCGATGCAAACCATCCAACCAACATGCGAAGTGCTCTCAATCAATCAATCAATCAATGATCACCACGAAGCAATCTCTCCGTGCGTCTGACTAGCAGACGACCGCTCGCCAAGTGCTACCGGCTCGAACTTAAGCAGCGAGGTTCTTCTTGATGTTGTCGTACTTGGAGTTGGGGTACGAGAGCAAGTTCTGCGACTTGTCGAGGGAGCCGGCGCCGCCCTGGGAGTTGTACGCCGCGGCGATCAGGCTGCCGCTGCCGGTCTTGTCCCCCGAGGCCTCCCAGAACATGGTGCCGCCGAGGCCCTTGCTCTGGACGTAGCTGACCTTCTTCTGGATGGACTGGACGTTGTCGTACGAGACCAGCTCCTTGGTGGCGCTGTCGTACGAGTAGGAGGCGCCGGCCGTGGCGTCGTACGTCTCGCTGCCGGAGCGCGGGAGCACCTTGTAGTCCCAGATGCCGTTCTCCCAGGATCCCGAGCCGACGCCGGAGTAGCTCTGGCCGAGACCGGCGGTGCTCTCGAAAGCGCGGCCGTACAGCGGGAGACCCAGGGTGATCTTGTTGGCAGGAACACCGGCTGCGAGGTAAGCCTTGATGGCAGCATCAGTAGAGAAAGGAGTGTTCTTGGGGTTGGCGGGGTCGGAGTATAGGTTAGCCTGGTGGCCGGAGGTGGTGTCCCAGGAGCCGGCGTAGTCGTAGGCGAGCATGTTGAACTGATCGACACCGGCCGAGTTCATATCAGCGAGCTTCAGCTTGTTATAGTTGTCCGGGCCGGCAGGCAGACACACGCTGAGGAGGAAGTGGTAGCCACTTGCGTATTTGGACGAGTAGCTGTCGAGCTCCTTGCGGATGGCGCTGAGCAGCGAAACCATGTTGCTCGCCTCGGTCGCGCTGGCGGGCCACTCCCAGTCGATGTCGATGCCGTCGAATCCCCAGTCCTTGATGAGCTCAACTGCCGTCTTGGCGAAGTTTTGGCGTGATGCATCTGAGGCGGCCATAGCAGCGAAGCCAGGTGAGTAGGTCCACCCACCGATACTGAGGAGTACCTTGAGCTGGCGGTTTGCCTGCTTCAGCTTATAGAGCTGCTTAACGCAACCATAAGCATTGGTACCGACATCATTCCAAGCTGCGAGGTTTGTTAGTCAACACTATTCGTCCGAAAGAAGGTGGCCAAGGGAACTTACAGTCACCATCATAGTGTTTCTCGAGATCAGCATAGCTGTCAGAGGTGTAGCTATGTGCGCAGTTAGTTATGAGGCCTTTTAGTTACAGCAATGAAGAGAGTAGGTACTTACACAGTACCGTCGCTCCTGAAGTTGGCGAACGAATACAGAACCTGGTTTAGCTGAGACGCTGGCAGCTGAGCCGGCTGGTAGTTTCTGCCATAGATACCCCTAGACCTCGTTAGCCCGACTTTCAAGTATATGTAGACCGTTACGGTTCTTACCAGTTCGTGAAGTACACGACGTTCTTGAAGTTGGCCGCCCGCTCAGTGATCTCCGAGATAGGGCTAGACGCCGCCAACGATGCTGAAAGCAGCAGGGAGGCGAGATTTCGGAAGGAGACCATTTTGGCTTATCTCTCGAGAAGAAAGTGGAAAATATAGAAAGGAGCGTTGATGAGAGATGCTTGATCCTGCTAGAATGTAGGACGATCAGCAAACCTCGGGATATATATACTTTTGCGCGACTCCTATCTGATGCTCCCAGAACGGCCTGGTGGATGGTTATTCACGTGGTTGAAAGCGAACGTGAGACACGGCATATAGGCTGGCCGGTCCTTGGAATGCTGGCTCCTATTCTTGCTCGTGGCGACCTCAAACCAGGGAACAGCTAGACAGACGCCTCCATCCAGCCGGGCGACTGGACCAAGGTCGCAACGTTGCTAGCACACCATGCGTGCGAGTCGAATAGGCTGGTGAACAGAGCACATTCATCCTTCCCGCCAATATTGCACGCGCGATCGCTGCATCGGCATTGGTTACCTGGCGCTGCGATGGCAAATGAACCTCATCCGCCGCTCGACCAACGCGTCCACGGCACGCCGGTGAGGGCCACTGTAACTCTTGCTTGTCTAGTCCGCAGTTGGAAGGTGGGCATTATCAATGTATCTTGCATGCGCAGACCAAGACGCCTCGGCAAACGAAACAGCCTACTTTTGCTCAGGGGAATCTCACGGCCATCGCCAATCAGGACGCTGGCCTTCTAGTAGAGCGCTGTCGCATGCTCTGCTCACGCGAAGACGCCCTACCCATAGTGTTGAGCCAATGGCTGAAGGCAAGGTTGCATTGAAGCTTCATCTCCGACCCTCACACCCCCACCATCATTTGACTTGGTTTGGGGTCCCGCGCCAACCATCAGCTTGCGTTATCATATCATATGAGGAAGCAAGTTCATCTCATCTATCTCTACCGCTCATGCACCTTCGACGATCCTGCTCGCGTGTTTAATTACTTCAGTCGCGCGGTTGCGATAAATTTAGGTATATAACCATAGCAATAGCCCACGAAATTTCGCCGCCAGGAAGCCGACCGTAGGAACGCAAATAAGCGCAAGATCAGATGACTGGCCGAACATCGAAGGAGCTCATCTTCTCAGGAGCTCCATCCATACCAAGACGCCAAAGGTGTCGCGCCCCATCCAATCCCCCGCATCGCAAGTAGTAGACTTGGTGGCTATTTCATCCTCACCATACCCGGTTTGATAAGGTGTTTCCTCATTCAGACTGTTTCCCGTCCAGACCAATGAACTACCGGCCGGGAAAATGAGCGGCTGCGTCCAAGGAAGGTCACGCTTCGCGCGAAAAGTCCAAGGGGAACGCACACCTTCTCCTTTTCCCAGAAGATACACGCACATCTACTACATACATACGATAGCTAGGTAGTTTCCCAGACAAAAAAAAGGTAACCTAGTTATCGCACGCTCTTGGGTTAAGTCGCGGTTGCATCAAATGGCCCCCGGGCTTCCTTTGCAACGTTACCGATTGCTGTGATGAGATGAAAGCCCACCGGCGCGAGCGACTCCGGACTGAGTGAAGTGCTTCTCTACGTGTATATCGCCGTTCTAGTCTCGTGAAATGTGATCGAAGCGGCGTTCGGTGCATACTGCAATAGCCCATGAGGAGAGCAGCACCGAAGTTGTCGGCAAGAGAATGCTATCGTAGGTGTCCTCAAGATAGAGTCTCATGAACCTCGGCAGCGTGACGTAGTATCGACTATACACCACGCTCGTCATAATGAAGTTGTTATCCTATCTCCCCCTTAATAAGCGAACCCAAAGGCGTGGGTTGCAGCATGTGGCGTTTCAACACAAACGTAGTCGTGGTAGCTGTAGCTCTGGCTCTTCCCACCCCCCGGCTTCCCAAGCTATCTACCTACTTAGTTTGCCAACAGGGAGTCGGTCCGAAGACGGATCTGACAGCAACCTCAAGCTGGGAGGAAGCTCGGTAGTCTGCCGGATTTGCGATGGGGCGGTGGTGACCAGGGCCCCTAGGCTCCAGACCCCGATAAGCCGTGCCGTCCCCAGGTAAGACTCATGTGTTGAACGCCATGTCTTAGACTAAGAGCTGGGTAAAAAGCTCAGCGATGGCTAGAAGCGCGCCGGTGAAGAACGAGAAACCCGCCTTTCGGAATGCTAGGTAGCTGCAATCAGGTCGCCTAGGTGAATCAGACGGAGATAGGCCAACCCGAGACAGTGAAGTAACACACAGCGCAAGTCGACGACGATTGAGGCTCTCGAGCCGATCTGCGGATCAGCCACGTCCATCTTTCGTTCCTGAGCCTGGCTGCTTTGGACTGCATTCACTCGGTTCCGACACAGAGTTAGACCCGAGTTAGATGGGCTTGTGTGGCAGGGATTATCTGCCCACTGCCGGGTATGTATGCACTTTGACTTTCCCAGTCGGGAATAATTGACGACAAGACAACATGCTGGAGATGCCTACATAGGTCACCGTAGACTTGCTGCCCAGAAATGCCATGTAAGGGCGACCTTGACAGGTAAAAACCCGATCGGCAATCTCATTGCTATTTCAGGCAGGTCAGGGGCTGGTGAGCTCTGGGGCTGGATGTACCACTCACATCTATCCACTATTGTTCCCTATTGTGGCACTTCGTGATGCTACGACTTTGGCCTAGTGCCTCTCTTCCGAAATCTCACGATATTGCCACTTTCCTCTTCAAAAGAAAACATAGCTTTGATGGCATGATCGATGAAAACCAGCTGCCGTTATGATTGCTGAAGGATTGCTTAGCCGCGCCGAGGCTAGAAACTTGTTATTGTTGTTTTGCCTGAGCTCAAGACATGCGCGATTAGTATTTCAAGGACTATGCATGTCTCAAGGCAAAGAGATCTTGGGCGTCGACTCATCACCTACTTGTCACGACTCTTGGCCTCTTGGGTAGCAGTTGTAAACCATGGCAGTTGTTATCAGATCCATACACAGCATGCTACTGTGAGCCTTGATCCTCCCAACCGCATGCATACGTTACAGTTGTATGGGATCTTGACATGTTACAACCGAGCCCATTCGGTATCATCTCCCAACTGTTTGATATATCTTAATCAGCCTGTCTCTACTCGGTGCATGTGATACCATTACATTGCCGCTTCATCTGGTGTGTCCCATCAGTAAAACAATACTTTCATTGTGACTAGGTCTTCTTGCCCGATGGGTTACCTAGGTTGCAGCATTATACAGTGATGAGTTAGATAATTCTCGGGCTTTACCTCAAAGGTCTTCGAACATACTGTGCTGTCAAGTGCAGCTATGACCCCCGTTCACCGTACTGGATGTCTTTCGTCTCTCATATTGGGGGTATTGTCAATGCAAGCTCAAGACATTCCCAGAGCTGTATTCTCATATGGGTACTAAATATCGAAACGTTCTTCTTTTAAAAGGTTCTCATAGCGGTAATGCGCACTTTAGGCCTACTCGTCGAAGTCTTCTGAAGCAGCACTTCTCATTGGGGAATCACTTCCTCCGAGCATGACTGTGCATCGAGGTGTTAGGCGAGGAATCTTGTCTCAGCACCTCACAATACTCACAACTCATTTTCGTGAGATGTGCCCCAATACATCCCGCGTATTTGTTGCCGTTCAATTGTCCGAATATATAGTATCGTCCCAAATGAGAGACGGTGCTTTTCTCCTCGTATCTTGTTTCACAGCCTGGTGCAAATAGGACCATGCTTGGTTGATTGACCTATATCCGCCAAGACTTTTTCATCGCGCATCAAGTTGTTCGAGAGATGATTCCACCATACCTTTCTTGACGGATATTGGGAGAGGCAGAGCTGTCCGGAGAGCGCACGCGGAGTGTCACATCGAACCATGAGCTTGAACCTTTGTCGAAATGCATCCGATTTGATTGAAACTCTTGGGACCATCGAATATGTAGAGCGATTCCTAGTTATTCACTGTGGTAGGCACAAACATCACGCTTGTCATGGATTGATCGAGAAGTTGAAAGATACGCCTCGAGTGAGAAAGCCTTGAGCATGACTTGTTCTATGCATGAGTCAAACAACCTACTCACTCCAAGGGTGTGCGATCAATTCCCCTCAAGTTGCGAGGGACCAGGTGCTCGGGACTACTGCGTATGTCTCGGCCCGCTCCGCATCCACATCCCGGCGTCGATTTGTTCTCGGCACTTCCCGTGCGCAAGCTTGAGGTGAATTGAATCGGTTCATCTTCCTCAGTCTTAGCTTTCACACTAAACCAACGACGTTTTACATGAGACCGGCGTCCTTTGCGCCTTCGGCCACAACATTCCCCTGTTCAACGCATTACCTCAACAATAAGGTCGATGAGATCTATACGCGCATTGCGGGCGAGGTCGTTGTTCAGTTGAGGGATACCTTGTTAGTCCTGTTTTTCCTAAGCTCATATTAAAGGGCATGAGTATGTTCCGCCGACCTCAGTTCTGAAAAGATATCATATAGTGTTCATAAACAGAATTGAAGGATGCAGAAGACTAGTGTGCACAGATGGATATTGGAAGCACCCATGCTCCAGGTCTGTGACACCGCTCCCCAGGGCCCCTTAGCCATCAAGAACACGATCTATCGCGAACTGCGGGCACCCATTCGCAACGTGAAGATTATGGATGGCTCAAGATAGCGCCTCTTTCCAAGGCGAATGCATTCTCATACTGATGCTAGTAGTGCCTAGCATTGAGCCAAACAGCATTCCGAAGTCCGGCCAGAGCTGACGCAAGCCCGTCTTCGCGGGGTAAGCAAGCATAAAGGTGAAGAGTGAATGCTGAATCCAAATAACCAATGACGGGCGCTTGATCTAGGAGCCATGTTTGAAGCTAGCTCGGCCTGCATCTTTGCCACGATAATGACGGGCGATCTCACTTACCGAGTCTCCCTATTTGGCTGCTCTGACATGGGAGTGTAGCGAGCGAGTGAGTGAGCGAGCATGAGACGCAGATGGGTACGAACGCACGATGATTTCACCTCCATCACAGACAGACAGATGGATACAATGCATGTGCGAGCCGAACACGTAACACTTCGGTTCGCCTGTGCCTCCGCCCACCACGAGTCTGGAAGCGCGCGGCACCATTCTCGTGCGCGTGCCACTAACAGGGAAGAACGTGGTGCACCTGGATGGGCGGGATTGCAGTGCTCCCATTCATTGGCCTTTGCAATCAGTCTCTTCTTCCTTCATTCGAGGATACCCTGATGAAGAGAGCTGAATTAGGCGCAGGACAACGAGTCTCCAATCGAAATGAACAAACAACAATATCACTATTCGAGAGCACTATTCGAGAGATGGGAAAGGTAACGAACGGGGGAGGGATGTTCGGCGATGCAGTTTGCTTTGCTTTGCTTTGCTTTGCTCTGCTCTGCTTTGTTTTGTTTGGGTTGGGTCAGAAGTCAAGGGGCCGATGCAACGTCAACACCTGCTCTTGCACGACGGGCTCGGGCAAATGAGATGATCCAACCTCGTGAATATCCGCCCCGGCCACCGACCTATAGTACGAAGTATGTTTCCCTCACTCTGTTGTTGTCCATTGATCCAATGCCCAAAGTGTTCGAATTGTGTGAGAGTGTCGTATCTCAGCTGACGTGGTTGAATCTAGGTAGGTCTACTACTAAGTAGGAGCGAATGTTGGGCGATCGGCAGACGGGCGAGGACTAATAGTCTAACCCGTTTCACAAGCCATTATAGCAGTCATGTAATGCTATAACGACAGCACTTACAGCTCCTTACAGCGATATCAAGAAGACAGGTACAGGCCATGAAACTTTGCCCAGCTTTACCTGCCTACTACCTAAAGTATATTGCTCGGATACTAGGTAGGTATGTATAGGTATGTAAGTAGGGGCAGAGAGGAGAGAGGAGAGAGAGAGGAGGGGGTAGATACTTACTTCGAGGTAGCGCACCCAAAGTTAAGTAGGCGCGACAAGATCATCACAGCAAGCAAGCAAGCGCACACATATATACAGCACATATATACAGCACATATATACAGCACATATATACAGCACATATACAGCACACATACAGCACATAATTTACAGATTACAGCACACAACAGATGGAACACACATCCAAGGTAGCAAGTAAGGTAGGTAGGTAGCAAGCAAGTATTAGCATACCTACATAGCACACATACATAGCACAGGCGGCACCACACCACACCACACACTACACACACATCACATCACACATCCAAATCAACACGGCCACCTCCCTCCCTCTCCCTCTCTCTCTCTCTCTCCTCTCTTTGTTTCTTCTCTTCTCCCCAACATCTCTTCCCACATCTCTCCAAGACCCATTAGACGTCGTTTTCGTCTCGCGAGATTCGCTGTCTCTCCCAGCTTTATACGTCTTATTCTCCTCCAGATTCGCCCTCTTCCACGCACCCCCAATCCATCCCAAGTCAGTTTCCCAAAACGGACAAAACATCCAGACAACCACACACCGGAACCTGTCGCAACACACCCCAACCTGTAAGTTGTCCATGGCAGTTCTACCCCGTCCGTCTATGCCCCCGTGTCGCATTCCCGCTCGCGTCTGCCTCGAGCGTCGCAAGACATGCCACCCTGCCCCGTTCCCTCGACTACGTTGTCTGCTAATCCTCCATATAGCTTTCGCTGCCCAATCCTCCCGTAGTCGCGTCCAAGATGCCTCGCGAAGGTACCCGGTCGGCCACCGGCAATTCACGTCCGCGCGTCTTCCAGTCGGTCGACACCGCTCCCGCCATCAAGCGCACTTCCAAGCCCAAGGCCAAGAAGCCCGCTGCCGAGCCTGCTGTGAAGCCTGCGAAGCCCGTCGGCGTCACCAAGAAGAAGGTCGCTCCTAAGAAGGATGGTGCCGTTGCAAAGGTAGGTCGAAATACAACATCCCCGCGCCATTGGGTCTTCGCCACCCGTTATGCTCCGGGTGCAGCTGAGACGTCATCTAATCTTCCACTCTTGGTTCTACTCATCTCGCGCTATCACGTCTTTTCCCCAGCTATCGTGTTTTACCACATGCAAATTCGTATCTCTATGTTTCTCCATGTGTTTTTTAGTCCAACTTCGCAGTCGCATCACTATCGTAGCATGAATCCCCGCTAACGCATGCATGTCTCAGGTCAAGGCTGCTGTTAAGAAAGTCGAGGCCAAGGCAAAGAAGGTAATGAAGACAAAAGCCATTTCCATCACTATCTACATTACTCTTCTCCTACGAGTCTATATCTGACATCCCTTTCAGGCTGCCGCCCCCAAGCCAAAAGCCGCCCCAACCAAGACTACCCCGACTCCTGCTCCTGCCGTAGCTGCTAAGTAAATGTCGTTACTATGATGAGCCCTTGTCGAGGGGATGTTCATGTCTATCTGAAGGCGAATATCCTTTGGAGTGGGTGTTTCTGATACAAAAGAATTCTTAATCCCTCACGATAGTCTCATCTCGGGGCGATGGCGGCTGCTTCTTGTGTGTTTACAATGCATGGTCTTATTGAAATTTCTTGTTGCTGCGCGTGACGCGTGCGAGTGCATCCATCAGTCTATCCGCACAAGAAGCGACGAAGACGAACTTGGCAGCAAAAAGTATTGTTGATGAGGCGGGGCTCAGTACTGTTAGGCGTTGGGGAAAGTTGGCGACGGAATCGTATGATGTTTGTATTAATGAGGCCACTGCGCGATGTTTATAGGTTCATAAAATGACCCCTTTCTGGTCCTAATTCACAGGGTGGTTTTCAATGTTCATAATGAATTGTATACAGCCTCTTTTGTTTTGATATTTCTAATTTTACGTGACGATATCGAAAGTTTCTTGGTTCTGATAACACTGACAAAAGTGGTAGCTGCTTCAATGTCTTCCCGAGTAGTTTCCTCCCCGGTACACTCGTGCGTGCCTAGCTTCTCACCGTAGACAGATGAGATGATGGGATTGCGACACCAAGCCCAACAACACGAAAGCGAACGAATACCAAAACCCGGCATTTGCAGGAGGCACAAGGCTGACAAACAAGATATGCGAGAATATCACCAGGTCAAAAAGCTGTCGCAGCACGCGACAGACAGCTGAGATAACCGAGATGTGAGAAGCACATAATTAGAGAGCACCTACATCCGAAGTTATATGAAGTTCAGTGCAGGTTCCAAGCCGTTCAGGGGAAGCTACGATCCCCATTTCAAGCAAGGTTCGCAAGCTTGAGATTATGCTTCCCCCAAGCTTCCACAAGGAAGGACTCATTTAGCGATTCTACTATCCGAGCTCCATCCAAACCTGATGCCAAAATCACAAAAGAAGGCTGTATCATCCAGCTGATCACTCATTCCCATTCCCATTCTCCTCTGGCACTTCCCGAGGGTGGAGCGCTGCCCTGCCGAAGAAAAACAAATTAAGCAGTTGCTGATGTCCTCTACTATCTATGGCGTAAGGAAATCAACACAGTACTCTACCACTATCTATCATTAACAAGTTACACTCGCCATAACTCAACTTACAGGTCAAGGCATCAGTAGTAAATTACTGTATCAAAATCTTCTCTCGAGCTATCCACAACATCCAAGGAACCTTTAAGCACTCAACATGAATTCTCACCCCGGATCAAGCACAAGCAACTCATCATTTTACGAAAAATCCACCCCATCCGACGTATACGAGAAATCTCCCGAGAGGGCCGAAGCCCAACAGACTCATGCGAGTGCTCTCGTTGTCCCTCAACCCCAGCTGCAGGAGGCCACAGAACAGGAGGCGCTGGAACTTACGTCTGATTCGGATTCCCACTCCTCTAGCCGGTTCTTTTCGTCCGAGGGCGAACAGGAAACCCGCCGGCCGTATAGATGGGGAGATAACAGAGAGTCAATGGAGGATATATACCAGCATCCTTCGAGCTACGACCTGTGCGTGGACCCGTGGGTGTCGTTTTGGGAATGCGTAAGTGTATTGTCGCTACTCACTCACTCACTCCATCACAGTACCCGGGGATAGAGTGCAAACTTCTCACACTACGCCTAATCATGATGGAATAAACACCATTGATGACAATTTGAGTATAACAGGCTTTCGAAATCAGCCACCGTCTGACGGCACGCCACAATCTTTTCCAGGCGTATGAGTCCGTGCGCGGGGAAATGGAGTTCGCGGATATCTTAACGAAGACGGGCACGGAGTTCGTACGCACGGAGACGACGGCTCGTCCGGACGAAGAAATGTTGCGGTTATTTAAGATTGGGGAATTGTGTGTGCCGTATCCTGATGAAATGGATATCGATGCCGACGACGATGAGGAGGGGGAAATCATCTTACACGCCTATAAATGGAAATGGTCTGGGCCCGACGGTAAGGCTGGTGAGTCGAGCTATGATGAAATGGATATCGAACTCGATGACAATGACGAGTATTTGACGCGGCTGGAAACTGAAAGAGTCTGAGCACATCGCTATGTACAGCGATCGCGGAGTGTCGGCCTAGTTCAAGCTGAGGTGAAGTTGGAAAGGAGTGTGTTGCTGGAATTGGAAATTCATTGTAAGACGTGGATTGACTAGAACGAAGAAGGCGTTACGTTACGGTTTTGACTAGAAGGCGTGTGTTTTGTATATACACTTCGGGACCCTGTATGAATCGACCAGAAAATGTCTAGATTACTCGTTTACGAGCTACCTGCCACCGTAATGCCTCAGTAGAAGAGCACGTCTCACGGCTATATAAACGTACTACATACCTTATATTCAGCTCTATACCGCACTCCCTATAAAGACACTTAAGGGGCTCACTCAATAGATGATAAAATTTTCTCTTATTAGATATCACCAATTCTCTCTATTCTTAAACGCTTCAACTCGATCATCTCCCCAAAGCGTATAACTTACTCATACCCATCTAGTTCGCATCGCAATGAATCCTTACCAGCATCATCTACTCCTCGTCTCAACTCAGACACCCCACTCATATCAACAGCACTAACGCATCCCCATCGTAACACGATCCGAGAGTATAACAAGGACAAGCAACTAGACTTACAGCCGAAGCTTATCTGCAGTCTAACGATCTACAAAGGCTGCGAAGCTCCTCGGCCAACTAATTCCTTCCCAGCCTCAGTAGCTTGAGTTGATTCTTCTAAGGACGCATTTCCCCGCCAGTCCCAACCGGCTAATTAGATCCCATTGACCCGTTTCATGAAGCGAGGTTTGTATAACCTCACATTCGATATCACTTGCCTAATCCTCTTGAATGACATGACCAGACCGCATTCCCTCCGTAGCCGTAGGCGAACTGCATATCCCGCCGTTCGCGTAACACGGTCCGACACAACGGCAGACCAGATCTTACTTTTTCCGCCTGAGCACAAAGGAACATACTTCTCAAATAAATAAATGCCCATTGTACCGCGAACGCTACCCGAGGAGGAATACAGCAGGTAGTACGCCCGTGATTCACATCATCCGGAAGAAATGCACCGGTGTGGCGCGAAGAAGGGACGGATGTATATTTTACATACGAGGTTGACGAGGCAAGTAGGAGATCAGCGCATATGAAAATGAAGAGACGCTGTTGCGACGATGATGTCGAGTCGTGAAAGACGGGAGGGGAATTAGAAAGGAGTTATTGAGTTACGCGGTGTTGAGCGAGACGGCGTCGGCGAACCGAATACTTCTATGAAAGCCCCATATAGATAAGCGGAGTATGCGACAGATGGCGTCGTGATATCAGCTTTTCCACAGAGTGCTCGAGGACAGGCTTTTTCGCTCAATTGTCGGAGAGGGTTTAGCTGCTTCAGACTTAATGTGGGAGTTGATGAGGAGTGTGTTTTGAGCTTGGCCGTATGGTGCCATGGTTGAAAGTCAGGGGCTTGTGTAGGATTGAGGAATGAGGTAATGGAATCTGAGTTGTGCGAAAGATGTTCATGTTCTCCTCTTCGAAAGACCATCGGGGGTGTAGTGTGAGATGAGTGCATAAGGGGTAGTTAGATACTTCTCTTGACGCAGGACGTGATGATGGTTTGTTTGGTGATTGCTTTTGTTCAATCCGTTTCTCACGAGGACTAAAGACACTCCTAGATGTCGTATTTTGCTTTCAATCATTTAGCGTTGGTTGCGATAGTATTCTGCTATGACTGTTATTAGGCTTCATCCCTCTCTTATTCTAATTGTAAGGTCACTCTCGCTTTTATCCGATGAATAAGCCGCGGATCCCATGCTCAACTACTTTAGCCACCGCACGAGAAATTTACATCCATTGTATGGTGATTTGATAATTGATCTGACCCTTTCTCACATAACACATGCGAGACTTAGTATAACGCTGTTCTCAGTTGCGCAATTCGGGCTCGCAGGTTATAAATCCCATGAACTCCACCTTAGAAAATCTCATTAGAAGTGGGCAGATTCGATAAAATACAGAGAAAATATACAAAAAAGTCCTAAATAAATTCAATTCAAAATGGCTGAACTCTTCTAAAGGGCTTTCTTTCCCAGTAGAGTTATGATCGCAAAGTCGTACATAAATAGTTCCCAGATCAACTCCACCTATCTTCCCGCTAGCCATCGCAACAAAGATTGTGAATCTCATTTCGACAAACCATGCTAAAGTCAACAATCTGGATCGATTTTCCCCGCGAAGCCCAAACACCCAGATCGAGCAACGGCGTGGACGCCGCTTCATCTCGCATTAGCGCGAGAAATCATTGACGCCTCTTTAGATCAATGACGTCGTAGCGCAATATATGGCCATCATCAGTGCCGCGCGATGAGACATAGAATTGCGTGGGAATGTAAAATACGGTAGGATGAACCTACAAATCCGCATGTATCTTTGTGAATAAATTACACGATGGCGCCCGCTTGCTATCCAAGGAAGTAGTTTTTTTTTTTCTTCGCAATTTTGGTGCGCATAATCTGAGTTAGCTAGCAAGGAATGGCTAGCGACACTTGCACGCGCGACATCGAGCACGAGAGCGCAAACACAATGTCCAGCAATACGCGCAGGTTTCCGTCCAACGGGCGCAAGCGCGTCCTCGTTGTTGGCGCCGGTGCAGCAGGCATGTCCACAGCCCATCACCTCGCGCAGCACCCGGAGAAGTTCGACGTAACGCTCATCGACGCAGTGGACTACTGCGGCGGACAAGCGTTCTCAATCCCGCTCGACAAGGACCGGTACGGTGCGTCATGGTGCAATCAAGGTGTGCAGGGCGGATCGTACATCTTCCACCATACGATGACGATGTTCGCGCGCCAGGGGTACCGGGCCGACCCTGTGAAGCTACAGGTATCCTTCGGGAAGGACGATACTTTCTGGACGAATATGTTTCCGACGGAGTTGATAGCGCGACATCAGAAGGAAATATCGCGACTGACGACGGTGCTGAAGCTCATGCGCTGGTTCGAGGTCTTCTTTGCGCTGCTGCCGCTTCGGCTCGTGATGAAGATTTTTATGTTCTCCGAGGAGTTTACCAACTGCGTTGTTTTGCCCATGACGGCTCTGTTCCTGGGTACTGGAAACGCCACGCCCGAGGTCCCTGCCATCATGTTCGAGCGGCTTTGCACGTCCCCGACATACGGCATGTGGTATAAGACTGACAGGCACACGGTCGTCAAGAACCAGCCGCCGATGGTCGTTTTCCCGAACTTCTCCGAATTTTACGAGACGTGGCGGAAGGACCTCGTCTCCAAGGGTGTCAAGGTTCGCCTCTCGACGGAGCTGACAGAGATTATACAACGGGATAATCACGGGGTCGTAGTTAGAGTGAAACCACGTACGCCCGTGCTGGATCATCATAATCCTAACGACGCAGACCTAGACGCGCCGGTCAGCCAGGAGACATACGACGAAATTGTTCTGTGCACTCTTGCAGATAAAGCAAAGGAGGTATTGGGACGTACAGCGTCGTGGCGAGAGAAGCGGGTCCTAGGTTCTGCCAAGTTCAGCGACGACATCACCATCACGCACAACGACTCGGATTACATGAAGAAGCACTACGAGAATTTCTACAGGGAAGACCTAGCCGTGGCCAACACAAGCGGTGTCGACCAGACCTCGCGGCTCAACAACGCAGCGAGTAACTTCCGCCCGATGTACTACATCAAGATGTACCCGCAAGACAAGAAGAAGCTCGAGATGTGTTTCGACTGCACGAATTACCAGAGCCAGTTCCCCGAGAACGTGCCATTCGAGCAACATGTATTTCAAACGATATACCTGAACAAAGACCGGGACCGCCCCCTGTGGTCCGACGGCGAGATTCGCAAGGATCGCATCATTCGTCAGGACTGGTGGCACCAGCTATGTCACAGCTACACGCACTACTTGTTCGTGGTGCCGTGGATGATGTTCTTGCAGGCGCGCAAGCACACGCGGTTCGCGGCCTCCTGGACACTCGTCAACGCGCACGAAGTCGCCGTCATGTCGGGTATCGCTGCCGCCGTCGACCTCGGCGCCGAGTATCCCGAGGATTTAGAGCACGATCGTTTCTCGTTTCTTTGTTTCCGGCTTTACTACCTGCTGGCGTACGGGAAGTGGTACAGACGCAAGTACACGGCAAAGGGTGCTAGCAGTAACAAATCTACGGATGATGCGAGCAACTGGGCTTCAGGGTTGTATGGGAGCGTGTACAAGGGTCCTGGGGTGTCGACAGTTGAGCGACGAACTTGGCGGGAGGAAGTGAAGAAAGGTACCAGCACAGACAATATGGCTGAGGGAAATGCGCCTGGCAGGAGTCAGCCATAGAGGGGAAAGGGGTAGTTAGGCGGTTCAGAGTAATGCAGCCCCTTTACCAGACATTCGAATATCAGAATACATGAAATAGGATATCTCCGAACAGAGTAGGAGCTATGATGTGAGTGATCTTCAGGATTTCCAATGATCTACAATTCCCGAGAAGAGATCCGAAATAAACGTCATGTTACTTGCAGTTACATGTACTTATGACGATAAGAGTCCTTGGTGCTCGTATGTTTAGGATGCTTGTTGAGAGAGACCGAAATGCTATCGCCAGCGCCTCAACGATGAAGTCCTTAATGGTACACGCCTTCAGTGTACCACTACAGCACATGTAAGACGCAGGCTTCTCTGGTAGACCAGCGCCTATCTCCTAAAGACAGTAAAGAAAGGATTGTTGGTTTGGCGTGTTGCTTTGCATCTGGACACCAATATACAAACAGTCAGTCCAAAGGATGATTTTCATGCACGCCGGCTCCTATCTACCACGTCGTAACCGTATTAGTATACGCGCGATGCGTTATTGGTTTAACTGCTGGCTGTCAGCGGCAACGCCGGCGCAAGAGTCAACAATCTCATAACAGAGCGCCAAGCCGGTTATCGCGACGGTGGTAAGGCACAGAATTCAGCGGGCGCGTATTTCGCTCCAGGCATTGCTATTATACGGCACACACCATAGCAAATCCATTTGGAAATGTGACCACCGCTTATAAGCCGGAGTAGATGATGCCATACGGGGGGCTTTTAAAGATTGGGCTACCCTCATTAGGAGTCGCAGGCTCGTTCTGCAAGGCTTTGAACGAGGCCGACAACTTGACCGAGTAGGAACATAGTACCTTGAGCAGAGATACTTTTCTTTCTTACAGCGTGTCTCGAGTACAGCCGGTTCATCGGGTTGGTACGCATAATTACACAGCCGTAACACTAAAGCTGATCGGGTTGATATCATGCCATAGGGACAGTCAAGCATTGTCAGCTCCACCCGAAGTCTCGAGAAAGGAGACGTAGAGATAAACGATTAATATATTGATCATGTGTTGGCAATTCCTTCAGGCGAAGGCAGAGGCACCAACGGCAAGACCATTTGATAACACCTGCCTAGATGGTGAACTATCCGAGCGGCATAGGCGATTTTGAAGGATTGTGGTTCCTGGCACGGGCTCAAAGGAGAAGACAGTCATTTTTGTCACGGGTTCGCCGGTTGGAGCATACGCTACTGACTGCCTGGCCAGCATCCGCTGAGATAGACTTATGTGGCCCGAAGACGGCCAGCTGTTGGCTTAAACAGGAGACGGGTGCAACGAGTATTCAGACAGTCGTTGTGTTCCTACTTGCTTACCATGTTCTCGATTTGAAGGCTCATCAGTGAAGTACCTGCATACATACTTGGATATACAATCCAGTCGTTGTATTTGGACAAGTACAACAGCAAGTAGTAAGCAAGGTCGGGATCGAGGGGCTGTAGCCACAAGCGAGCAAGCACGATCCGAAAGTCCGAAAGCGATACAAACTTACGTAGGTATGAAGACGTTCATTAGTACCGGCACTAGGTAATATTGGACGAACGCTTCTATGGTTAGAAGCGAGGAAGTTAGAGATGAAACTATCGTGCACCATTGAAGAGTCAGTTGTGGTTCTGGACCCGATAGCTTCAAGGGCTGAGCACAGATAGATTGATTAGTATTGTGCAAGTACCTGCCTTAGCTCTGGTGACGATGGCCGCTATGCGCTATGGGCTGGGTTTAATCTGGGGTAGGGCTGAAAATAGATTGCTAATCTCCACTGACGAGTCGTCCGTAGGCAGCTGATGCTTTGTTCCTCTAGGGCACATCTACAGTGTGTAGGTACTTACCTAGGTACCTTCATAGGTATGTACAATAGGTAAGCAAGCAGCTAGGTAACCTGGCGAGGTAGCATTGCCTCTTCTTTTCAACGCAACTCACGATGCTTCACTCATTTACCGATACAGCCAAGACATGGCGTCGTGTAGTACCGCATACGGTCGTAGCCGGGTAAACCCGCGCCGTACCTGAAAAAAAAAACAAATCCTTACCAAGTAGGTACTCACATGTGAATCAAAGCCGAGGGCTCGAAGCATCTGTCATAATGGAGGCGGTGGAGCAGATCATTGAATGATTCATCCTCGCTCCTCGCTTCCTCTCCCTTGAGTGCCGTTGATATTCCGACTGCCTGGTACAGGTAGTGGGCTATGTCGCACAACCCCCCGCCACGCCGCGCCACAATTCTTTTTCCTCTGCCCTCGGTTTCGTTTTCCCAGTCTTCATGATTCGTCAGCAAAGGTAGACAGTAGACTACCTAGGTAGGTATCCGGAACAAGCTCATGGTCAGCCTCAAAGACCGTTGGCGACAAGTCTCCTGTGAGTGAGTGTCCTGCCCGGCGATGGGAGTGTGAGAGTGACGGGCGTTCTCTGCGCCGGCATTAGCCTTGCAGAAACGCTCTGATCTTTTTGTGCCTCTTGCTATGCCTTGTCTTACATACAGATGTGTAGTTGTACTGGACCCCGCGCCATGCCTGCAGGTGATAGGTAATAAGCCGTGAGACTCGGTAGCCCGAAGCCGCCCCGAGACGGCTTGCATCTCAATCCTCCCTCCCTTTCAACCTCATCCCGGGTTTGCTTCTGCTATGCACATTACTACATTCAGGATTGAACACGACACATTCCATTCCTAAGCCAAGGTAGAAAGGACCCATCCCTCGAAAAAGCGCCGTGCACTGGTGCCAACATCCAACGAACGTCTTAGTGTAGGTAGCATAAGCCCAACTAACTACTAGTTCCTAGTCTTGCGCCTCGAATCCAACATCGCAGGTCTTGTCATCCCCATTCCACAGCCCAGGGTAAAATGCTCCGTACCAGTACCACGGAAGATGCTAAGCTGTGGTTGGCTCCTCGTGGCCTTCTGCCTCCGTTTCTTTCCTTCTGGAAGACGCTCACGCGCATCTCTCCCGGTCCAACTGCCATATCCAGCCTATCAGCATGTCGAGATCGCCCGTTTCGAAACGTGAAGGATCCCTTCAATATTTCGAGAATCACAAAACACCCACACGCCTTAGTCATGCTCATAACAAGGAACTGGTACTATGTGATGTATTGACTACGCATTAGGTGATCCATCGTAGTATACTATTTCGATCCGAACCATCAATGCCGCGAACCTAGGATCGTCACTAATTGCAGATAGCCTCCTCTTGATGATGGGGTTCATTAAAATCCTGGCGCGTCGCAGCTATTTCGATTGCATTAATAGTGGCCCCTCTTTTCTTACAGCTTGCAAGGGGAGTCAACTGATAAGATATCACGGCTGAACTGCCAAGCTGAACCTCAGACCGAGGAGGCGTTCGTATATCTCCACGTTGCCCGAGTACCGAGCCCTACATTGTACGTCGTAGACGTCCCTAACCTACAGTAAACTAACAGGTCTGCCCATGGTAGGTAGCGCAAGCGATCATTGACACCTCGGCAGGCAGGGCGGAACGCATGCCTAAGCGATGCTAGCACGGCATCACTAGACAAAGATAGGTATCAGCCGCACCAGGCCATGTGGTCTTTTCCCGTGTTCACTGTTAGTTTCCCTACGCCGTGCACCTCGGACAGCCAAGCAGATAACGTTGATATCTTGGTACTTGGCAGAGCGCAATCAATTTCCCACGATACTTCCCGTACCGTGTTACGTCGGTCCCGATGCGGCGGATAAAGATGGGCTTGATAACGTCAGTTGGGAATATTTCCACTTAGCGCATCGTCATACTCTCTCTTACCAACTAGTTCGACTTTACATAAGCCCTTACCCGTGCCACACCGTTGGGTCACGCTCTCTCTAGTATGTACGTGGCCGCTCTCTTCCGGAGTCCGTGAATAGTATCATTTAAGCCGCTACGAGGCTAGACTGAGCTGCTATCCTGCCTGGCGATGGGGCAAAGTGCCTAGGCTACACAACCTACGCGAGGTGGACATGATAAGCAGAATAAGTGCACATATGCACGAACACAACATACGCGCCCGGGCAAGGCACATCATCACACATGAAACGAAAAGACACAATAGTAAATAAAAAAAGCAAAACCATAAGCACAGTAATTTCTTCATTAGTGCTCGTGAGTTGGTCGCATGAGATACGCACTCACCCACTTAAACCTCCCTGCCCACCTACATCATGTATGTATCAAACACCACCTTCTTCCTACCAACTGAATCCATTCAGGCACTTTCTTCCAAGTACCAGGGCATAGCAGGATGTAGGAATCGATTCTAGTTAGTGTAGGCATTCACAATGGGTTGCCGTGTTATGTCATGTTAGTCAACGCGGGCCCAGTCAGGATTTTTTCAAAAAAAAAAAAAACCCCCCCAAGAAGAAATCTAAATTAGGTCTTACAAGGAAGGATGAGGGAGGCGCACATTACTAAATTCTGGGGTGCAGCATGTACCCAAATACCTACCAACTCTTTTTTTTCGGGGATTTTAGGAATTGAACCTAAGCAACAATTGTAAGAAGGTGAAAAAAAAAAAAGACTAAGCTTCGTCACCCCAGTCATTCCCGTTATCGCCGGAATAGTGAAATGATGGGATGACAGATGATGTGAGATATAGGCAACCAAATTAAATATACGATTGCTGATGGTGACGATGACGATGATGGGAGGCTGATAGCTTAGCTAGCTAGCCGATGGCTGAGGAATAATAATACAGACAATATAATGCGGTAGAGGGGGAATTCGGTTGGTTACGAAAACCCCGATCCCGGATTACCTAAGTAAGTTGAGTCACCTACCTACCTCCTTACATACTTACCTCGCAACCTACATACATACCTAGGTATTGCGCAAGTTAAACCCCCACAACCGTCCGTTTAATTCCAATATTGCGGTCAAGATAAGAATCAATGGACTGCAACGCTATGATCGGGGGATAAAAAAAATAATAAAAGGAAAGGAAAGCAGGCTAGAGGCATTTAATTCCCATTGGCTATCTATCACTCACACATCAAAGAATCTGTCAGCCCGTGCGTGGTTTAAGCATAAGTGCACGTGTTAACGCATGTCTTGGCGCTTGTTGGGCTCCCAGTTAGGCAGATCCAAATCCAACCAAGGAGCCTGCAAGCAAGCGGGATATGGGCAGAACGGCCAAGGCGCAAAAAAAAAAAAAAGGGTCAAATCTGCAATAATCCTAAGAGCCTTGAACAAGAACACAAATGTCACTTGCCACGGCTTACTATGTAGGCACAAATTGAATGCATGAGAGAGAGCGAGAATGTCGCAGGCGGAAGTGGATATGAATCTGGTTCATTTTTTAAAAAATTGATTTGATGCATGCATCATTATGAGTATTGGGTACCTATCTAGGTTCATGCTGACCCGTTCATCCATCCATTCACTGCCACCCAATTTGAAGGAGGCTTTGCTTCCTTATACCGGGCCAGTTTCATGCCATGCAATTATCCGGCCTACCATTCCCCTTCCCCTACCACTGAACACCAGATTAATGCTTCTTAATATCATGTAGAATAAAGCTGGAAAATCACTGTTTATAGCAACCCAGGCAAGGGGGATCTACCCTGAGACCCGTTCACGCCTCGCAAAAAAACCCATAGCAGAAAGCAAAGTCATCCCCAGTATCAACATCATTGTAGAATAAATCAGACTTTTTGAATAAATCATAAGGGGCTCCATGCATCAATCTGAATATTGATTGAATTCGCCTGAATCCCCTCACCAAAACTCCTTGCTAGTGATGCTGAGCAATGCCGATAAAAGACGCCGTTATATGCCACTGAAAAATGCTGAGAAAGGTCGTCTCGTGTCACGTATATCCGGCCCAATGCTTCCGAAGACAAAAGGAAAAGAAGGCGTGGAAGTAGTTAGATGCATTTATGCCTGAGCCCCAAACATACGATGCCACATTCCACGATTAGTTCGTGCCCGCTTGGCGTTCGCAGTGCCGTCCTGCAGCTCGCGAAGTTCATCGGCGCTAATCTCATAGGGTAGTAGCTGTTTCCTGCGGTAGGCGGCCTTATGCATCGGTACCATAGCCGGCTCCGGCATGTCGAGTACAATCTCAATCGGAGACTCGTGGAGAGAACCATCCATGTACGCAACGTAGGGGTCTGTCTCAAGGTCCGAAAGAGGGGTTGAAGACCTCGAGTGCTGACGGGAAGAGAGAGAAGAGGCATATGAACTGCCCGAGCTGCTACCAGACGAGCTGTAGCTGTAGGCCAGTTCGGGAGGTGGCGTGGACTCCGACACGTTGTCGTGCACCATGCGGATAGTCGTGTCTTTAGGTGGCGACGCCAATCGCTGCCGTGACCGCGATCGTGAACTGCCGCGAGACGTCGGGGGCGTGGGGAGCGCAGCAGCCTCAGCCCAGGCGCGTGCCTCCTCCTGCCTCTGCTTCCTGCGTTGCATGCGTCGGATATACCTCGCCTCAAAGTCATCACGAATCGGCGCCAGGAATACATCAAGTTCGCGGTAGAGATCCTCCTCGGTGATCCTCAGGTCCCAGTCCAATAGGAACAACAACTGCTTCTCCATCAGGTTCACTTCAGTGCGGCTAAAACCGAAGCTGTAGCCATCACACTGAATGTGGCTGTAATTGGCCCAGTGTTTGTTCTTGGGGGAACTGTCATTCAGGTACTTGGCAGAAAGGATTAGTGCAGCTAGGAAGATGCGGTGGGTCGTGCATCGCAAACCCTTGGCCATGGGCTGGAGGCGGGACTTGAGCCTGGTCAGGTAGACTAAAGTCGACATCAGAGTAGAGACCTGCACGTTTGATGACACAACCAATTGTGTGATGAACTCTTCCAAAGACGGAAGACCACTGTCATCGCATCGAATCGCCTTAGGCGACGGTGTCCTGGGCGGCGTGGGATACTTCGTCTCATGCTGAGGTGGCGGGGGCATCATAGTTGGATCGCATTGAATAACTTTTGATGCGGCGTCTGCCAAATGATAAATCATGGCATGACTGACTGGGAGGCGGATGAAGTGATCCAAGGCGGCGGCATTGAGCTCGTCCATACCTAATATCGACCTCGAAGACATGTTATGGAATATGTGGGAGTGAGTGCGTGGATGTGACAAGAACCTCGAGTCGAACACCACGATGTTGTTGATGAATAAGCTCCTTAGTGCTTGATAGACTAAGAAGTCAAGAGTCCGGGGTAGAGGTCGATGATGGTGGGAGGGGACTCTGGTATATATGAACGTAGAGAGAGGATGTATGTATGTATAAGTGAGTGAGTACCAGTGTAGTGAGTGTTGGTGTAGATAAGTAGAGAGGAATAATAAGCAACGAGATGTACCCCGAGGCAAACTCCCTTTCTAAGAATCAAATACCTAAATACCTAGAGACTCGGCAGGCGCAGTCAAGAGTGAAGAGGTACCAGCAGTATGTATAATAAACAAATACTAAACAGGGTGCGTAAGTACGTGACGTGATATAGTCGAGGCTGAGCCAGCTCCCTTTCGCTTTGGCGATGGACCAGGATGAGTGAGTTAGTGTGTGTGGGTACGATGTACTGGTGTACACGACAAGAGGGCTGGTGGGAACAAGGGGTTCGTGATCGGCGCGGGCGTTGGGTCGGACGGCTGACACGAAGTGCCTGGGCTGGGCTGGAATCGACGGCGATGCAGGGTTAAACTGGTCTTGTTTCTCCAAGGTGGCTAATGGGCTGGCTTAAAAGGACGGTCAGCAAAAGAAGAGGAGAGAGTAGGAGGAGGAGGAGGGGAGGAGGGCGAGAGCGGGTCCAGCCACCAGCGGTCGGTTGGGATCAAAGTACCAAAGTACTACCTAGGTATGTACCCGGGTACCCGATGCCTGTAGCGTTGTACGTACCTTTGCCAAGGGAATGCAGGGGTTGGGGGCCTTGGTGATGGGAAATGGTGCTCCGTTTGCCCTGCTTGGTTTGCTTGGTTGTGCAGCTTGTTGCCAATGCTTCGTGCTAAGGCAGGCAAATAGTCGTTGACACCTGTCACGCGTAGGAGAAAGGTTGGATGGAGGTCGGAGACTCGGCGTAGTGCAGGTGAGTAGTGCGGTTTGCTGCAGCTGAATGGATAGAGATGACAATTCGTGCCTCTCGCTCTCTCCGTAGCAGAGAAGAAAAAAATTGACTGACTCGCGACTGGACAATAGTCGCGAAAGATCCGAGATGGCGAGTGAGATAATGAGCTGGCTGGACTCGAGGCCTTGGTCAACGTCTTTTCATTCGTTTGCCCTTGGTTTGGCTACTTTTCACGCCGGCGTCGGTGCTCAGCGAAATAAAAGAACGGTGCCTGTTTTGGACAATACTACGGACTGGATGCGGTCAAGAAACCTCAGGATCTGTGCCTGATAAATAAAGCCGAAGACAATGCCAAAGTAGTATCAGTTATAATGCAGCCGTGGGTGCGCATAAGTCAGCTGGGTCAGCTTGGCTCTACTTGTCACTCTAGATGTTACCCCGTGTTAGTGGGATGGTGGGGTGGTGATCTGTAAACGGAAAGAGAGTGTGTGAAGTCGACCAGGCGAAAGTGTGCGTATATGTGCCGAAAGGATTGACGATTGCGGTTGGCGCTGGGTATTTGAAGGTCTCCTGGGGTTCTGGAGGCACGGTGATCCGGGGTCTAGATTATATTTCAAATGCGACCAGGGAAGGTGAGGATCACAGGATTTGGCGAGATGATGCTCGAAGACTGCGTCACACGAGCACGTAGGAAAGGACTTGCAACCAGAGTGTTCCAATGAGGTGCCGAGGCGAGCGGTGTAACCAGTGTGACCGAGGTGTGTTGTGTCTTGTGTGCTGTCTGTCGCTGCGTGTTGGTGGAGTGTATTAATGACCCAAGAACCTGCTGGGATGTGCGACCTGATATAGAATCCTCTGGAGTCCTTCCAAAGCGGCGGCGGCGGCGGCGGGTGAAACTTGATAACAAATTAAAAGACTCGAGAAGGGATTTTGATAAGGTATGTGCAAGTATTAGAGTGCTCGAGGGCGTGTTTGGGGGTTTGTTGCAGTATTGAAGGAATATTGACCAAATCGTAGACTAGCCAGAGTCTATCGAACTACTAAAAGCAGAATGGATAATGAAAATCGTTGCTGTCGTGAACCTCGTATTACCCGTCGTGGACGTCGGTGGTGGGGTCAAGTCGCAATGGCTAATTAGACAAGACCTGTACAGGATCTATTTGGGCTTCCCTTGGACAATAGAATCGAAAAGACACAAGTTCTCATTCCCGACCGGAAGGCTGTCTGTCTGTGTGTCTAAGGCGACGAAGGGATGAGATGATGATGGTGGTGATGGTGATGGGAGGTATATAGATGAAGGGAACTGGGGGATTCAGACACATTGACTCCTGGATTCCGTATATCTATTATACCTGCGCACACTTCCCTGGACGACTACACAGGTACAGGTAGCAGACTATGGTGTCGACTATGTCAACATGAATCAACGATCTATTCGATCCCTGCGGTTCTGGGCAGCAGACCACCACAAATTACCACGGCGGTTTGCACACCGCGGTTCCTCAAACCATGAGGCGGCCTGGTCATCGTAGTAGTCCCCCCAAAATAGCAGCGTGCGAGGCAAACGAGTGGCCGTGAATGGCCGCGCGGTGATGAGAGGCCCATGTGTGCCCATGTGTGCCCATGTCCGTCCTCGTCCGTCCTTGTCTGCTCAGGACAGACAAGGACACACGCGCTGCGTGCTGGCGGGAAGACGACAAACGCCGGCCAGTCATTGGAGAGCGCAAGTGGTCCTGAGTCGTCAAGACATGAAACAAGCGAGCGACGAGGGGGGTCCTGGGCTGTCCTGGACTGTCCTGGGCACTGGTCGTTGAGCGACAGCCAAGCTCTGCTTGTTGCTGCAGCGTGCTGCTGCATGTCCTCGTTCTAGTATCAGGACAGTGCCTAGGTACCTACAGTACCGGTACTTACATACTTGCCCTACCTGAGAGTGCAGTGTGCAGTGGACAGACAGACAGACGCCTATCAGATTTCTCTTTTAGTTGTGATGGGCGCTGATGGGCGCGCCAGGTAGTGGATCCTCAGCCCACTACCCAACTGGATTACTGGATTACTGGGCGCCAGACGCCCAACTCATCCACCGCTACCACGGTTAGCTACCTAAGTGAATGCACTATCTGTAAGTGACCATGTATGTACCTACCGTATCGCTTGGGAATTTCCTACAGCTGCCAGTTGACATGGCCCAGTCCTCTGCCCAGTCCTATGAATGAGTCTTATTTCACTTCCCTCGAGCCGCTGCTAACGATGCACGTTTGCTGCGACATTACTATTTCAGCCAAATGCTGCACATTTTGTCAGTGTTAGTTGGAAGCTCTAAATTCGGTGGCTGGCTTAACATGGCAAGCCGTCCAATCACCACATGCCAACACCAGAACCTCCCAATTCACTGCGAAAACAACTCAGCAGCTATCTAGCATAAGGATCCAAAGCCGTCGAATTGGATTGTTTAGCTGGCCGCATTTATCGCGACCACATGATAAGCGCATATTTGTCCAGAGTCTGTATACTAAGTATGTATTCACCCTCCGAGTCGGCCTAGGACATGATCGAGATATCGGACGGAATCGCGACGGCGGCCGGCCCGTCGGGACCTGTTCTTTGTTGATACCTACCTAACTGACTTCAATTTTCAACTACCTAGCTGCTGGGCATAGGTGTAGAGCCACCGGGTAGAACGGTAGCTCTATCTTACCATTTATATCCTCCTCCAGCTCCCCGTCAATCGACCCTGCATGAATGTTGACAATAGGATTGAAAATGCATGAATTCCCGGTCTTAAAATACCAAAAGTGTCTGCCAGAGCAGATAATTATAAAATAAAGCACTCGTGAATTCCACGGAGATATTCGAGGGGCCGCCGGAGTCCTTATAGGGTTACATTCTATTGGGTCTCCGGCCTCTGGTCTTCCGTGCCAAGTATCATACACCATCCCTACTCTTACCGCCTGTGTAGTAAGTACGTGAATCAGGGATTGTCGTCCGATAGTGAGTATTGTTGAAACGAAACGCTCGTTCGTTTCTCGGTGTCCCCCATCGTCGTCGTAATGACCTGCTCAATATGCGCCAGCTTGAACCATCCCGTTGTTTCAAGCAGGCGTATACATTATAATACGAACCAGATTTGGGGGCTCTTAATTTTTTAAAGGTTATCCTTATCAATGTAGGCGAGCGGCACATAACGTCTTCACGATATATACTACTATAGATTGTTAGGTTGTTTGAGCTTAGTTGTAATGTTACGTTATATTAAATTATTAAATAATATCACCGAAGCTTGAGTCTGCTTGAGGTAGGAGAGACAATGACTTTCCCCATGTAACCATAACTCTCTTCACCACTTGCTTGTTCCAAGGTATTCGCCCGAGCAGACCCGAGTCTGTTCCAAGGCGTAGCATCTTCTAATGGCCGCATAGCGCTGCCCCTTATCAATATTGTTCTCCACGTCCGGTCTCCGATCACTACTCAGTTCCTACGTACGGCAGATCCAAGGGTGGAATAAGACACAAATATCTCATAGTAAGTCGCTAAGTACGATGGCAAAAGAGCGGTACACATAATCTACGTATGATCGCAATGGGTACTGGGGAGCATACGCTATCTATTCAGGCCTTGGCGACCTACCGACAGTACTGTTGTTGGAAAACAAGAGTCAGCGTATTGCCTAATCTGGACAGAATCTGGAGTCCAGGTCTTACATAGCAAAAGCAGGCGTTTCAGAATTTCCCCGATGATTCGGGTTTGCCCATCTCCTGCCTATCTTCATTAGCTACCTCCTGGATTCGGTGCTCTTTGTCTCTGCTCTGTCCAACGATGACCGGCAACAGTAATTCAACAGACCGTATTGTTAGCGATGATCTGTCCGCGAGTTCCATCGCACGAAGAAATGGTTGGAATGTAGACCATCGCCACCCCAGTGGGACAGAGCTGTGCGACCGGCTTGGAATTGCTGGGAACCCCGTTATTTTGTGGAGGAGCTTGCGTAGATGTATCAAGCTTAACCTCGCTCCTAATGCTTGACCTGCTGAATGTCACAGCCACCCATCGTCATTTTCACGCCAGGCAGAGGCACGATGTGGCGCGAGAAGACGCGGGGGAGAGATCTACTGTAGTTCGCAATTCATAATACTTCAAAATACTGATGCCTGCTAGTTCTTGTTTACGCGGCGCCCTGGGGCTGGTTTCTTGGCCTCGACCAATTTGTCTCGGCCAAGAGAAGTTGGGGAGGCTGGAGTCATCCAAGTACACATAACAAATCACAGAATCCTAATTGGCAGTTGCTGTTAACAACACCTTACAATTATTCATGCGCATTCTACAGAAGCGGAAAGCGGTTATTCACTGTGCCGCCATACGGCATCGAGGACCCAGCTAACGCCGTCGCGCATTATTGTTCGATCCCACTAATGTTGGTAAGAGATACAGGCAAAGGGAAGACAAGTCCTACCAATTCTACACCGCTGTCCCGGCTCCTTCTAGATGTGCATACGTAGTATGTGTATGACTCCTTTGAGGTTCTCACGTCTGCATAATCATGCATGCCATCTAGGTCGAACTTTCGACCCAGACATAGAGAAACGTACAAATCAACATCCTACCCGAAGCGGTGACGCTTAGCACGGTCCTGTGTCGGGGATACCCCGAACCAGTTCAGCAGTGACTGCCGTCATTGGTGCCGGGGTATCCTGAAACAAAACGCTCTCAGACTATGCCCAGAGTCTGGCGAGATCCAATGAACTTGCATGATCGAATACTACCAGGAATCTAGAGACTACCTAGGTAGTTTCCTTGCAGTAGTTTCCCTTGCCATGCTCGCCATACTCATAAAGTACTAGGCAGGAGGTACCTGGTTAGCGTTGGGTAGATGCGTAGTAGGTATTTGGATATGTGAGTACATACATGATAGTATGCAAGACCCTTAATCCATCCATGACTACATAGTACATGTACTGCGCACTTGTACTTCCGGTAAGGGAGGGGAAATCCCAGAGTCAGTGTCTTGGTGTGGCTAGAGCTGGTTAGATGCTGTGGATGTGCAATGCCAACCTACCTCTTCAACCACGTTATTTTTACATGATTGGACTGGACTCTTATATTAAGGCTAGCGGGCTAGGTATCATACGAATGCGACAGTAACCTTCTTTGATGCCCAGTTGGCAAAGAATTTGCTAGATCGACTAGACCTCGTGGACGATGAACACATATCAATCAGCGGTTGACAACACACCGCAATAAAACACCTTGATTATTTGAGTGAGTCATAACGTGGTATGCGCATTGATCTGGGTACCGATCTGGATGTTTACGCCCATCAAATGACCGCTTCCGGCCGCGAGAATAAACATCCTAGGGTTGATCATGGGTGTCAACAAGGCCAATGGGAGAGGCCACCGGCGGATTGCCATCGACGCCAAGACCGATGATCACAAGGCCTCGGCTGCCGGTTAGAGAATCTCGGTAAGTGGGACTTGGGTTGGGTGTGGCTTGACTCTCCCCGCCCATTCGAAGGTGCTGAAAGCCACATCTCGCCAGATCTAGTTGAACCTCTTAGGTTAGTGTGGCAGAGTGTGGTTACATCTCAGCCACAGGAGCTTCTCAACAAAATCCTCAAAAGCCCTCAGAGCCTGTAGCTTCACTCGCCTTCGCTATCTTGGCAGTTGACTGCGTGGCTTAGCAACTTCGATATCACCACACATGTCTCACTCAAACCCCGCGCTGGCCACTCCGAGGTCCCGTTTCCCACAGAACCGGACTCTGCTGACCCTCCGAGGTGCGGATACGAACCCGCTTGAATGCGTGTCGCACTTTGATGGTCACCGATGATGCAAATTTGCCAGAGTGCAACATGGCTCTGCCAATTTTGAACACTTGGATCATCCATTTTGGTAGGTATTTGCACAACTCAACCCGCCGTGGCCAAAAATCTTCAACGAAGTAACCTCATGTGCCAATATGCCGAGGGCCCCGGAGGCCTTGCCGGCCCTAAACAGGTTTTAAGGAGCTCTGAACGGGACCAGAGTGAATGAACCCATTCACACCGTACTGGCGCATCTTACTACACTACTTCGCTCCAGCGAGCCACTAGGGACCGGCACACCCGTTAATCCTACGCCTAAGTTAGCATCTTGGCTGTTGAGGCCATCAGAAAGATGTAGCACCTCGTAGAACATTATACCTATGGCCAGAACTGCGGTGTTGTATGAAAGATCGCCCAAGCTCTGCCTTGCGGTGTGGCCGGCTTGTCGAGTTGTCAACCTGCCTTAATCAAGAACGCGCATATGTAGTCACAACCATCCCAGAATCGATGATAGGCCAGGCCTGCAGCACAGCGAATCCGCCATCTGCAGTTTTTCCGAGCATCTACTAAATTCTGACATGACCCCTCTACGTATTGCTCCTATTAATTGGCTTTTCGGATAATCTTGCCTGTGTCTGCCCCTGAGGCACACAGCCAGCAGCAGCAGCAGCAGCATCGAGCCATTCAGGAACATAGGAGAGATACAAAAATAATCAAGAGGTGCCCAACAGCACGCCTCACAAGGACTCTATGCACCGAGGGGGGGTTGAAGTACACTGGTTATGTGCCTCGTGATTGGCAAAGCAAACCCCGCTGGCGAAATGATTGTTGCAATGCACTCGGCCGGAGAGGATATGCATGTCTCGCGAATCGCCGAAGGTGGCCTCCAGTAACCATAAGCATGCCTTGTAAACAATACGACATTCATCTTAAGGCAACAGCATATCAGGTTTACAGCAGATTCGACTCTGCCCAAGGAAGCTATTTCGGGACATGTATAGCGACTATCACAATGCTTCACGAAGAGTTGTTCGCCAGGCTGTCCTTTTAGCAGACCGCGATGAGCCAGCCTTTGGATGCAACTAGTTACATAGGAAGAAACAGCCGATTGTAACAATCCACTGATCGCTCGCAGCATCCGCGGCCGCCATCATAACCATCCGGTGTCACACGGTACCACAACAGCAGAATCCTCTGCCCCCCGCATAGATTCTAAAACTATGCCGCATGCGCCAGGACAAACAGGAGGGAAAACTAACAATCTAAGACGGAAAATCCTCAGTATGGCAGCTCGATTAGTGAACAAACCCCCGGCCCCGGGCGACCGCGTTGCCGAATGGCTGTAATACGCCACGATCGCATCCTGCGACTATAATCGCTGTCGCTGTACGTAGTACGGCGCGCGCCATGCATCCAGGGAGACACAACAGACGGGCATAATTCAAATCAACAACAAAATCTTCTCGAGTTACCTCAAAATAATGTGATGGGGGCCAAAAGCAAATAAAGCCCGTTCAAACATGCGGCCTTTGTCTTGTCCAATCTCCAGAATGCGCGACAACAGCAACAACACATTCGTTTAATCTCCCATACCAGACCTAGGATAGAGTACCTAACCTTATTGTGAAATCTTAGATGCATGTAATTTGTATGTATGTATGCACGTATGGCACGATTTCATTAGAGACACGTTTTTTCAATTATTCTTATCCCGGATGCCGAGCAACAAGGAGACAGAGGCGAGAACAGATAGGTTCGTTTCAGGTGTCTGTGTGCTTGCGTGCTGCACAATGCGTGCGTGCGCGCGCGCCCTCTCTCATACCTACATACCTACATACCTACTTAGTAGTCATAGTAGTAGTAGTAGTAGTAGTAGTAGTAGTAGAACATACTGGTAGTGCATACATACCTAAGGTATTATTGTAGTGCTTGTAATTTCTGGAAGCGCCAGGAGGAACCCGCGCTTGCAATCTCTCCGCTTCGTTTAATTCTTCTTCTCGCCTCCATCCTTTTACACTGGTGTGGGTAGCGCAGGTAAGGGTACCTAGGTACTTACATACCTGAGCCATTGGATCCAATACCACGTCACAAAATAATCACATAACCGTAATTGTTCAGCCCTCGGTTGCTTCCGAGCGAAATCCCCCAGGATTCCTAGGTAGGTATGCGGAACCAACCCAACATTGCGCGCCTAAGTAAACATGGCCTGGCCTGGTCGCCGTTCGTGCGTCCTCCAACAAAACAAATCTGCGGCTTACATAAACGGGTTTGGCTTGCTTGCTCGCTCGCCAATGAGAAGCCGCATGTCTGTTTAGACGCTGTTTTTGAAGATTGGCCCCGTTTCCGATTTAGATCTGCGGCTCTAAGGCCAATCACACGTCGATCCCGCCCGCCCCAGGCCGCGCCTATTTGCTACAATCCCTACCTTCCAGACCCTAGATATGTAGGTATGTGTAGTTAGTCCCCCACGTCCAAGCGGCGTCACAGCGTACATGAAAGTTTCCGTACATGGCATGTAGATACATACATATGTAGTTACACCGCTGTGCCGTGGTATGCTAAGGTTAGATAGATGGATAGATGGATTAGGTAGGTATGCGGCGCACCGACAACATCATATGTAGAGCCATATGTGTGATAGCCGCGCGCGCTACCTACCTTTTCACTTCCGATATGCCTCGGCGGTTAAATCATCTGAACCACCTACACTACTTACAGACCATATGGGGCCTGAAGTAAGTATTAGGATTTCTCACCGCGAGGCACAGACAGCTCTGCCGAGCTCCGCGCGGCTAACTGGTTCTTCCACTTTGTTTACTTTTTTTCTCATGATGACGGGTCGGACGGATTTAGAAAAGGGAGAAACTCTCGAACGGCGTTTATCCAAAACGTGGAAGAGAACATCGCCGAGCAAGCCGTCTGTGGCGGCGTCATGCAAGCTACCCTACCGTACCAACCGACCGACCGTAGTATTTCCTTTACCCTAGGTAGCATTTTGTAGGTCTGTATGTATGTATGTATGTATGTATGTATGTACATGGCTTAATAAAGGCCTGGCTGAATAAATGATCGAGTAGGTAGGTAGGTAGGTAGGTATCCGTAAAATGGACGGTCGCAAAAAAAAAAAAAAAAAAAATCCTACTACAAAGTACCGGCCGCAAATGCTACGGAAAGCGAAAAGTCTTATTTCGACGGCAATATGTTTCGTATTGTGTAACGCGCCGAGTTTTCGCGAACACCCCAGGTAGGATATGATGCAAGAAGATTGCACAATTATGGCACCGCGTACCCGCGATCTTCCCAGGCATTCATGGATTCCGGTTTGGAGATTCGGGTTCACACATATCAATATCTGTGATACACGGCAATAAAGTAGGCGGTACAGGTATAATTGACCCTTTAGTTTCAGTATTGATTGCAAGGCAAAGAGCCTGAATTGGTATCTTGGTATCTTGGTACGTCTCGCGGCGCAATCCACATAATCAACTTGTCCGGCAAAGGGAAAGAAGAAGAAAAAAAAACTATACACAAACAGAATTACCACTACTCTAACCGCATAAGCGTTATCATCATATCATCAAACCCGAGGCTGCCAACCCTTCCGCGAAGCAGGAATCCTGCCTCGTCTATGCCCTCGGAAAAGCCAGCTCAGCCCACGAGTTCCAGTCTATTGCTCATATCCCTTTCAATACCTATAAACTGGGCTCAAATTCCATGAACGAACCGCTCATATCATGTGTATATGCGAGGCGCAATCGCAAGCAAAGCATGCTATAGGAACGCTCAAGCAGCCAATGAAGCGTAGGGAATATCGGAGTCCGGCGGCCAGGCCACAAATAGCAATATTCAGATAGCCAAAGTAAAGTACTTAGCGTTGGCAGGCTCTTCCACATACTTCCACATAGCCTCGATGCGTATCTAATGAGTAACCACTTGTGCCATCTAGGCATAACCAGTGGAACTATAGTTGCTCTGAGGTTTGGCGAAGTCGCGGAAGTAAGGGTGGACACAAGCCTGCTTCGCTGATATGCGGCCGGCTGGGTCGTAGACAAGCATGGCTTCAAGCAGGTCTAGACCTTGATCATCAAGATTTGAGCACAATGGCTGCGACGTATCGCGAATCCACTTGGGGAATGAGGCTTTAAAGTCGGGGTACGAAGTGACACCAGGCCAAACATATTCTGTGGGGGTTCCCAAGAGACTAAATCGCGAAAGATATTAGTTCTGTGAAACATTTCTACGACACAAGGTAGAGAGATCACTCACCGGAATGTCTTGAATATTTGATCGATCTCAGAATCACCTGGGAAGAGAGGCTTCCGGGTGCACATCTCAGCAAAGATGCAACCCACTGACCACATATCCACACCGGTCGAGTATTGCCGACCACCGAGGAGAATTTCCGGGGCACGGTACCAAAGCGTCACGACTTCATGGGTATAAGTTCGGAGCGGGACACCGAAAGCGCGGGCCAAGCCAAAATCAGCCAGCTTGAGGTTGCCATCCCGATCGATGAGCAGATTCTGGGGCTTGAGATCGCGATGAAGAACTCGGTGACTATGGCAGTAGCGAACGCCTTCGCACAGTTGACTCATGAACTTCTTGACCATCATATCGCCCAAGCCCAGGCGTCCCAGTTCGACGCCAGTACCCTCCGGCAGTGCCTTGCCGCGGCCGCCATCACTGACGGGTAGCGCCTCCATGTACTTCTTCAGATCCAGATCGAGAAACTCAAACACGAGGTATAGCTTATGGCCGTCGGCGTGCACGATGTTGAAGAGCCGGACGATGTTGGGGTCGCGCATTTCTTTGAGGAGGGAGATCTCGCGGATGGCGGTGCTAGGGACTCCTTCATCTTCAGCCTCGAGGCGAATCTTCTTGAGGGCCACAATACGGCCGCTGTTCTGGAGATCTCTGGCCTTGTAAACAACACCGTAGGTACCTAGACACAGGCATCTGCTTAGCGAGAATGACCAGATGGGGCAAGCGTTTGGTGAATGCGATATTCAAACCGTCGCATGCATGATGGGCCGCATAAAGCAGGACTAGGTAGGTGTTTTGTACCTTCACCGATCTTCTCCAGCTTCTGATAGTTCTCCATCTTGCCTTGCTCTTTAGCGTTTCGTAGAGGTTATGTTGAAACTGCTACTAACTGACTGACTGTGATCGCCAAACTTCTATGGTAGAATTTGACAGGTCACTTGAAGATCCGTGGTTGAATGTTCTTGGTATCGGTGGTCGGTCGGATCGTTGGCGTTTGGCGGGGTGGTTCTTGACCCCTGGTGGTCAGAGCGAGGGCCAAGGATTTTGTTTGACTATGGGTACAACAATAAACGAAGCGGTGCGACTACAGGCTTCACGAAAACGCCAATTGAGAGATTGGGGGAAAGATTATCGTGATAGACCTGTTTCAGACTCGGGACAGGACCTCGCACATTGCCTAAGCGCCTGGGTGACAAATTGATCAATATATGGTTGTCCAGGTAGTAATTCGTCTTTGTTTTTTTGGGTAGTAAACAGTTGACGCGTGAATCGAGTAAATCAACACGGGCTGTCAACCTACACCTGCAGCTGTGTGCATGTGGCTGATGCTACCTACATAGTACTTGCCAATGAGGTGCCTACAGGGCCTCGACATTGTACTAGACATGTCTTTCAGCGCAGCATTAGGTACCAGACTAGGTACAGTGTCAGCTGTGTACCTTTTCGGTGCTTCGTTAAACCAAAGGATCCCATTAGGTACGCTAATCCAGCTGTAGGTACTTCTATTATGCCACTGATCACAGCCAAAGACAGGTGCCCAAGCATTACCCCTCCACCAGAAAAAAAGTGCCCCTCCATTGAAGGCATCCCAAAAGTATCATCATAGGAGATTCGTACAATAAATAATCTAGGTATCTCATCGGATAAGCCATTCACATCACCACTAGTGGCTTGTTAGCCTCATCTTCATATACTACTTGTTGACACATAAGATGACACTCGATTTGACCACATTAGATGCCCATGAGCAACCTTCAGATGAGCTGAGGGCGCGTTGGAAGGCAATTAAACTGACAGACCACGCCGAATTCGCCAACCACCCAGATATAGATGAGCTAGATGTATCCAATCCAGGGGAATTTCAACTTTATGGAAATATTCCTGGGGAAAAACTGAAAGAGTCTTTCCGCATCCTCCAAGGCGACGATGAAAATGCACCAGGGACACCAAATGATGTCCCAATATACTTTCATCCACTGCTGCCTGGTACTTTTCCCCATCTCCGGTTGAAACACCAAATATTGAAAAGACGTTAACGAGGTAACAGGATTATTAATTCTACCTGCATTGATACCCCCTGATGTACAGAAGTCACTCTTGTCTAAAGTGATACACCGAGATTTATCCAACCCAGCTCACCAAACCAACATGCACCTTCACTTTAATCTTCCTTATAGAGAGGGAGATGACGTTGGCTCACGCTCTTTCTTCTCATATGGCCCTGATACGCCTGCTAATATTACACCCAAAAACCCAGAGGCGCACAAACCCCTGACTATCGAGCAAGTACTTCAACGGCGTCTCTCCTGGGTCACCCTGGGCGGGCAGTACAATTGGACGGAGAGGGAGTATCCCAGTCAATTACCCCCAGAGTTCCCAAGGGATATCGCAGGCTTCCTCCACACACTGTTTCCAGCGACACTAGCCCAGGCAGCTATCGTCAACTTCTACTCACCCGGAGATAATATGATGATGCACCGGGACGTGAGTGAACAGACAGATAAAGGCCTAGTCAGCCTCAGCTTCGGCTGTGACGCACTTTTCATGATTGCTCCCAATGATTATGGGAAACTAGGAGCAGGTGAAGAAAACGAAGATGGGAACGCTCCAAAGAAACAGTATCTCCTCCTGCGACTGCGGTCTGGCGATGCTATATATATGACTCAAGAATCTCGTTATGCCTGGCATGGTGTGCCCAAGGTCCTGAAAGGCACTTGTCCAGACTTCCTGGAAGATTGGCCTGCTGAGGATGGAAAATTCGAGAGTTGGAGAGGATGGATGCGAAATAAGCGAATTAATGTCAATGTACGGCAGGTCAAGTAAAGATTCAAAATAAAAATGATTTAAATGCTAATGATCCATATCATTTGCAAACTCCATCTTGATCCTCATGTGAAGACAATTGAATCAATTAAGTAACTCCATGTCAATATGCGAAACTTTGAGCTGCCATGCCATACAAGTTGTGTTCAATTCATACATGCGGCTCTTCATACTTCATGTTATGTGACTATTACTTTTAATAATCGGATAGTTATACTTTCTCTTTTCAGGCTCACTAATTCGTGGCCCTCATGCGATCGAATCTTAACACACTCTGCATGAGAACCTGAGCACCAAGCGCGCAGTCCTCAGGACTCGTGTACTCCTCAGGGTTGTGGCTGACGCCATTCTTCGAAGGCACGAAGATCATGCTCGCAGGACAACGACGACTAGCGTACACGGTATCATGGCCGGCGCCGCTCGTCATATCGCGCACAAGGCTCTCGTCGCCCGTCACAGCTTCTGCCGATGCGCGCACGGCCGCGATGCAATCCGGATGGAATAGAGTGGCCGGGGAGACGCTGTCGGTTCGCCACGACACCTCGAGGGGACGACTGGGTGTTGCCCCGTCCAGAAGACCCTGGATATTCTCGCCGGCGGCGAGAGCCGCGAAGTCGCGCTTCATATCCGCCTCCATGGCTTCCACCGTCGAGTCAGCTGGTGCGCGCACGTCGAGCGTGAAGCTCACGTAGCCTGGGATCGTGTTCGTGCTGCCTGGCGTGAGACTGAGGATCCCTGTTGATGCGAGCGCGGAGTGCTTCGTCGCCAGTCGATGCGAGTGCGTGATGAGCCGCGCGGCGAGAAGCATTGCGTCAGCGCGGTTCCCGAGGGGTGTTGAGCCTGTATGCGCGTCTCGGCCGGCTACCTCTACCGTGAACCAGCGATACGCCTGGACGCCGTGGACGACGCCGATCTTCTGCTTCTCGGCTTCTAATAGGGGGCCTTGCTCGATGTGCAGCTCGAAATGCGCAGCCATCGGTGTGCTCTTGTGGCTTGCGGGAATCGAGCCTAGGTATCCTATGCGCTCGAGCTCTGATCTCATCGTGGCGTTTCCGCCGCCGACTTCACGAAGATTGTAGGCTGTCTCCAGAGGGATATCTCCAGCCCAGACGCCGGAGGAGCACATGCTTATTGGGAAGCGCGCGCCTTCTTCGCTGTAGAAATAATAATGTTGTTAGTTCGTGAATCACTTGTTTAGAGGGGAATCCATACTTAGTCCAGTTGACGACGCCTACTGGAAATTCCGTTTCCGCATGGTGGTCCTTCAGCGTCTTCAACATCTCGACTCCGGCCAAGATGCCTAATATGCCGTCGTATCGACCACCGCTGGGTTGCGTGTCGAGGTGAGACCCGGCAAATGTAGCTAGACCTTCTCGGCGGCCGGGTCGCACCGCGAAGATGTTACCCATGGCGTCGACTTTAACATCGCAGCCTAGCGACGAGGTGGTCTCGACGAACCAGTCTCGGGCTTGCTTGTCTGTGTCGCTCAGAGCGAGCCTGGACATACCAGTATCATTTGAACCGCTGTAGGCTCATTCTAACATCAGCGAGATGGACTACCGTAGCTTGATCGTCGCGTGCGGGGTTGTTGCGTACCTCCCCCATCGCTTTCCTGTACCCCATGAACAGGTGTGATGCAGTGTTTCCATCAGCCTTTGTTGGTTCACTTTCAATGCTTCGATATCTGTAGTTCGACTCCCTGTCACTTGTACGCTAAATGCGCGACGTGCTGTGTACGGGATGCATGCTCCTCGCAACCAGGCTTTTGATAGCCTACTGGCTACGGGCCTACGGCGACCTGCAAGATAACTCATTGTCCCTCCCTGTTTCAACTTCACGATAATTCGAATTTGTTGTTGAAACCTCTGTCTAGGTAGGCCTATACAAGTCAAAGATTCAAAGGGCTTGGGGTCGTGGTTGTGAGATGTTTGTTCTATGGCCCGAGATCGGTCACCCCACATCTTCAATAACCTCCTATCGCTGATTATGTCCAAATATTAGGTGTTAGGCATCTTCCAAATTCTGGAGTCAATTATTTGATATTCTGTGCGATCTACTATTTGACGCTGAACAAGCTTAACTGGATTGAATCGTCAATGAATATTTGCCACTTGGTTGTGTCATTCTACACTCCTAAACCAAATTTCTGGTCATATTCGATGCTGCTTTATCACTACATCGATGACAAGCTAACTTCTTAATTTCTTTGGGATTGAACTGAGATGGCCGGTATCTGTACCAAGCTGATACATATATCTCTTATATCTGCTCACATGGCAGACAATACTTCGATCACTCTTTGCGGGTGCGTAATAAACGGACTATGTCCCGAAGAAACTCTCTCGACTTTAAACGTCGGAATCTTGGAAATAAGCATCTCCTGGAATGCCAAAGGCAGGGCCTGATCATTTTCGCAGACTAGAAACGTATGTGGAATGCCGCAGTTCGAGGGAACACAATCCACCGGTGTCTCATATGCGTCCTGGGATTGCCTCTCAAGGAGCGCAAAGTATCTCTCAGCATCATCTTCCGGGACATCGTTGTAGAAGGCGTGTTTTGCAATCGGATACACAAAAGCCGAAGCATTCTAAGGGCAATAGCGTCAGTGAATATATTTCCATCGATTCTTTGAGCATCTCTCTTCACGTTGTACATACGCCAGCGTACGGAGTCCCGTAATCGCCCCAGGTAGGGTACTTGCCGCCGAAGGCCGTCAGGAGATCGAGACCAGGCTGAGGAATTGCAAAGGCTGCGATGAACAAAATCGCTCGGAAACCGCCCCTTTTCCCAGCTGCGGCCCGCTCGTGGACGGTAAAACCCTTCACTGCACCGCAGCCGGGGATGCCACCGTACGAGTGTCCTGCTACTACGAACTCCTTGCCGTCGTCCATGCGCTTCTCAACCGCCTTCTGTATCGCTTCAGCGTCGTCTTTCCATGTCAACCCCGTGCGGCCGAGAGTAGGAAGTCTGGGAACGTAAGTCTCGTATCCTTGCTCCTCGAGGGCGACCCGGAGGACCTCGAAGTGTAGTGGCACGTGCCAAGCGCCGGCTACCAGAACGATACCAGGCTTTGTGTTGTCCACAGGATCGCTTGCCATTCTCCTTGGCTCGATTGTTTTTTGTTGGTGTTTTTCAGTGTTGCTGTGCCTATAGCGGCTTCAATCCGAGGGACTAGAGCGTTAAGTAGTTGTAGAGCTCGTATTTATACTATAACTTGACCTTCCCCTCTTCGTACTACCCGATTACCTAGTCCGAAATATATGATGACTGGGATAAGTAGGCATACCCTATGATTGGTGTCTCATGCTTGTCAGCAACGGCACTCTGCAAGCGTCCCGTCTTGATAGCCTATTCAATCAAAATTCATACATTTCCAGCCCTTAATTCGCCAAAAGCCACGCCTGAAAGGGCGGGTATGCACACCGAGTGTCCCAGTCATCCCCACGAAAGACGGGGCGATACGTCTTTTCACCGTATGCTGGATGACGGTCAGTGGACTTATGAGCTTCACTGCCACATGTCTCGGCAACCCCGCTCTACCTAATGCCTAAAAAGGAAGACGTTAGTTTCAACGTGTTCATGAAGGGTAAGGTTGATGTGTTTAGTCTCACGTGATGGTGTACAACTGCAAGCACGACTTGGTATTAAGCTGCTGTTAGATGCGATGAGCAATGAACTAACCGTGACTAGATATTAGTCTACAAAAATCCAGACTGTCTAAAGCAATAGCTAGTGTGCAGGTTACACTTAGTCTATGTTACTTTTATTGGCGTTACACGCGTACAAGCGGAACATGCAGTTTGCCCTGTACTTCGGCCATACGAAGGATCATTGCAGGCTGTTCATGGTCTTTATAAGACATGCAGGGAATATTGGGCCATTTTGGAAAAGTGAGGTTATTCAGACTTCACTTCGTGAAACAAGCCAGTAAGACCTAGGCGGTCAGGGCTGACAGACCAGTTGTATATAGAGTCGAGTCAAGCCACCGAGGCCAGGAGGGAATTGGTTGGTCAATGACTCATGTAGCCCTAGTTGATCATTATATTGTGAATAGCATCAACGTTCTAAGCCCAGATCTCTGCCCTTGTTATAATTGGTGTGAAGCCGGACTGTATTGTCAAAGCAAATGCAGTACCACATTTGCATGTCGAAGTCCCGACCACTAACATGAAGTTCAAGGACGGAAAGCTATACTGCTTTGTCAAGAAAGCTAGTGCATTAGACGATGACCATGACGTCGCCTAGTTTCCTCGACTCCGGGCCCTCTGAGACTCGTATGCCGACGCTGTTGCTTCTTAGAGTACCTAAGGTTAAGTCGTTTCAAACGAGGCTACGTCTTGAAAGCCGTCCGTCTGGCGCCAATAAGAATTGCGATTTGCATACATCGGCAAGTAGTTACTCAAAGATATGTGGGTTTGACATCGCAATACTACGTAACCCTCATGCTTGCATGCGTTAGCAGAGGACAAGCTTTACCTAGGTAGCATTTAATGAGTTAGTAGGTTAGATATTTATATAGCAGATTAAGCTCACATTATTTCATCCCCGTCCAACTAGATTGTATGGATAAGTTGCACTTTGATAACCAATTAGTGCTTGTATGAGAACGTTTCAAGTTCTCAGCTCAAGCTAGATTAACCCAAGTCCTACCTGATAACCCTGTGTTAAGCATAAGGGTATTCGGCCTACACCTCATACTACCATGCGATTAAGAATCAATGGTTGTTGATATAGATACGCCAACACGTGCATCCTCTAGGACGCGCCGGACTGCGAAAGTGTCCAAGACTTTAATTATCTTGAAAGAGATCGGCATTTTATATCCCGAAAGAGAAAGTCAGGGGTCCACAGCTGCTTTCAGCTCTTGGTGAAGCTGGAGGATTCCTGCCACGATAGCTTGCGCCCCAAACGCGAGTGATGTTTTCAATTACAGCCAGGTAATAGACGCAACATTTGCAAATGATTGCATACCTTAGGATTGATATGAAAAGTGATCTTAACGCAGGAACCACGTGAATAATATAGGAATCTGGAAGAGACCCTTTTTAGTTCTACTTTAATTTAGGAGTACGCCTACACTAAATGATAGCTTGCAGCATCGGTGCTAAACCTTTCCGTAGTTGGTCAAGCGAACGCTCAAACGTTCAACGTGCTTTTCAGCTGCCAAGCGGTTAGCATTTCACGATGGCATGACCCCTGCATCATGACCACCCTTCTGAGGATAGGCATTCCCAGCCGAGTTTGCGATGGGGAAGAAATCCCACGGTGAGAGGAACGGGCGCGGCAAGTAGGCAAACTTCTCCTCCTCGTCGCTCATTCCACTCTTTTTGTTGGTGTTCGTGTTGACCATCTCAATTTGCACAAACGCTGTCCGCTCTTTTTTGCTTCGTGTCGCTCATTTTTCAGTCGCTGTTGCGACTTCACTTCGCAAATATGCTCGGTTCACGCGCTTTCTTGGCGCTAGTTGGTTGGAGCGTGTCGGCTGCCGCTGCTACTGAGGTTGTATTCGTGACGGATTTATCGATTTTTACGGTGCTGGTAGGTCCATTTTCTTTCGACGGAATTGTCTAGTCTTCTGCCACAGAGGAAAGCAGTTAATGCGCCGCTACATGGAGGATATCGCAGTGTTTTTCTACCCTCTGGTTGAGCCACAGCGCTCATGAGACTGTTTTCGTTGGCTGCATGTTCAATGTGAAAGACAGTTTGATTGGCTATAGGTTGTCTGTGGGCATTGAATACGTACAGATGAAGTGACTCTATATCGCAAGTCGTCTAACAGATCGGTGTAGGCACCCTGCGCGCAGGCTGCCGTCTCAGGAGTCATAGACTACGAAACGGTCTCTCACTGTCCCTCGGGAGCGAGTGCGCTACAGTCATGCATCTGTTCGAAAAACAACGGCGGCAACTTAAAATCAATATCGAGCGCCATCTCTGAATCTATTGACTACAGGTGTGTACCAGAACACTTATTCCGTGGTCTTGGATCTTCGTTGGTGAGAACTTCGACAGGGCTGTAGCTAACATCTTGACATAGTATGTGACCTTATCGCTTCCTAGGACAGGAAGCAAAAGGACTCGTGCCTTGATCCTTCGAATGTATCCGCCTTTAGTGATAGAGAGAGACTATTGACACCTCTTAACAGCATGCGGTTCGACAGCAACTGATGATCACGCCAGTGCCTCCACTGTGCTTGCCGGATACTGTAACCAGGCTGCGATAACACCCTTTCCAGAACCGAGCCATATTGTCAATGATTATATCGTGGATTTATCGGCCTACCATGATCTCGCACCGTGTGCTCAAAGTGGTCTTGCGGGAGTGGTCTTGTAAGTTTGAATCTCAGTGTATATATCCGATTCCTTGTGTAAGAAAACGCTGACTGTCTCAGGGGTATGGTGAGTTTGATCTGTCACATATATAGGAGATTTTGTCTAACTTCGCAATAAGACCTGGGATCGATGCCAAGAGGATGCCAGTCTTCTCGCAACGTGCGCCTGTGAAAAGAACCAGAATTCCGCATGGGCCAGCGCGCAAATCGACTCGTCTGTCAAGTATTGGTGCGACAGCCACACCAAAGATGTTGTTTCGGCTCAGGGTGTCTTTTCGGGTTACTGTGGTCTGGTGGATGGGACGAGTGAATTCCCCGAGACTACTGATCCTCCAGGAGACGGTTTGTGATTTGTCACCTCGGCATTTTCACGAGGACTAACAGATATTGTTTAATAGTGAATTACTATATCACGGCTCTACCACAGTACAAGGCTCTAGCATCCTGCGCCCAGTCCGCTGTCTCATACAATGTCCAAGCCGTGAGTTATGGAGTCTAGATCTGCTGAGGATGAGACTAACGTAAAAATGTTAGCAAATGTCGAGTCTCTGTCCTTCTGGACCTAAGGCATTGGCCTCGTGCTTGTGTTTAAGAAGCGAGATGACTGGAAGCATCAGCAGCTTGATTACTTCGGATGCCCGATATTACTGTGACTCGACCGCTGCTGACGATATTTCATCAGCTCTCGATGTCTGGGATGTTTACTGCAGTGCTGCGAAAGGATTGACAACACCTGCCGGCATTACTGAGACTGGTGAGTCAACGAGGCTGTGTTCACATGACTTAGGGACATATGGAGACTAACATACCATAGTATCACAGAAAGGCGCCTCCTCCACCGCTCAGTCCGAAACTCGTTCAAACGGAGCACAGGAGACTAACGCATCCGGCTCCGGAAATGGTGCTAATAGCAACAATAATAACGATTCCACCTTGACGACCACCAATAATGCAATGCCAAACACTGGTCTAATAGCCGGAGCTGTGGTTGGTGCCGTAGCGGGCACAGCACTCATCGCCCTCGTAGCATTCTTGCTGTACCGTCGCTCGAAAAAAGCAAAGCAGGCGAACGTTGCTGCCCCGACTGTGTCGGATACTGGAAAACCGGAACTCGATAGCACGTCTGTTACTCAGCCACCGACCGGCAGTCCTAGCCCTAGTATAATGAAAGGCCGCATGGAAGATGTATCCCCCGTTTCCGCGGTATCTAGTCCTTACGCGCCACCACCGATGCCAGAACTACACAACCAGCCTCCTCCGACGCCGGAACTACTGGGACGAGAGACACAGCGAACTGCCTACGAGGCCTACAGCCAGCAGGTATACGAAGCGCCGGGACAGACTCGACCGGTGATATCCGAGGCACATGGCCAACCAATGTCTGAGCTCCAAGGCATGGGATGGCAGTCTGGGCCTATACCACAGGCCTACGAGATGGACGGCAGCGATATCAGGAACCAGCAGCCACGGTAGCACGGCTTGAACGGTGAATCAAAGTTATGATTAATTCGTAAGATATTCTTGGTTTGTTTCGTCGGTTTGGTGATTCGGAACATGTACATACATACAGTAATAGAATGCCCGTATCAGAGATAGACACTCGGGGGATCTGGGCAAGACAGATTGGCAGACGCCAGCTGAGCTTAAAACTCCCTAACACCATATCGGGAAGTGAATCCATCTAAAAAGAAATATCGGGCGGTACCATTCAATAGTGCCGTTCCAGTTAGGGATAGTGACATGTCGTACTCAAACACGCAATTTCGGGATACAACACAGGTTTCACCGGTACGATATGTGATGAACAGTATTCACCGCAACACCATGATTGCATATGGACAGTGGAGCCGAGATCCGGGGGTTGATACCTCTCAATGGCAGTCCACGAGAGTTTGCTGTTATACTTTGGGCACTCTTGCAGTCAGAAACTATCCCTTGGCTTTATGATACTCTAACTTTGAGTGAGAACTGTGATTTAGGCACGGCACTATTGAACATCGCGAGTCAATTTCACAGAGGGTTTTGGTGATCTGGGAGACAAGCCTACAATCATGGATCCTGAGGTATAGTATCTCTCAAGCCTGATCCATTGCATGAGGATTAATCATGCTATCAATCATATCAACGGATTTATTTATCCAACGATATGTTAAGATACTAACAATAAACGTTTTCAATGTAGTCAGGCGGTTCCTCCTCTCTCGAAGCGGTTGTCGCTGCTCTTGTCCCAACCTCAGTGAGTTCATAGCAACACGATACCATTGTCATATTGGAACTTATGAAGTTAGATTGCAGGGTTGTCACTTGTGGGAGTATTCTTCTTAGTCCGGCGGAGATTTCCAATCCTATATGCACCCCGTACGTTCTTAGGAACCATACCGGAAAAGTAAGTTTCGTTATTGGATCTGGTGCCGTGGCCTAATCAGAAGCAGTGACAGAACACCCTCGGTCGGATATGGCATTGACTGGCTGCGTAATATGCGAGAACTTCCCGATAAATTCCTTCTATACCATGAGTCCTTAGATACCTATCTCTATCTTCGCTTTCTACGGACAATAATATTCATCTGCGTTGGCCTGACATGGCCTATCTTAATGCCAGTGAATGCGACAGGCGGCGGATCGTCCACCGAACTCGACAGAATCACCATCAGTAATGTCACTAAGACAAATCACCTGTACGCGCACGCAGTCATGGCCTGGGTGTTTCTCGGCTTCGTATTGTTCACTATCACTAGAGAGCGGCTCTGGCTTATCAACCTTCGTCAGGCGTGGGCTCTTTCAACGCCGAACGCTAAGCGCCTCTCTTCTAAAACCGTGCTTTTTCTTTCGGCCCCTGCAGATGCCCTGGACGAGAACAATATGAAACAATTCTTTGGCGACGGAGCCGTGCGTATCTGGCCTGTGACTAAGTCAGACACGCTGGAAGAGTTGCAGACACTGATTTTGGAACGAGACGACTTAGTAGAGAAGCTTGAATCTGCAGAAGCCGTTCTGATTCATAAGGCTAGCTCGCTGAGCGCTCATAGGGGTGCTGACGGGAAGACGAGGTATATGCTAAGCTATTCTGATATTCCTGACTTAGTGAAAATGGGAATGCGCCTGCGATCTCAGCCTAAAAAAGTTCTCTTCGGCTCCTATGTTGGACTTGCGCAAGGTGAAGAGGTGGATACAATACAGTCGCTTCGGGACCTAATAAAGCAGAAAGAGGAGCTTATTTGTGAGACCACCAGACGTTACGATGATGAGGAGCCTCATGGCACAGCAGCTGTCTTTGTTGAATTCAAAACACAGGCCGAAGCCCAGCAATCCTGCGAACATGTTAAGTCGCCGGATGCTTTGACATTGACGCCGAGATATGCTGGTGTAAAACCGAACGAGATCATTTGGAAGAACCTGAACATTCCTCCTATCCGGCGAATATCGCAGTCAGGCGTTGCCCTCGCCATGGTTGCTTCGACCATCGTGTTCTGGTCTGTCCCTAGCGGACTCGTTGGCCTCGTGTCAAATATTGACTCTCTTGCGGAAAACTTCGAGTCGTTGGGTTTCCTCAACGATCTGCCTGGACCTCTCAATGATCTGCTTACGGGCCTCGTTCCGCCGCTCTTGACTAGTTATCTAATCAAAGACGTGCCGCTTTTGTTTAGAAGTAAGTAAACCTTCCCAGTGTATTCACTTAATAACTAATCATCATATCATATTGTAGACATATTCACATCTTGTGGTGGGCCTACACAAACAGTAAATGAACTGAATGTTCAAAGATGGGGACACATTTTCCAGGTTACGCAGGTAAAAACCAGCTGAACCTTGAATCTAACTACTTGCCTAGCTAACATGTGTTGCATAGGTCTTCCTAGTAACAGCTGTATTCTCAGGAGCGGCAACGGTAGTTTCGCAACTTTCTGAAAACCTGCGAGATATGACGGCTATACCAAGATTGCTGGCAACACAGCTTCCAAAATCGTCCAACTACTATCTTACATATTTCATTGTCCAGGGAATCACATCTGCGGCAGATAACCTCTTAAACTATTCGGAATTGCTTAACCACCTCTCTTTGGAATATCTGGTCGATGAGACGCCGCGCCAAAAGTTTAAACGACATACAAGCATGAAAGACATTGCTTGGGGTCAAGTGTTCCCGAAGGTAAGATCTTCACTGTTTTTTTTTTTGAGAAAGGGCTAATCTAACGTCCTGTAACAGTTCACCAACTTTGTTGTCATTGGTAAGGTCTTATAACCTCGAGAAATCAGCGCTTGCTAACGTACCATTTAGCAATCGCTTATTCGTGCATCGCACCGCTAGTTCTTGGGTTTGCCGCAGCAGGACTTTCCCTATACTACTTATCGTACCGATATAACCTATTTTACGTCATCAAACCCCTGATAGATACCCAGGGCCAAGCATATACGCTTGCGCTTCGACATCTACTCATCGGTGTCTACATCGCGGAGCTAGCGCTGATGGGCTTTTTCGGTCTGCATAAAGCCAATGGACCCAGCGTTATCACAGGGGTGCTCTTCATTTTCACCATCGTTTACAGTGTGCTGATGAATAGATACATCTCACCTCTCGAGAAGCGATTTCCATTTGATTTAGCCTCTTCAAAAGGGAGAGAAGAGGAATCACTACCGCTTCTTTCGAGCATAGAGGAGGGCCAAGGCACATTTACCTCGTCATCAACGGCCTCCGAACTTCCTGTCTTCATGCCTTATAACTTCATGAAGTCTTGGGTCCGCGAGGAAAAAGTTCTCGACCACGAAGATTTGGAAATCCCGGACTATACCGAGGAAGAGTTGACACGGGCTTATCTGCATCCGGCTCTGACCTCGCCGGCGCCGGTGATCTGGATGCCCCGTGATCCTGCGGGCGCAAGCAAGGTTGAAGTTGGCGAGACCGAGGAGTTTGGGTTGAGAGCTAGTGATGAAGGTGCGTGGCTTGATGAGAGTCGCATAGTCCGTTGGAATTTGCACAGTATTGAGGACGTGCCCATCTGGAAGAAGGTGGTGAAATATTGAGCTCTTGTCACTGCAGGCATGCAATGAAATAAATAACACAGCTTCATTTTATTATGATAGCTATCTATTACCTACTCAACTGAAGGATGAATGACTTTAGTGAAGTGATTCCATCTGTCAAAGATCATGGCACGTCTAGTTGTGATTCCTTTTCGCGAATTGAACATCTCCAGCTATCTTTTACAAAGTACAAGACGGGTTGTGGTTAGGTACCTAGGAACATAAGTACTTAGGTACGTATTATAAGTACCTATCCATGATGCAACTGCCCAGAGGCATTGCATGGATAACAAAGTGGGGCCATTCGATAACCAAATGGTCCAAGCTCCTTTTAAGTAGCGTGGTTGCCCGAGAGAGCCAGCCTTGTCGCGCCTTCACCGAAAGCAGTGCTATGCCTTCCCTAGTTTCCTGCAACTTTCATTCGGTTGAAGGTTGATTGTGAAAGAAACGCCGTCTGAAGCCCAAGTCGGCGCCATTTCACCAACTCTTCACCGCCATCCTTTGACCGTTGCATATTGATATCGTGTTTGTGTTCTTGCACACTGCCACTATTGATTTATTTCCTAGCTGTTGGTTTAGTCAACTGCAAATGCTCTTCGCGACGCGGCGACTGTTTCTCAGCTCCCAGTAAATTTCATTCACCATCATTCCGAGACAAAGCAGACAAAGCAACCGAAGCCAGGGAGGAGAGTCAACACCCGCCACCATCGATAACCGTTATAATACCGACATCTGTGACTCTACCTCATCAACCAATCCTGCTCTACTCCGTCGTACGAACCCAAAAGCGGCTCGACCATCGATAGACCCCCATGAGGCTGCACCTACCGGCTTCTACCTAACAAGATGGCGGCTGCGGGGGTAGACGTAGGCTATCTCGCTACCCATCTGGGTATGCCGGAGACCAATATCTCGGGTGCCATCTCTGATCCCACCGCCGATTTGGTCAGCGCTATTCTTGCCGCTGTAGCAACCAAGGCCCACGAGTTCGACACCTTGTTCTCCCAGAAGCTTCAGCTCGAGGTCGAGCTTGAGACATCTGTTAGAAGCGCTGAAGCCCAACGCGATGCTAGCAATGAGACTGCGAAAAAGGCCCTTAAGGACGTAGAGGAAATCCGTCAGAAACTCAACCAAGAAGGTATCGTGACCTCTCGACATTTCAAAAAATATTCTTTGTTCTCTGGATAAATTCTCACACTCGATCAGAAACACGGCGGCAAACCCTCGAGAACGAATTACAAACACTCAAATCTTCTAGCTCGACCTCACAATCCGACATTGACTCCCTGCGTGCGCGTATCGCGTCTCTCGAAACCTCGAACCGGGAATCTCTCGCAATCATCGACACCAAAAATGCAACGAGTGAAGCGCTGTCCCAAGAATTGCAGGCTCAACACCAAAAAACACTGGAGCTCAACCGCGAAGTTACGGCGTTACAGCAAGCCGTTCAGACTGCTAATGCGGCAGCCAGCTCGTCTAAAATTCGAGAGCAAGGCTTACAGCGGCAGCTGGAGGCAGCCAGGCGCGATATTGAATGGACCGATCAAGAGCTGAAGAAAGTGAGCGCCGACGCCCTCAACTACCGGAAAGAGAAGGGCGCGCGCATTGCCGAACTCCAGCGTCAGAATGACGATGCTGCATCTATGGTCGATTCGCTCAAGCGTGGCGAGCAGCAGCTACGACAACGCCTTCAGGACGCCCAGAGAAAAGCTGATGACGCTCTCGCCAAGGTCCAACAGTTAGAAGAAGCTGCTGCCCGTCGAGAAGAAGACTTCCAGCAGCAGGTCGATCGACTACAACGACTTCATGAGTTGACGGAGCAGCAAAATGCAACCCAGAAGAATCGATTGCGCACTATGGAGGAGCGAGAGAGTCATGTGAAGCGAGAGTGCGAAGAAAAGGTCCAACAGATTAGTAAAGAAATAGCAAGCCTTAACATGGATAAGGAAGAACTTGCTCAAGCCAATGAATCATTACAAGCTGAGGTCGGCCGCTTAGAGGCTATGATTGCCAGTGGTTCTGGAGGTTCGCCGCCTGGACAACCGGGATCTGCGCCCCAGACGCCTCGACCCTTGAACGGGTCTATATATCGCCCTAGCTCACCGTTCACAACGCCGGGATCGATGCGCAAGTCAATATCTACTACGCAGGCCTTGGACGAGTATTACAAAGTGAAAGGGCAACTAAACGTTGAGAAGCAACGGGCCAACAATCTTGCCAAGGATCTCGAGGATGTGCTTGAACAATTGCAGGCCAAGGCACCTGAACTTGAGGAATTGTATGCCGAAAATGAGCGTCTCCAGTCCGAAATTCAAAATATGTCACACCTCTCTGACGAAAGTTTCCGTGAGCGTGACACAGCTAAGAAGGCAGCGCGGAAAGCGGAAAGCGCTGCCTCACAAGCTCAGGCTGAAATCGCCATTTTACGGAACCAACTCAGAGATCTCGGTGCCCAAATTCAAATGCTTTTATTCAATATGCATTGCCAAGAGAAGGGTCTTGATGAGCTATCAATCGAGGAAACTTTACATTTCCAAAAGCTGGAAAGAGGCCAGGTTGAGGGTAATGCGGATAACATCAATGGCATGATTCTTCAACGTCTGGTCGTGTTCAAAGATATCCAGGAGCTTCAAGAAAAGAACGAGAAGCTTCTCCAAGTCACGCATGAACTTGGTCAGAATATGGAAAGTGAGGAGGCGATCGCTGCTAAGAATCAAGCTGTCGAGGATCATAAAGAGCGCATCCGACTTCAAGAAGAGTTAGAAGTGTTCAGAGATACCCTGAGAGGCTTCAAGATAAAGACCGAGAGTATCACTAAAGAAAGAGATATGTTCCGCCGCATAGTTGAATCCCGTGCGTCGGCAGATGAGATGGCATCTGCGCTAGGCCATCCTGCACGAGACGGTGTTCTCACTAGCATTGAACAAAACCTCCCTGCTGATGGTGATTATCCAACTCTACTCGAGGATATCCGGAAGGAGTTTGAGGATTACCGCAAGGAACAAACCACTGACCGAAAGACGCTGAAGGAGCAGATTGAGAAACTATCAGCAGACCGAACCAGGTTACAAAGTGAGGTATCCAGGATAACTAGCCAGCTATCGCTCGCATCAGAACGGTTTGATATGCTTAAGTCTAACTATGCTGCTCTCGACAACGAAAACAAAGAGCTGCAAAAGAGAAATAACTCCCTGTCCGAGTCTGCTGCAAAGCAGGACATCAGAACACAGAATGTGGCCGAGGAACTTGTTGAAGCTAGGGCCATGGTCGAGAGCATGCGCAGTGAGAATGCAAATCTACGGGCTGAGAAGAACCTTTGGCAGGACATCCAGGATCGACTTAACCGGGATAACGAGAACTTGGTGCAGGAAAAATCCCGCCTGAATGGTCTGCTTGCGACACATCAGACGTTGCAAAATGAGCGAGAACTCGCTGATGGTGAAACGAAACGTCGTCTTCAAGCCACTATCGACAACTTAGAAGCAGACGTGGCTAGCACGAAGCGGAAACTGGCCGAAGAGGTTGAGGAGGCTAAGAAAGCACAGCTCCGAAAAGAATTCGACGCCCAACAATCACAGAAACGAATCGACGAACTCACTACTAACCTTGGTCAAATTCGTGAAGAGCTAGTGGCGGTAAAGACAAGTAGAGATCATCTGCAGAGTAGAGTTGATGAGTTGACGATTCAACTACGTAGCGCAGACGAACGCGCAGAACGACTTCAACCTAGGCCAACTCCGCGACCAGGCTCAATGGTCTCGATTTTCGACGAATCTGCCACGCAGCAAGACGGCGATGAACGCATCCAGGAACTAATTCACGAGGCAACAGACTTAAAACGAGATCTGGAGATGGCAAGATCCCAATTGGAGAATGCTCAAGGACAAGTTGAGAGATACAAGGAACTCAGTCAGGCTTCTGAAGAGGAACTCGAAAGATTGAACGCTGCCCAGGAGCAGTATACTCAAGAGATGGATAGCACACTATCCACCAAGGAAGCCACCATCAAGGAATTAGAGCAGCGCATAGAAGACCTATCTTCTGAGTTGAGCAGATCAAACAGTGAACTCTCTGCCCTACGTGACTCTCAGGCAGACGTTACCCGCCGATTCGAAGAAGAGAAAGGTATTCTCGAAGAAGAAGTGAAGCGACTCAAGGGTGACGAGGAGCACTATAGATCATCGTCTCAGTTCCATCAACAAGATCTTCGGGCTCAAGCCGAAATCGCGGCTAGTGCACAACAGGCATACGAAAATGAGGTTATGAAACACGGTGAAACTGCGAAGGCATTGTCCAATGTCCGAAACGAATACAATCAGCTCAAGACCTCGGTGGCAAAATACAAGGCCGAAGCTGAGTCAGCTAAGGCTACTCTCTTGCAGAGCGAGAGTTCTTGGGATGAACGTCGACAGAAATTTGAGCAAGAGATTTCGGAGATTCGTAGCCGTTGGGAGGATGCAAATGCGCAAAATAAGCTTTTGCACCAGCAGCTCGAGAATGTAACTGCACAAATCTCAGCGCTGCAGCAGAGCCGCGCTTCAAGCGACGAGTCACTTGAGACAATATCAGCCCAACCAAGTGGCGCAGATGCCGACAAATATCGAGAGCTAAGCAACTATCTTCGAAGTGAGAAGGAAATTCTCGAGGTACAATATGACCTCAAGGTACAAGATGCCAAGAGACTACAGCAGCAATTGGAATATACTCAATCTCAGCTTGACGACGCCAGGCTCAAGCTTGAGCAAGAACGTAGCTCTCACGGAGACAACGATCGAAACACGATGGCTCATAAAGATCTTATGAGCAAGCTAGAAGAACTGAACTTGTTCCGTGAAAGCAATGCTGCTTTGCGAACTGAAGCGCGCCAAGCTCAGGCACAGCTGACAGAAAGGATCGCTAGGATCACGGAGCTAGAGTCAACCATCCAGCCACTGGAAGCTCAAATCGAGGAGCTCCAGAGTCAGCAAACATTCAAAGAGGCTGAGATGAAGCAGTTACAAGAAGATCGTGACCGTTGGCAGAAACGCACTGAGGATATTTTATCAAAACATGGCCGGGCTGATCCAGCCGAGGTCGAAGAATTGAAGCAGAAGGTTGCCAGTCTCGAAAGTGAACGTAGTGTGTTACAAGAAGCCGAGGGTCCACTCCGAGAGAAGATTACAGAACTAGAGAACTCAATAGCCACGAAGGAAGCCGAATGGGCAATAACCCGTGAAAGATTAATCAACTCTGCCAAAGAACGATCCCGACAGCTTACAACAGCTAAGAATCAGGTAGTGGCCGAGAAAGAGCAGGTTCAACAGAAATTTGAAGAAGCTGCTAGTGAGCTTGCCAGCACCAAGGAAGAACTGGAAACGTTTAAGAAGGCCAAATCCGAGCTGGAGGAACATGTCTTAGAGTTTAAGCGACAAGTCGAATCATTACGGGCCGAGTCTCAGAAGGCGGCTACTCCTGCCACCCCCGCACCATCCTCAGAGCCTCAAGAGTCGCAGGATGCCTTGTCTAAACTTCAAGGCCAGCTTCTTGCGGCACTATCAGAAATAGAGCAGATCACGTCACAAAAGGTCAGGATTGAGCTAGAGCTTCAAAGCACCCGCGATCAGTTGAGTTCAGTTACTGCCGAAAAAGAACAAGATGTTGCTGAAGCTCATACGCAAACTAACGGTGACTCGGCAATGGAAAATGATGCTTCGACACACCAGAATGGCTCAACTGAAAACACAGTAGGAACTCAGCCATTGTCAGATGACGAGCGCAAGAAGCTTGAAGAGCAAATCGCTGCCGCGGAAGCTCGGGCTGCCGAGTGGGAAGCGAAGGCCAGAGAGCTTGAGCAAAATCAAGATACTATTGTTAAGCACCGAAGTGACAAGATGAAGGAAGCACTCAATAAGCGTCTCAGTGAATTCAAAGCATCCATGGAGAGCGAACGAGCTCAGCTCCAGCAAGACAAGGAGAGACTGGATGCTGACTTTAAGTTACGTATGGAGCAAGAAAGAAAAATCTGGGAAACGGAACAAGCCAGCCTACAGAACGACGTAAAGCCACCCAGCACACCCCAACAACCGAAGCCAGAGGCACCAGTCTCCACACCCAACACTTCTGCTCCGGATATCAATAATCTTGGTGACCAGGAAATTCGCGAGCTAGTTTCTAAGAATGCTACTATTCGAAGCATTGTACAGAACAATATTAAGAACAAGCTCGCGGCTGAGGCCAAGAAGATGAAGGAAGAGTACGAAGCATCTACCAAGGCGGAGTGGGAACTGAAGATTCTTCAAGCGAAAGATTCAGCTCAACAACTCGCTACGTCCAAGATGAACCTCAAGTTGAATATGACGGAAAATCGGGCTCGAATGGCAAATGCCAAGATTGAGGTAGTCGAAACTGCAGCGACGGAAACGCCTCAACGGCCTGTTGGGGAGGTATGGGAGATTGCTAAAAATGCAAAACCACCACCGATGCCCCCTAAGCAAACAGCCCCCTCGGCGACACCCACGAGTTCCAATGCCACCACAGGTATGTTCTTTTGTTCAACTATGATAGCCTAAGCTAATTAGCAAACCAGCGCCAACGAACCAGTCCACGCCATCCAAACCCGCTCCCCAGGAAGCCAAGCCTACACCACCCACGACCATCCCCCCCAAACCCGCAGCTCCTTTTATTCCTCAACCAGCAGTCATCAACCCATTCGCCACTGCTGCACAAGATCAGATGCCAGCAGCTAATCCATTTGCACCATCCAGTCTACCAACGCCTCAACAGACTGCATCCACAGGGATACCACAGCCTACGCAGCCGTCTGTATCACAGATTCCTAAAGCGTCTAACCTTCCCCTTCCTGGTGGGGCACGGAAACCAAGCGGCCAACAGATACCTCGTGGAGGTGCACGTGGTGGAGCAAACCAGTATCGGGGACGTGGCGGCGGCCATCAAGGACGTACAAGTCTCAACCCGTCGGTTGACAATTTTCAGCCCGGCGCAAAACGGCCTAGAGGGGACTCAGAAGTTGGCAACGGAACAAAGAGGCCACGAGGCGGTGGTCCTGCTTCATAGAACGATCGCGAACAGCGACTCTATCCATACTCATAGGTTATGTCATTAACTCGTTGTACACTAGTTCATTTGTGGCTTTGTACGGAAACAAAATATCCTTTGCTACTTTCAGAGGCGAGGTGGGGGACAAGAAAAGGAAGAGTCGAGGATACCCCTCTACAACTCGTCTTCATCAGATCTGCTGGCGTTAATGTTATATGCATAATTCTCTCTTTTGTCTGCACAGACGCAATCTTATTATTACAGATGAGCGATTTGCTGCTAGTGTATTCGGTTTGTAGGCTGTGTATTTGTACAATTCTATGGGGCCCATGTGTACTTCGCTCAGTGTTTGTTTCCACGTTTGCTTGTGATTACACGTAAGTCGTTGTGATATCATTTGTCTGACCATGGAATATTCAGTTCGATAGTTACGTTCTACCGTGAGTGGCATCTCATGAGTGTCTGATATGAATCAAATGCTAAGTGGCCGTGAAGGAGTGGGAGTGAATGCCATTATCTAGATTCTGTAACCGTACCGCAGTATTGGCGAAGTCACGCGTGAAAGACCAACGCCATGTCTGTCTTCAATCTGAAAGATCTGATATTAACGAATACCTACACTGTTCCCGGCCCCCCGCCGCTGTCTTATTCATAGCCGCCGTGGTAGGCATGTGACAGAGTGGATGGTCCCGACGTGATAACCCTACAAGTCAACCAGTGAGGTAGAATCTCGCCTAGAAAATCACCTTGCCGCTGCTATCAGTCACGGGCATCCCGCCAGGTAGCTCTCGTAGCCCTGATGATGAAGATTGGTTAGTACATGCTCGACATTGTAGAGAAAGAGGAGGGAAACAGGTGGAATGGGAAGATAAGGGATAGGTTACGTACAGCCGCTCAGGTCCTCGTTCACTGATGGCTTCTTCGTGCAAGCATTACCATTCTTGACTACGAAAATTCTGTTGTCAGCCATCATCGCCACACATGCGCGCTTACTCTCAACATGCTCGGAAGCACACCGTCGAAGCAAAAATAGGTGACTTACTAGCCTGATACGAGAGCCCATTGCACTTATCCCCATTGCAATTCGTATCCATGGCCTTCTGTAGCGCGCTTCCCTTCCATCCAAAGACGTAGTCCCCGTGGTTGCCGAACCCCGTCGCGTCCCCGTAACTCCAGACGAACGGCTGCGAGCCGTCCTCGGGCCAGTCCTTCGGGTTGTTGAAGGCCGTCGTGTCCCACACGATTTCGTAGAATAGCTGCGGGATCTTAACCGGGTGCGTGGTAGGGCAGGGAGCGCCGTTCTCGAAAGTCCCGCCTTGTGGGTATGAGACGTGGCTGCTGTGGTCTGCGCTGTCGAGGTTGACACCATCCCAGCAGCTGTTAAGTACGGGAATTATGTTAATACATCGCGAGTGATAGAAAAAGGGGGTGTATGAAGGGAAAGAAAAAGGAAGAAAAAAGGCCGCTTACGTTGGGAAGCGCAGGTTGGCCATTATCCCTGCTGGACAAGGCTTCTTGGGCATGTCGAGAGTTTCGCCTGTGCGCGTCATTGAGTTTTGGAGGCAAGTACTAGGTGTAGAAATCGTTTGTAAGCTTTGATTTTCTATGGGCATCTTCTTAACCGCTACAAAACTGCGAGAGCCAAGACGTGCGTAGTTTGTGATTTCATCAAGGGGTGACTTACTAAGTGAGTTGTCTATATTTTGCCGCCTCCTCTTGCGTTCGAATCGTCGGGTTACCGGTGATCATTCGAAAACCCTAGACACGCACACATATCGTCTTAGCATATACCTCTCAAGACCATACTAAGCCTTTCCTCCGGATCCTTCTGGTAGAACTCACGGGCTTGAACGCCGTGACCTTGGTGTTCTGGTAGCTCGGGATGTAGTAAATAGTCATGCCCCCGGTTGACTCTTCGAAGTAAACGTTGCCTTTCTGCGGCACACGTTTGTATGTGCCGTTTCGTGCGCGGAAGAAGAGGACTGCAGTCCAGTAGTTGCTGAAGTCCTCTGCGAATGTACATGTCGTGCAGGTCGCGGCGTCGGGTATGCTCAACGTCTTGGGGTCCATGGTTGCATTGAAGGTATTCTAGTATTGACATGTTAGTCAAGTGAGTCCACAGCTGCTTTCTCTATAGTAGCTGAAGTGAGAGTACGGGATGACTAACGCCCCCGATGATTTGGTGTAAATGCGGCGAGCCAACTACTCCTGGGTTAACCAACGGATCCAGACGCTCGGTCACAAGCTGGGAACAGGAGAACCGCAACAGTGCAGATCCCGGAGCGAAGAATGAGGCTAATGATAGCCCTTGGTACCATTTGAGCAACATTTTTGAGTATCACGGTGGCGATGACGGCGATGGAGATGATGCTCTCAAAATTCCAAAAGTTAATAAGAGTTGTCCAGATCGTCACGGGCTTCTTCTCCAGACGTGCGCAGTTCAAGGCCGGTTAGCCATTATATCTGTTACCTCCACAAAGCCTATTCCGGTGCCTGCGTCCTCCGAGCGTAGGTCGAAAAGTGCCGTCCGTAATCGAGGTCATATCGCATCTTTGCCGGCTGAATAGGTCCCAGCACGCAGACCAATCATTCTGATTACTCTCATCGATTTCATTACCCGCCCGCCTAACACCATTGATAGTGATTCAGAGGAAATATGTAAATAGTGAAGAAACCGAGTTAATTCGGGTTGCTACTAGTTATTGCATCTCGCAAAACCCGACTCCAAGTATCACAGTATCCTCCTATTCATGTGCATGATATCAACGGACGTTACATGACTGCGTCTTGAAAAAGGATTTAGTACGCGCCATGAATATTCAGGGGTGGACTTGTATAGCATGTCAGACTTGTTAATAAAGTACAGAGACACCAGTGGCCCAAACTTGTCGTCATCGGTATGCAAACTTTACTTCTAGGCTTTAACACCAACTTTCCAGAGGAATACGCTTTCCAATTTTATTTGAACTTGATCCACATGCTAAAGGAACCATAGCTGTTCAAGTATGCATTGTATCAACCAAATCAAGTGAAATGGTCTCCCGTTCCCGTTGCACAACCGGTCTCGCTCGTCGAAGTTCCTGGTTTTCAACCCCTAAACGTACCCGCGCCTCTCGCTGTTGATCGGCTCTCCTCGTCTGATGAACAAGCTGTCTTTGCCGTCTTCGTCGCTTGTAATTCCCTTTGATTATTCGCTAGCGAATTCTCTAGAGTTCTGGCCCGGTCCCCATTGAACTCACAGTCCCTTTCGGCCCTCGCTGCCCGTCGTTGCTGCGACAATGCGTTGCTCTTTTGCTGAAGATTACTTATTATGAGACGTCGATTCTCATCTTCGAGGGAACGGATTTTGGCACGGCTCTGATTTGCTTGGTCGTTAGCGATGTTGAGGAGGTTCATGATCCGCTTGAGCTCTTTCCGGGTTTTCTTGACCTCGCTCTGGAGCTTGAGGTTATCGTTGAATAACTCCCGGCGCGCCATGGTAGCAATGGCCTCTTCATTGTCTTGTGTCTTCTGTATATCAGCTTCTAGACGAGTGATTCGCTCTTAAAAACAGACACAATTCTCGCAATCGGAGGTTTGAACGCCACGCTCAACCAATTGCTGTTTCCATCGATATTCAAGTATGTGTTCACTGATTCTGGTCAGACTGGAAAGACTCCGACGACAGAGACCAGCTGCTAGAAGTCTGAGAGATGGGGAGAGATAGAGCAACATTATTCCAACGCATGAGGCGATAAGCACACCAGTGTATACGACGTTGCATAGTGAGTTGCACATTGTGATAGGCACTGGTCCAAACATATTGCACTGAAGTCACTAGGTTCCATTGAGCTCTGATGAGATGGAGAGAGCCGGAACGACATGGGATAGAGATGGATTGTCGCATAGGGAAAACCTAGAACAACACCATATACAACTTGGTGAGTTTTATTTCCGATAATACAACTTATTGCTTTAGACATGTCTGTGTTCAAAGGTGTGGCAAAAAGTCCTTGAGCGCCCTTTTATGCCTGTGGATATTCTGCTATTCACACTGACATGTTCCACAGCGTTAGCATAAAGAGCGGGAAGATCTAGATAACCAAAAGTCATTGACCCATGAAGTGAGCAAGGCACGAAAATTGACCTATTGATGATAGAACTCTCCGTTCAGCATCAGAATCAAATGCGTCATGGCACTTTGTCCGCTAGCATTGACCAGAAGTTTCTAATTGAAATGACACTGAGCCGAATTGCCTTTGGAAGCCTTCTGTCAAAGAACAACCTTGCACGAGACACAAGCGAAGAAGCAGGGCTAACGCGAAGCATTCTCAGTGATATGGTTATAAGCTCATTTACCATGCCTATATGTATGTAAACATGATTTTGAATTCGATTACCTTGGTACCACTATCTACTTCAACAGACAAAACTCATCACATAACATCTGTCCGGTTGTAATTGGGCAGGCTTTCATTCGGATAAAATCAGAAAAGCCTGTAATCTGCGGAATTTGTAAAGAATGAAATTTATGCATATGGAGGACTACATCGCTCTCTTATATGGAAACTCATTTCATCACGTGTAAGACTATGCATGAAGATGAGAAGCAGGGCCACTTAGATTCGTAGGCGCCTGCTTGTGCGTCTTTGATATGAGTCCAGAATCGAATTTAAGACCTTGCGCTGGAAAAAAATTTCATTATCTTTACATCGCTCAAGTAAATAGATGAGAAGTTGGTAAGTCATTATTACTTGCGCTCATGGAGTAGATGTTGTGGATTATAAGCTACATGATGCTTTTCATGTAGTAAATTATGTTCTGAAAACATGGAAAGCCATTTCTTAAAATAGCCCAATTTTATATAAGGACATTTGTGATTATACTCATCGAAACCAGCAGATTGGTGATGTAACACCATCTGGGCTCAATCCATGACGATGGAATCAAACAGGGGATATACAAAAAGGTAAAGAGTTGAGTATAATCTCAACCGCCCTTATCCTTACCACTACCACGCGACATATCCAAACCACATGTACAAGCAGCCAAATGGAAGTTGAATTGCAAGAGGAAGCTCGGCGCGCTTATTCAGCTGGGTTAGGAAGCTCATCAAATTCACGCCGATTTGCGTTGGCCAAGTTTCAGTACATCGGATGTAGCTTCTATGATAGGATATTGCAATGACAGACTGGCAGAGTTTACAGTGAAGAAAAAGCTGGGGCTCGCGTTTGAGAAAGGAGAATGTACGTGAAGACAGACTATAGGGTAGTATCCCTGTGCAAACTTGTCTGTATGCCCAAAATATTAGTGGCGAGAAAACGGCGTACCACGGGTGACCCTAGACCCTACCGGACTTTCAAATAAACACTCACAAAAAGCTTCTAAAAAGTCAAGGCCTTGACATCTTAATCGGCGCAAGTTAGGAGTGCACGGAGCTTGAGAGCATTCTGCTAAGCTGGACTGGGGACCCCGGCCCTATAGGCCAACGGAGACTCACCCGTGTTGCCCGATCGGGGTCAATACGGTGCTCACTCAAATGTTTTATTCGCGGGAAATTCTCTGAACATCCTCCACCAAACCCACCGCATCACGCAATTTGGGGGCACTAGGGATGGCATCCGGCGGCCAAGGAACTTCTACGACCGTAGAGGAAGAGACACCCCTACGCAGTGTTAAATCAGTCAATGCTGACGTCGCAATGTGGACTTAGCCTGCATTTGGCGGTTTCTTGGAAACACATATAAAGTAAACATGCCCTCTGAGGAGGCGATCAGCAACAGGCGAGTGCTGATCACCCCTGAGCCTCCAGTCATCGCAGTTAACGACAAGTCTTGGCGATGAAGCTGTTCACAATAACTGAGCTTCTCCTAGCGGTTGCAGTTCCTACTCAGGCTGCCTTTACTTGGCAGAATGTCAAAATCGGAGGTGGTGGTGGCTTCGTGCCGAGCTTCGTATTCCATCCCAACACCAAGGGCGTCGCGTACGCGCGAACGGATATTGGTGGTATCTACCGGCTCAATAGCGACGATTCCTGGACTGCTGTGACAGATAGCCTTGCCGACAATGCCAACTGGGGCAAATGGGGTGTTGATGCATTGGCGCTCGATCCTCAGGATGATACCAAAGTATATGCTGCCGTAGGCGCATACACAAATAACTGGTTGGATCCACGGCTGCATGTCCATACTGAATTAACCCGGTTAACATATCTATAGGGACCCCAACAATGGCGCCATTATTCGCAGCAGCGATCAGGGCGCGACCTGGTTGTCGACGACTCTACCCTTCAAGGTTGGCGGCAACATGCCCGGCCGCGGTATGGGCGAACGTCTTGCTGTCGACCCTGCCAACTCCAAGATTATTTATTTCGGAGCTCGCAGTGGTAATGGACTATGGAAGAGTACTGATGCCGGAGTGACATTCACCAAGGTCTCAAGTTTCACTGCCAAGGGATCATTCGTTCCCAACCCGACTGATACTACCGGCTACAACAGCGACCCGCAAGGAGTTGCATTTGTGACTTTCGACTCAACAAGCGGAACTACAAGTGGTGCTACCTCGAGAATATTTGTTGGTACGGCAGACAACACTACATCCAGTGTTTGGGTCACCGAGGATTCTGGGAGAACGGTACGCATTGTTTCATAGGCAATATCTAAGTGGATTAAAGGCTGATAAACCACAGTGGACCGCAGCCGCCGGTCAGCCCGGGACATACTTCCCACACAAGGCTGTACTGCAACCAACCCAGAAAGTCTTGTATCTCACCTACAGCGATGGCACGGGTCCGTACGATGGCACCCTAGGAGCTGTATATCGGTACAACATAACAGCCGGCACCTGGACAAATATTACACCCGTTTCAGGTAGCGATATCTATTTCGGGTTTGGCGGTATGGGCGTCGACATGCAAAGCCCTGGAACCATTGTAGTAGCCAGCTTGAACTCCTGGTGGCCCGACGCACAGATTTTTCGTTCTACAGACAGCGGTGCCACCTGGTCCAAACTCTGGGAATGGGCCAGCTATCCCGATATGAATCTGTATTACAGCCAGTCGGTGAGTTGAATGTGCTTCCAAAAGAAAAAGGAGAAAAAAAAGAAGAAAACTCAGTTCTGACTGTTACATTACAAGGCTACAAAAGCCCCATGGATTAAGGCTGGATTTTTAGATGTCGACACGAAGGATTTGGGCTGGATGATCGAATCGCTTGTCATCGACCCCCTGGATAGCGACCACTGGCTTTACTCGACGGGTCTCACCGTCTTCGGCGGACACGATCTCACCAACTGGGATTCAACTCATAACATCACGATCCAAGTGCTAGCTGATGGCATTGAGGAGTTCTCCGTGCAAGATCTCGCCTCGGCTCCCGGGGGAAGCGAGCTCCTTGTAGGAGTCGGCGACGACAGCGGCTTCACCTTTGCATCCTCCAGCGTCCTCAAGACATCTCCCCAGAAGCCATGGAATGACCCGATGTTCTCCGGGTCTGTTGGCGTCGACTACGCCGGTGCCAACGTGAAGAGTGTGGTGCGCGTGGGCGGCACAGCTGGTACGCAGCAGATGGCTTTGTCAAACGATGGCGGCGCGAGCTGGTATGCGTACGCGGGCGCCGACACGAGCATGTCAGGCGGTTCTGTCGCGTATTCAGCTGATGCTGACACTATTCTATGGTCGACTTCAGCAAATGGTGTACAGCGCTCCCAGCACTCAAGCTCTTTCTCTCGCGTATCTTCATTGCCTGCCTCTACCATCATCGCAGCCGACAAGCAGAAGAACGCATACTTTTACGCCGGATCCGCTGCTACCTTTTATGTGAGTAAGGACACAGGGACGACGTTTGCAGCTGGTGGCACTTTAACAGGCGCTACCTCCGTCCGTGATATTGCGGCGCATCCCAAGATAGCTGGCGAGGTGTGGGTTTCGACCAACGTTGGAATCTTCCGCTCCACAGACTACGGCGCCACGTTTACCAAGGTCCCAACAGCTCTCACTAACACTTACCAGATTGCGCTTGGTCTCGGGTCAGGCAGCACGTGGAACGTGTACGCGTTCGGCACGGGCTCCGCAGGTGCTCGACTTTATGCGAGTGGTGATACCGGAGCTACGTGGACTGATATCCAGGGTGCAACACAGGGCTTCGGAGCTATCGACAGCTGCAAGCTCGCTGGTAGCGGTAACACTGCTGACCAGGTATTTGTCGGTACAAACGGCCGTGGTGTCTTCTACGCATCCGGGTCCTTAAGTGGTGGCAGTGGTGGCTCGACGACTACAACTAGATCCTCGACAACTCTATCAACCACAACAAAAGCTTCAACGGCAACAACAAAGAGCACGACTACGACTAAGACGCCGACGACAACTACCACTAGTAAGACTAACACTTCAAGCACCGCGACGCCAACTGGAACTGTACTTGTAAGTGATTCTTTACAATCTTCCAACTACTCTTACAGAACTTGAAGCATCAGCTCACACCTCCTTTCTCTAGCATTACGGCGTAAGTAAAACATTACCCCGAGGAGAATATACCTTCTCCCCCATGACATCTTAGAATCCAAATTGGTAAATGCTGATATCTATGCTAACGCTTCTTTTAACAGCAATGTGGAGGACTTGGCTACAGCGGACCAAAGACGTGCGTGTCCCCCTACACATGCACCGCTCAAAATGACTACTATTTCCAGTGCTTGTGAAAAAAAGAATAGCATTGAAAATATTACTCGCCGTACTCAATCAAGATCGTATATAGCTTCAAGTATATAGTTTAGTATTAAAATTCTCCTTAAGTCGAGATTATTTCCTCAAGGGTTCATAAAGGTTTTTATAGGGGTTGCAGTGCAATCAAGAAGTAGATGAGATACTTTACTTAGCTTTCAAATAGCACTAAATAAAAGATATATTGATGAGAAATACAGCGGGCGCACGCACCCTGCCTCCTCTCACTGCCTACAGTACACCCAGTAATATCCCGATCAAGGAAAATACAACCCAAGCTGAATCAACGACCCCTTAAATACCCACCCATGAATCCTCACAACTCATCCCAACCCCTATCACCGCGGTTCTCCATTCGGACCAGTAAGAGACGAGGGAAACGCCGCACCAACAATATTAAACCCCCAAGCCGTCGGTGAATCATCATGGACCGTAGTCCGTCGTAAATCACGTATATACTTCCCCTCAAACGACCCCTCCCCGACACGATGCAGCACGGCGCGGTTATCCCAGATGACCAGGTCCCCGGGGTCGTTCCACGGCACCGATATGACGTATTTGTCCTGCGAGGCGTGGGCATTGAGCTTCTGCACGAGGGCCCAGGAATCGGGTATCTCCTTGCCGGACCCCCCGTCTTCGTCGTGCTCGATGTGGTGCAGATGCGCCCCGACGTACAGGTTCATCCGCCCGCTGGGCTCGTGGCGCTGCAGGATCCGGTGGCGCGACATTGGCAAGGGCGTCGGGTCGAGGTCCGCGAAGAACTCGGGCGACCCGAGTTTGCGCGAGTGCGCTATGGAATGCACGCCTATCAAGCCTTTCCCTGCTCCATCCCTACCTCCGTCGTCCATTTTTTCTCTTTCGTTTCCTTCCTCGTCATTATTTTTATCCGCCTTCATCCCCCCAGAGAGAATCTGAAGTAATTCCTCGCTCAACTCCTCAGCTGCAGTCCTCGAGTCCGCGAAAAGGGTATCCGCCCCGGTGCCTTTCGGCGGCAACTCCGCCGCTCGTAAGAGCGAGAACGAGGCGCGCTGCGGATTGAACGACGAGTCGGCATGGAAGAGGCCGTTGCCGCGACTCGTGTGGGCGCGCAAACTTGATGGATCCAACGGGCGCGGCGCGGTCTCCTCGCCGTCGCCGTTGTGGTTGAGGGACCCTGTAGGTTCCGTCGACACGTTGCCCGCGTCGAATAATTCGTAGAAGCCGTACCGCGGCCGGCGGCCCGGCGGCATGTATCGACGGATGGTGTCAAGCTCGCCGAAGCGCCGCGAGAAGGCCACGTGTGATTCATCCGTGAGCCCCGTGTTGCGGAATACGCAGACGCCGTACTGTGAGTGTTAGGTACGTTCGTTAACATTCTTAGCGCGAGGACGATAGCTCGTATCTCTCGAGGGCGTGAAGATAGGGGATGTTGGTGATGGATATAGTGTATTAAAAATCATCGCTGAAAAAGAAACACAGCGAGAAAGGAATTAAGAAGCCAAATTTGAAGTGTCTTTACCTTCGTCATCGCAGCCATAATCTCCGAAAACTGCTCTTCAGATACATCTTCGAAGTTCACGCCCAAGACCTCAGCCCCGAAAGTCGGATGTAGCTCCTTGATCTCGATAGTCTTGAACGTCTGTTCTTCCAGAAGACCCGGCATTTTCGCGCTACGTCCCTTTTCTTCGCTTTAATCGATATATTCCACCAATCACGAATTGATTGGATTCGTAGTGAGGGCTATACTTAGTATCGAAGATAACTAGATAACCCCTTTTCGCTGAGTTATTGTCGTAGACGTGAGGAGTTTACCTATCTTCACCACGACGGCCTGAAGCGAGCTTTCTGCAGAATAGTCCAGTTCACCATTCATCGTGTCTTTATTCAGTACATAACTACCTATACCACAAGTCATATGCATACAAGCAGCTTGGCTACGGACGAACCATGTAACTGCCGTGTGCGGGGTATGCGGCTCGATTCGGCTGAGTGAGGATACTGGACCATGGCTTGAAGATACACAAACTTAGGAGAAGTTCCCTTATTCGGATTCTAAAAGTAACCTCCAGCCGGGTATAGATATCCCGGACTGTCGATTACTTAGCTTGAATACGGAGTATTCACTGATCAGGAGGGTTGAGAGAAGTGACATGGGCAGCATAGTTTTATTTATCTTCACGACGCCCGCGTTCGTGAATAAGCCTTCTGGGAAATTTTAGTAACCCACGTATACATCACACATGCACTAATTTTAGCAGCATCATACAGTAAATTCCGGAGTAGACATGCTGTCTATGAACTAAATACGTAGATCTTCTCAATATATACACAATACGTACACACGAATAGCTCTGTCTGGAAGTATAAAAGTTGCAGGCTGGGCGGGGTGTGGTGGTACGGAAGAACGGGTGTAAAATACGCTTTCCTGGTTTCACCGTCTCATTAATTTTAGTACCCATGCCTCCATTATAGTCAGGGCTTTCGCACCAAAACTTCAAATTAGGTTATATACATCAAATAGAAGCTGCGACTTTTTGAAGCCATCAAATAATCATTATCCTACAGAGCGTCAATTTCTCGTATATACACATGTACACCGACACCACTTACCTCACAGCACAGCAGCAATTCCCAACAATCCCGCCGCAACACCAGCCGCAGCCCCCAGAATCCCGGTCTCATGCGCCGCGCCCGTTGTCTCCGTCTCCGTTGCCGTCTCCGATAATTCACCATTACCACCATCACCAGCAGTAGTAGCCGTGCTAGTATCCGCCGCCGTAATCTGCGCCAAAACCTGCGGACACGTCTGATATGCCTCGACCGTACTCACGAGCTTCGCCGCCTTCGGACACCTCGTCACCACGCTCTGGATACGATCCGAGTACTTATTATACCACTCATACCAGGTCGGCAGAAAGCTCGTGAAGGTATCCCCCACAGACCCTGTAACAGAGAATTCGCACACATCCTCCAATTCCCGCGTGCTCTGCGTCAACGCCTGCGACACGGCGCCTCCCACCAGGAGTCCCGGCGGAATCTTAGGCAGTGTGGTGACGAGGGGTAGGGCCTGGGGTATGCACGCGCGCAGGCCGAATTCAGTCGCTATCTGGTATAGTGCGGAGAGGAGATTCGGCGTCGTTTCGCGTGGCTTGATTTGTTGTTGTGTTGTCTTCGTCGGCGTTGAGTCGGGCGTCGTATCGGGCTTAGGCTCGGCGTCGGCACTGGCGCTGACAAGTGCCAGGGGACCTGATGATGCGAACAGGAGTGCCGCTGTGACGGCCGTGACGGAGAAGCGCATGACGGCGGAAAGCTTGTCTCGTCGCGTGTTTGTTAGGTAGTTGATAAATGGCTGGTCTAAACCAATTGAAGTACTAGCGAATAACAGGCTACCTATTAAAAGCGAATTGCGAACGCCTAATATGAGTACAAGAATAAATCAGCAAAAATATAGGAAGAATATTCTCCTCAGAGCCGCGCGCTCATCTTTCTTCCCTTGCGCCTGCGTTGGTCGACATGACCCCGGATTGCGGGGATGCGCGATGATATTCGACGCCGATTCCCTAAAAGGGGGCTATTATGACGTGGGGAGGAAATCCAGCATTATTGAGACGCTGGGACATCATAGGCTGAGAACCTAAGACATGGGCTGGCATGGGGTAATTAGTGAATCTGGGGTAGCTAAAGTGGGAATAGCCATGTCTCTCCCGTATTTAGCAGATTAGCATCACTTTCCTAAACAAGCTGACATACAAACGCATCCATTCTGATTTGCCGACGGCTTGGCTTTAGATGCGTAAGTACTGAGTACGAACGCCGAAACTCACCGTGCCATGAACACCGGGGCCCTCGGGGGGCAGTATCACGATATGACTCGAGGCTCAACCTCAGCTAATTGCCAGCCACAGATCATCAGCAGACATGACCTGCGAGATTCGCTCCACTAGATGCCCCCCTGTTTCGGCGGCGCATTGTATCACTCATGCTTAGGAACGCTCACATCGTTACCGCCATTCAGTAGTTCACAAGTGATACTGAAGGATGTCACCATAGTCTCTGAGAAGATTCACTAGAGTACAGCGCACCTAGCCCGGAGGAAATAGGATCGTCAATTGTGGTACCTAGGTTCATGTAAGAAATGCTAATCAAAGAACCTACGTCCTCATGAAATGATCCTGACCTTGCCCCAGCAAAAGACAACAATACACATCATAAAATCGGGCTGTTGAGTCACCATGGCAAGCACTCGCTGCCCTCTGTTCTATGCTGCTTCTTTACTGAATTCTTTAATTGAGACACCCTTCACATAGTTCATCTCAGCTGGCAAGGACTCTACGCCGGGTACCTTCAAGTCGTCCTAGGTATATGAGCTCAACTCGGAATCTTGGGGCAGGATTGGGTTTCGCAGATAACTTTGCCTACTAACAGTCAGCCTGTTTTGGATGACGATACGGAAGAGTAACGCCGCGGAGATGGGTATGCTGTTGCACTCTCCCTTCACTTTGGCTCATTGGAGTCGCTGCGCAAGAAAGGGTTGCTCTCTAGGCCGTCGAGCAGGTAGCCTCCTGAACCATCCCGACCAGCTGCAATCTCGGCTTCTGGGTCCCAGTCAGCCCTTTTCTCGAGCCATTTACCGCCAAGGTACAGCCGTATGCACGGGTGCTCCGGCTTCTGTTGTTTCGACTCAAAAGGCACGAGTTTGGCATTGTTATGATCAATGGCGCTAACCGTGCAGCCGCAGGCCAGACCGGGTATGCCTCCCTGGCGAATAACGTCTTGGGACATGGCCTCCCATCGACGGTGTTTCTTTGAGAGGCTTTCGTTAATGAATACCGCACGCGCCTGAGGTTGCTGTTGTGATTCTGGATCAGCAGTGAGTCTGACCTGATGAGGGGGGCATTGCTCGCATAGGCCGTGGGCATATCCGATGTCGCGGAAGTACCAGATGCGGCTTTTCGGGAGGAACAAGCTAACACTGAGAGTATGAATAGGAGCATCGCCAAAGCGTTCGTAGTAGAATCCTCCTGTTCTGTCAAGATGTTCAAAGTAAGCTCTATGCTCCTCGCTGCGGAAGAAAGCAAGAGATCCAACCTCAAAGTTGGAATAGAACTGGCAGTTGTTGTACTCAAGACGGTCGAAATCCCTTGTGTCATCGTCAATGGTGGGCCGCGAAATACCGTTTCCATGGAAAGGCTCTTGGAGTAACCAGTCATAGTCGGCATCTTCATGGATCATATTCTTGTTGTTCTTGATGAACATCTTCGTCCTGTCCCATAGTGAAGGAAAAGACCGTGCGTCATCAAGAATGGCCATGTTGAACCCGTACGCCATGTTGTTGTCACGCATAAAGCGAAACACATCGTAGTTAATGTTGCAGCTAAAATCAACCTGCGATAACGTCGTTAGATTGCAAGGATACAGCAGTCTCAACACCAGACTTACTCCAGGCTCGACTCTCCAGAAAAATTCGTAGAAGGCAAGACGCTTCTCTCGAGCAAATAGGCCGGCATTCCATCGACACATATGGTGATAGCTTTGAAGCCATGCCTTTCCGACCCCGATACTTCCCATGAATTGGCGACCAACGTCGAATCGAGTAGTATCAATCCAGGAAGGGACGCTCCAGTGTTCTTCGGGAATGATCTCGAAATAGCACTGCGAGTTAGTCGCGTCTCGAACTGCTGACATGAATTCACTACTAAATTCTTCATCGTTGAAGAAGATCCAGTCGTACTGATGGGTCGAGCGATTGTTGAACCGAGCTTCGAGCTGAATCATGCTGTACACCATCTCTTCGACCTCGGAATTCCGAACTAGGGCAATAAAGGCTGCTTTGGGACGTGATTCCAACAGCGATTCTTGGTACTGCTGGGGCATCCCATCTACGTCAGCAATGGTATTCTGACGCAGCCAGCGTAATGGGTCGGGTCGCGCCGAGGTTTCCGGGCCGGAGAGCTTTGCGATCGGAGGGAGGTACACGTCGATAGTGGCGGCTTCTTGGGCCATTCGTCTCGCATGGTCTCTACGAATGACCCAGGCACTACCAAACAGGATGAAGACTAGGCATAGGAGAACGAAGAATTTCCGAATTGAGAAGGGCCTATTATCGAGTCCAGTATCATTAATATAGGCAAGACTGGGGAGACGCTACTTTAATGCGGAGAAGCCGACTCACCGAACGCGGCGTGTAAGAAAAGACCAGCTGGGTCCTTGCTGCTTGGTGTGAGAGTCATCCAGTAAGGAAGTCGTAGTGCTTGCTGGGTTGGAGAAGTCGTCATCTGGAGTAGCGAGACTCATGGGCTTGACGGTAGGATCGTCGTTGCTTGAAGTTGACCATGTAGAAACGTGACCGCGATTCACACCTGGCCGATGAGCAACGTGCGCACCCGATCCCGTTGCAGTGCTCGCTGTAATAGCTGCATGACGATGGTAGGGTGCAGGCATTGCTTTCTGCCTGCAGGACTGTTGATGGCCTTGTCAGCAGCGTGGAAAGTTCATGAGGCGAGGAAAGAGAGAAGGCTGGAGAGAGGCAGTGACGGAAGTCCAAAAGGGACAAAGCTTGACACGCAAGCGAGAGAGCTGAAGGAAGAAGTACTGAAGAAACCTACATGTTCCGAGTAATGTACGGTCAGTTTGGTGTTCGGGCTTAATGCTGGGGTTGTTCAGGAAGCAATCACGATAGTTCCAACAAATATTGAGGCGGGCTCTTTGCCAAACGGAGTCTCAAGCCTCTACCAGAAACGATTGCGACGCGTGAGAAGCAGCGAGAAACGCAAGACTGAGGGGTAAAGAAAGGAACGGGCCGGTTCTATGAGCGATTGCCTAAAGAGAACCAAAGCTTGGTGAGGTGATATTGCTGATGCGGTGTGTCGTGCTGTGCGATGTGGAGGCAGCGTGAAGAGGGGGAGAGCGTTGCTATGCAGAGAGAGGTGATGTAAAATAGGTGTGTGAGGTGGAAGAGGGTGAAGTCGGGGAGGGGGGGAAAGATGTGCTGGCGGTTGATGTTGGCGATAAGGGGATATGAGAGCCTCCTCCAAACTCTAAGTCACTTGGTGTCCGAGGTGGGTTTCAATAGTGGGCAGAGCAAGGTCCAGGCAGTGCTTGGTAGGTGTCATAATGGACGGTCCCGTCACATTGAATACATGGGAGATACATGGTGAATACATCTGGTATCTCCATTGACAGGAAGTCGGGACCTGCGTCAGAGGGCTAGGGGGCACGGATCATCCGTAGAGGTCTTCACAGAAGGCGACAATGGCAAACACGACGCCCATCAGCGCTGATTGATAAGCCGTCACGGCACCATAACCACCAAAACAGCCTCATCACATGCCCAAGTAAGTAGGTGGAACAACGTCATGTCTGTCCAAGTCAAATCTCTTACGTCCTCACTTTCTGCACCGCCCAATGGCCTCAGTTCTTCGCCTGTCCTCGGTAGGCCATTTGCCGCCATGCTGTCTGGGCCATTACTCAGCTATAACAGCTGGTCCGTCCCCTTTAATGGATATTAGGTACATACCATATAGGCATCCATGGGTTGAAGTCCAACCCGAAGCTGGGAGCCAGCAGCCCATGCTCGTGTAGCATGGGCAATCTTGAGAGGCAATCATGCTGCTGTGTATCAAATAACACTCACACCGCCAAAATTACATCTGAACCCGGTAGATGTGGGAATCCCACATGAAACTGACATAATGACACGGACTGCCACTCTAAGCATGCTTTGTTATGGATTATCGACTGTCAAACGTATATCCATTGAACCAGGATACGTTACCCCCGAATTGTACAATCACAGAGCCAATTCTCTGGCCTATAATAATACATTGATATCAGCTTCCTCGAGTCAAGCCCCAATCACCAACCCGCTAGCTATGTGAGAGAGAGCGATAAACCCCAATGTAAAAATACTTGTCCTAACCCAACGCCGGAACATGTCATGGCACTGTCGCCATTGCCCTCTATGCCTCTTCAAGAACCATAGCATCTTCTGCTGCCGGATCTTCCTCGAGCGTGAGGTCTAGCACACGCGCATACTGCACAGTAAGTCGCTGTAGTTCCCGGAATTTTCCTGTGTAATCTCGTCAGTCCCCACTGAAACCGTAGGACCGGGTCCATTACAAACATACCTAGGATCATTACTACCCCCTTGAGCAAGTCTTTTCTGTCCCACCCGCAAATATCTATTTCTTTGCTGTTCCAACCTTGGCCCTTGTCGTCCCCCTCACCGACCTTGTCTTGTAAGACACCACCGAGGAGGCTGTTCAGGAGCTCTTCGACTTTCCCACGGTGGCCTTCTGCCCCGATACGCTTCGCATACATGAGTAGATATAGTCGAAACTCTTCTTTCGACCCAAGCTGAAGCGCCCCGGCAATACGATTTTCCAAGTGAGCAATGCTTACACTGGATTCGAAGCTCTCAAACCCGTCCTTGGATAACAGTGCTTTGATGAGTCGCTGGAGCGTGTAGGCTCGACCCTTCAACAGGAATTCATTGGTAGTATGTCTTTCTAAGAAGGGAATAATGCCAGCTGAGACAATATTCTCATCCCCTTTATCATCTTTGGGTGTTGTAGAGCCAACAGCTGTGGTCTGAAGCGACCCAACAGAAGAATCGTTGCTGTTCCAGTATTGGCTCCCAACAGCCCACCAAGACTCCGAGAGGCGTTGCCAAATATGCATTGCGGGGCAGTAGTGGTAGCCATCTCCATTGGTTAAAGTTACAACTATCCGGCCAAGAGAATTCAAGTGCGCCGAGGTAACCCCTGGGGCGGGCATAGCGCCGTGGGGTTGAAGGGAACTAGTGGCGATCTCGAGGATAGGTCCTAGAGAGACGGGAGGGTGAGGCGAGGAGAGGGTTTGGATGTTCCAAACATAACACATACCAACTGCTGTAATGCACAGTAGCCACCAACCGCGGCATTCAAGAACGACCGGTTGGGACTCGAGCACCATAGCATTGATCAGACGGCGGCCCGCGGGCGTCCATGTATAGAGACTGCCGTCTTCACACGCAGCGGCCCAGAACTTTTTGCTGCCTGTCACTAGAAGAACCGCCCTTGGAAGATAGTCTTGCCATAGTAGTTTCCCACGTTTGGTTGCTGTAATGTGTGACGGATCTCGCAGTGATATCGGATTTCGAGCCTCCAGAATGATGTTTTCTGGAATCTTCGATGCTTCTTCTAGCGTGGCATCCTCGAGGAGAATTCCTCGTTCTAGGGGTCGAAGAATATGGCTCCTCACTTTAGGCACCGCAAGTCGAACCTGTGATATGGCTATGACAGGACTCAGCACTGCAGGTCGAAGGAATTCTGGCGTAGGGGCTAGCCCATGTCTAGGTGGCTCGAGTGCTGCATTCTCGAGACCGTCGACGCCGTTACGTTGGATAAGCCTGGGCCCGGTGGATGGCCGTTTACTTGGGTTCTCTTCATCGTCCTCTCCCTCGACCGCGATAGCTTTTCTCTTGTTACCGAGGAGCATGGCAGCCAGGCCACCTTCAGGAAGTCCGTCGTATGGCTTGGAAAGGTCTAATATAGTCTGCGGTGTGTCGTTTTGTGTCGTTTTAGAAGTGCTGGAACCAACCAGCTGTGTCTGGGGAAGAGAGGACTGGCCGGTGCCGGAGGAGGATATCAGCATCGGTGCCACCCTTTTTTTACCATCCTTCGTGATTGTAACTCGGGATTTGAGTACGTTGATTCGCTGGGCGGTTTTATCAGCTGCTTCTTGCGTTGCTGCGGTTTGATCCTTTTCTTTTTCAGGCTCAACTTCGGCTTGCCCGGTCGTAGATGGCGGCGCGGTGGGTGTAGCAGTCCCGGTCTTCACGCCATTGGTAGTTGATGCAGCCTTGGGAAGTGGTTGAAAATCACCCATCAGAGCGCCCATCCTGGATTCGGCACCTTTCCGTTCTCCTTCTTTACTATGATTTTCCAGGTGCAGGCCTTCAACATCCTCAGCGATACCCATAGCTTTGCGGGATGCGCCGTACTTTGACAGCGCTTTATCCGTTTCTTCAAGGTTTGCGACCCATCCTAGTTCACCAGTCTCGAACTTTGCAGTGACAATGCTTCCATCAAGGCTCGCTGCGAATATAGTTTGCCCATCGGGTGTCCAAGCAAGGTCAGATATAGATTTTGAAGCCAAGTCTTGCAATATCACTACGGGTCTAGAAGTATTAGTGTTCCAAATGCTCAGGGTTTTATCCTGGCCGGCAGATGCAATGACCGTAACAAGCGCACCGCCAGATGACTGGCCATTGGTGGTGCCACTCTCAACGGGCTTTTTGGTGTGGAACAACCGGGGCGAGAACATGCAGACCTCGGTTGGGCCTTCATGTCCAACGAGGTTAATCTCGCTGTCCCACCTAGAGCGTTCAATGATAGCTACGGAACTAACAGGGCCATTAACAGCATTGGCCGCAGCAATGTGGTTACCATCTGGTGACCAAGAACACCGTCTGAAATATGTTGTTAAGGGAGAAGATTTAAAAGGCGCGCTGATAGTCGTCTCAAGCTGAAAGTTATTAACCATGTCATGCTGAGTGGCATTGGGCGCTGGCGAAGTAAATCGGAAGATCTTGATAGAGCGGTCGTCGCTTGCAGTGGCAAAGAACTTGTTGGCGGGATCAAAGGTGATACCTTTAACATGACTCTGGTGCAAAGAAAGTATCTTGAGTTTTTCGAAGGTATGTCCGGACCAGACAACTACCTTAGAGTCGAGCCCAACAGACACCAGGATGGAGCCGTCATGGGACCATGCCAAATCCTGAACATCATTCTCGTGTCCTATCAACCGCTTAGACGTCTTCCAATTCTCAACGGGCGGCGGGCCGCTTGTGCCAAAGGGCGCAATAGCTGGAGGACCATTCTCAAGTTGATATATACATATAAGTTTATCGTCGGCGCCGGAAGCCAGATATCGACCATTAGGGGAGAAGCGCACGGAGTGAATGGTGCCCAGGTGGTGGCTCATATGGCAAAGCTGCCGGGGACCGGTATAAGAAGGATCATCGGCGCGATAGATGGCTTCGGTTGACCAGATTCGAACGTGGCCATCTAATTATGAGTAGTCAGAAAAGAATGGACTATATACATAATCAATGCGGATGGGGAGAGGGCACATACCACCGCCCGCGGTCACAAGGCGCTTCCCATCTGGCGACACATGACAGCTATACACCTCGAAGTCTTTCTGTTCGCCTGTTCACAAGATTAGCTGGTCGCGTTCTTCTCCAGGTGTTTCGTGATGGCGCAGTCGCACCTTTATGGCTCAGCCATGATGGCTTGATGATGCGCATGGTGACTTAAAGTCCAGGCTTATAATTGGCATGTCGACATGAAGCAGTCTGTAGGAGGTGCGGGATGAGGTAAAAGGTGTTCGCCGACACGTTTGAATCCAACTGTTGGGAGTAAGCAGCGACAGCAACCCGCGCGCGAGATACTAATACCGATACCGATACGCAGGTCTAGGATGGTCGAGCAGCAGAAGAAAGTGGTTGTTCTTGGTGGCCGGCGGTTTCGAGTTGGGTGTCTGAAGCCACCCGCACAGGCGCAATTCCAAGCCGATCGATCTGCCAGTCAGTCATCAATCAGCTCTTTCTCCAGTCGCGCGACGCGGCTCGAGCCTGACAGGCGGGTCTTGTCGGGTCGCTTCAACGCTTAAACTTTTTGGAAAATGTCCTTCATCAGATATCCAACTAGCCGTTGCATGTATGCAAGCAGGGGGGTGTTCCATCCAGGTAGAGGGTATCTATCTAGAAAGTACAGGTACGAGCTCAAGGGCGGCGCATAATGCTACATGTGCTGATATAGTCGCCTCAAGTTCTGCCCTGGCAGGTACCAAGCAGAAATAAGTACCTACCAAGGTACTCATTACATGTAGCCTGTTACTTCCCAGGATGCAGTCATATGTAGTAAACAGGTATATAGGTAGGTACCATGTACTCTAGATACATATCCATGTAGGTAACAACTTGATTTTAAGACATGCTTCCGCTTCGGCTTGTTCATCTAACTTCATCCGTGCCGCCAGCCTCAGGGCATAGCAAACATCCTTCTAACTCTCGCCAGCTCCGGCCAGGCAGATTATACAGTCTTTACCCTATGACTTGAACTGCCTCGCCTTTCACACGGGACATTCGTCCTTCCTGTTCCAGCGTCAGCCATTCGCATCTTCTGTTCCTTGCTACACCAGCGCTGCTCTCGTCGTCATGGGTGTCTGCGCCTCGTGTCTGGGCCGTCGACGAAACGACTCCATTGACGAGGTATGCTACGCACAGACTGTCGCTCTGACTCCCTCTCCTCTATCCGCACACTAATTGTGTGCATCCTACAGGATGACGTTTCTCGCCTGCTTTTCGATGACCCCAATCACATACAGTACAATACTTTTGGCGACCACAACCTAAACTCTCAAGCCGATCCCCTCGAGTCGCAGCGCGAAGTCGAGGCTTTACAAAGGATCGTCGCGCGGACATCCAAGTATGCCGTCCAACTTTCTAACCCATTGATCTACCCAAATGCTAATCAGCTTTTCAGCAATCTCGTGGATGTATTCGAGATCGTCCCGCAAGAATCACAACGGGCGCATCCAGGGCTATTTTCCGAGCAAGACGCTCGTCTCACCCGGTACCAAAACATACTATCTAAGTTGTCCTCTGATGAAGGGGTGGCCGCGGCAGGTGGCAATCAAGGATCTGTTGAGTGGTTATTGAACGAGGAAGATACCCCCGATGTACCCGAGCAGAAAATTACCATTAAAGAGGGTGCTTCTGGTCCCTTGGTCGGCACTTTCGCCGATGCAGTTGCTGCAGTTGCATGAGTCTGCGATTAACGAATGATTAGATTATGGAAGCACTGCGAATGATTTGCGGTGCCGTCATAGGGACTCATGTTCCAAACGCAACACCGAAACAATATTGCATTAGGTTATGCTAACACTATACCATTTGTCACCTTCCGGGGAACTTCAATCGGGATATGGCGCGATATGAATAGCGCGGCCAAGACATGAGAAGTTCTTCGCTTCGCTCTCCACTATGTTCGAAGAATCCACTTTGGTGTAGGATTCTGGTTTGTTTATAATACCCAATCAGTTAGTTATATGAATAGAACCAAAGACTAGGCACTCTACCGCTTTCAACATTTGTGAAAAGCTTGAGAACCGTATTAGCTAATAAACCGATATATCACAGCAGCCAGCTCGTGAAGCACTCGTGTGCTTAGCAAGAATCGGCACAACTTACGCTTCATCGGCATCTCAGTTAGCACGACAGTAAGGTCATGTCATTCGGGAAGCAAGGAAATAAGCTGAAGACAAAAACAATTTCCACGAGTCCCACCTCATTACGATTTCATGGTACTCGTGGGTTAAAGCAACCTCGTGCCAATTATATACAACTAGAACCAAGCCCAGCCCCGTCTCGGCCTGCATACGGTTGTACCGTCTCGGCACCGACCTAAGTTGGCGCTATTGTATACCCACATGAAAATATGCGCTCTGTACGTCGATGGATACGCTTCTCAGGTTCGCGAAGATCCCAAGACCGCGCAGAATAGAGCCAGTCAGAAAGCATGGGGCCGTATGGGGACGCGCAAGGGTCGACCCATCCCGCTGTTCCTACTACGTAAATTATCTCCTCTCGGCTGGTCTTCGAACTAGGAGTAATATTATCCGTCTTGCCTCCCTCCTCTTTTTATCGTCTTCTTTCGTATCGTCAGTCGCTACTAGTTAAGACTACATCAGTCTCCATCCCCCACTCTTTCACGCAAATACTTACATATATAGTAAGTCATTGGAGATGGGTCTCTCTACCTAATGGAACGAGGCACAGTAGTGTAGGAAATTTGAAGAAGCAACGCGCGCATTTGAACTAGGCATTCGAGCCCCCATGTCATTCGTTTCTCTCTCTTCCCCCATCTTGGTTTTCCCGGTTTGTCTACACGATTGGTCTAGCTACGATATATTGCGAAATGTTCTGTGACTTTGCCGGGTCATGTCTCCGAATTTCTACCAAGGGTCCAACCTATGATGCTGTGGCAAATGTAGCGTTTCTTTCCTCTTTCCCCTTTCTTCTCTTTTGTCTCTCTCTCTCTGTTTCTCTCGTTCACCATCAACTCGACCATGCCTAATGCGACGGGATGCGTGATTTGTGTGTGTTCTGTGGAAACCCTGAAACGATCGTGTTTCGACACCGATCAGACAAGGGGAGGGAAAAGATAACAGGAAGGGAAAAAAAAAAAAATTCGACAACAGAAAAATGAAAGCTCCTCAGAAAAGATACAAAATGAACGGTTTCCTAATTTGGATTTCGAGCGCTTTAGAAACCCCATCTTTGAAAGTCCAGTAACCCCCATTTAAAACCAGTTTTGTCGACATAAGAAAATGGTCCAAGAAAAATACCCGCTCTTTTTGGGACAATTGTTCTAAGCCCGCACAATTCTTCTGTAAGATAAGATTTCTCGTGCGTTCTCTTTCTCCCTTCTTCTTTCTCAAAAGCTCCTGACTGTCCCACTCTCTTCCTTTCTCTATCATGGCCCGATCCCACGGGCTCAGTAATCCTATACCGTAGCCCATGCTCGTGTCTGGTGTTGCTCCGTCATGTTGTTGATGGCCTGGCAGACTTCCATAATGTCCCTCTCGGCCTTCTCTATCGAGGCACTGCGGTTCGTTTCTCTCGACCATCGCATGATATCGCTGCTCAACTTGTTGTATTTGCGTTGCTTCTTCTCGATATCCTTGCATAGCTTGCAGACCTCGTCGTCCCGGATCGTATTGTAGACGAATTTGAGACCACATGTCTCTCCCGTCCGGTATTCCTTGTTACACTGCTCTCGAAAGTGACCCCACCTCCAATACCCACAAGCCCAGCGTGTCTGATCGAAGAAGCACATGGTTCCTGATGTCTGTTGGTGGTGGCCGCGGTATGGAGGCGAGAAAAGAAAATTGTTGGGTGGCAGCACAAGGCCACGAGAAAAGGTGTCAAGCGTAGTGCTTGGGAGCTGGCCAGTGGCGAAGGGCCTTCCTCCTGAAAATATAATCAAGAGTGCTAACGAGGAATGAATTGATGGTGACTATAATGTTGAAACAATCGACGAGGATTGGCGACAAAGAATCCGTTTAACACCGAATTTGTCGTCCGCCAGTCACTGGTTTGATTCAATATACTGGATTCTGGACTTCGAGGCGACTAGATTCAAATGATCACTAGTTGTTCTCTATCGTGAAAGAATCATGCGATGATATTGTCTGGTGTCAATTCTCTTGCTATGTGAAGTCTCTTCGGAATTCCAGCAGTGTCATGAGGTGGTAAAAAGATATTTATAGTCCTAACTATCCATCGAGCAAGCTGTGTCAGGTCATATTGGCGTCCAATATACCCAAACCAACACAAATAGCCACCAAACAGTCGTGAATGACAACTCAGGCCCTCTCTACTGATTGAGGTTGCATGCCAGCTCGCATCATTCCCTTTTAGAAACGCTTGTTCTGGCGCTGTATGAGTGCCACGTTGGCTACGGTTCTACCTACGCCGGTTTCCCCACCAGGGTATGGACGGTCGCCCCTTAAACAACCCGTTGACGTCGAGCGTTTTTCCCTCTACCTAACAAGGCGTGGCCTAGCACGAGAAGCCAACATCGTTCTCTTCTGGCTCCCGCCGCCTCCCCATTGGCTCGATTCCATGACGTCCTAAGGGGGGCAAGGGGGGCAAGGGGGGAGGGGGAGGGGGAGGGGAGGGGAGGGAGGCACGGGAGGAGGAGGGATAACAAACCCTCGCGGACGCTACCAACATGCATGGGAAGGGGAACTATTCAGCCTCGACTACCTAACGGAAAGACCCTGCAAGAATTTTATTTTGTTCTTTCCCTCTTCCTATCCGTCCCACCTGGCATTCGATCGTTTCCCGCATGCAGCCGGGATGGGCTTACCCACTCGACCCGATATGCAGGCCACATCTAGCCCACCACGGCTAGGTACCAATCTTTGCCGTTTCGGGCCACCTACTCTTCGAGACTGGCATATTCGGACGATCACTGGAACGTGATTCAATGTTTAGACCAGGATTAGAAGTCGACCCGAAGCCAGTCAGAAGCCCGTCTCGTTCTCTTGGCAACGAGGATAGGATTACGGCTTCACGGCTTTATTCCGGATGACGTTCCCTTACTACATAATCCAGGGAAGCTCCCAGGCATATAATGGCATATGGCCATCTATATCAGAATTCTATGTTTTCGAGGACTGTAAGATGACACGCGGTTGCGGTCGACAGTTTCGTAGAGCCCACGGCTTGGATGCGCAATGTACCCGTAAACATGAGGGGGATGTGTGCCCAAGGGTCTTGCTTGGCCCTGGCGAGTTGGAAAGTGTCTTCATGCTATAATTTCTACCGACAGTCCATGCAAACTGGCATTGTAGCACTACATATCCTCACTGCGGTCGTGTTAAATGCTATGCCCAGTCATTTCTAAATGTAGTGCGTCGGCTGGTACCGGAGTTGGGGGTTCATTGGACTTGCGTGGGTATCTTGAGGGTTAAATTTCAGTGAATTGCTCGGGGAGCCAATGACACGATGACGAGAGAACAGGATAATCAGGTGTTTCCCGGCCACTGTGCTGCTACTTGTGAAAGCCACGAGTTGCCTCATTATGCGAAGAAGGCGCCAGATCACATGAGTGCCAGCATGTCTCTGTGCTGTTGCACGTCTTTTGCATCAGTAGGGGAAAGAAAACAAGCAAGAGAATTATCCCCTCACAAAGAGAGGTCTAACTAACCAGACTCACGTCATACCATTGTACGATCCCGATCAGCAAGCCACGTCGTCAAAGGGTAATGCCGTCTGGACCAGACCGAGACTTAAAGCCGCAGCCAACGGTGGAAACATGACTTATGGTTCGACTACCTGGGCCTCTCCTCTTCGACACAGGCGGCAGTAGCAGTTCCGGAGGGCTTTGACTGGTTCTGCGTGGTGGCCGTACGTATCGATCCACATATAAACCGACGGTTGGACAATGGCGAGAGATGTAGCCAAGGCGCGAGTGTTGGCTTTAATTTGTTGATGTAGGTAGTTGATTCTGTCGCAGCTATGCTATCATGCCGCAGGGTCCTGGAAACGAGGGGCCAAAGGTCACCACCAGGTATCTGCTAACGCTAGAAGATATCAAGCTTGTATCGAAGCTTCTCCCAGCCCGACACAATATACAGCATAAGGCGCAGGCCATGGATACTTTCCTTACCAAGGATGGTTGGGCCCGCGGCTTAGGCGCGACGTGGCAATGTTTTTATGGCCGGCTTTGGCCCACCGCCACGAGCTCAACCCTAGCACACAAGAGCTTGAGTCGGGCAACCATCAGAGATACTTCTATACTTATTCGTGTTGTTTGTATTTGTGTTTCGGATTTGTTTTTTGTTTTTTTAATTTCCCCTCGCTCGGGGCGGTTCAGAAGTTGGCTGCGGCTTTAGCCGCAACATCGCTGGCCGTTTCAACGTCCATGGGACAAAAGAAGTCACAAGATGAAACTCAAGATTGTTAATTAACTTGACGATGGAATAAACTAATATACAGGGGATCCATCACTTCATAACTAGGGTTTCGCTCAATCTTCACTTCAACTCTACAGAATTAGAGGGAACATCGCTGACTTAACTGACTGGTCTCTGGGCAGAAAGCTTCCTGCTCCTCCTTCTTTCGGCCCAGAAGATATATAGTGCTACGTCGCTATTTGTGTGTCAACAGATAGCCACCTATATTCTTTTGCCAGAGCAATGTTATTACGACATCAATGCGTGCCTCGTCGAGTCCACAAAAAACATACCGACCAAATAGAGCTTCTCTGCATGAGGGCTGCAGTCGAAAATCATTGCATAAAGACCGAGCGTATCTTGGTTGATCCTTAAAATCCGATTCAATGAAAATTTCAAGGTAGCACTGCGCGTCGTCTCTGCCCCTCAAAAAGAAGGTTGACGAAAGCTGGATGCCATTCTTGTGGTTGGTTTTGTTTTTATGACAATTAACGTAGAGGGTAGTATATCGTTCTCCTTTTTGCAGTTCAGCAGGTCTTGGTCGTCACAGACAGGCCGTTTATGGAGGCCAGGAGTTTGCATGCCTGCAAATAATCGTGCCGGAGACGTCTGGTTATGACACACTCGGCCCGTGCCGTCACACCTACGGTCCCCTTACGTACATATTGATCTTCGTGGGTCTCGTTCGAGTAACCATCTAGAAACGCCATACACACGACTAAGCCCTTCTTTCAGAACTAAGGGATGCTGCTACTTCGGAATGTTCGCAACCCCCAATCTAGTAAGCCCCTCCAATGTTAGGCACTTTACCGAGGAATAATACCCTAGCCACATCATAAGGAGTCATGTGTTATCAACAATATGCGTAGACTACGCAGTCAGATAATAACTTTAAAGTACCGTGCCTTTAATCCAACCCGATACTACCTCCCCATCATGGAGATTGACTTTACCTCCGTCCCGGTATGTGGCAACATGCTGATGAAGGTGGGGAGTACTACCCAATAAGCAGACCTTAATCCTTGCCGGTATGTAACAACATCACAAACAGGTAGGAATTGATCCCAAGCGTCTGCGAGTAGAGACGCTTCATCCTAAGCCGCAACAGTTGTAGTCTTGCCAGGTTATTGGATGAGGGTAGTAGTAAAAGGGCCACCATTTCGGAACCTACCACTGACCTATTTGGCGACCCTCCTGCTTCTATGCAGGTGTCGCACGTCATTATTTCTCCAGAGTATTAGCAAACAATAGGCAGTGGTACCCAAGTGACGGAGCCTGGGAGACGGTGACGCAGAGGCTGACACAATGGAATTTGCAGCTGGGTTCCAGGAGTCTCCTAAGCTGCCGTGAAACTGATGGGCGCTTTCGAACGAACCAACCATATTCAGGATCGCTGCCTTGCATCAATAACGAAACCCTGCAAGCCCTATTTCTCCGTCGTCCTCACCGTCTTTCCTTAATACCGAGCCGACCGAGCCGGTTGCGAATGGGCTGCTGTTCAATCTCCCGGTTATTATTCCCTGTTAAATCGCCTCGAGTCGAACAGGCGATACATTGGCAGGGGTTTTAGTCCTTCTAATTGCGATATGGTAAGGCATGGCTGCTATAATTGGGTAGGTAAGCTTGGTCCCAGGGCATTGTTCCCCATTTGCGATATGTAATCAGAACAATAACTAGGATCGAGCGTCCTTGTCTTAAAGGTTCAACTTCAGCTGCTTACTGCATTATCACAGCTTGGCGACCCGCAACCACCTAATGACGGTAGCAATCTGAGGCGTGGCTCAACATTACGCTGTAGCCTTGCGCAGCTAGGACCAGGACCAGCTACAGCGATTCGCGGGGTCTGGCAGCCTTGTCATGATTTGAACGCCTTGTCCGCATATGCAACTGCATCAATGACTGAATTTGGTTGTTGCACCACCTTGCGCACTGGAGCCCAAGGGCGAGATTGGCCAGTAGGGCGATTTAAAGAGTTGGTTGCGCGAGTCATTGGGCACTAATCAAGGGTCGCAACAACAAAAGACTGTATGTCGATATTCAGCGGCCGGGACTACGGCCTAGTTGACGGGGGTGCCCGGCCCAAAATTGCGGCCACCGGTCAACGCAGGTAAAGCCAAACGCCGTGTCTCATGGCGAACTGTTTTCGTCGGTTGGCGAACACTACATACGACTTTGTGCTTCTCTCGCCTTCATCCGCGCACATCAGTACGTGGACGCACATCCAACGTAACGTCAACCGATGGGCTAGAGAGAGCTTTCGCCACCATGTTTCTCGTCGCCTACTACACCGTCCTCCCGAGGTGCTCTATACCCCATATTACAGAGAGTTGGGGTTTCTAACGCTTTGACATGCTGCCCGACTAGATGGTACATGCAGGTATGTAGTATACATGGTGAACCACATGATTGCCGTGTTCTGTAGCCGAGCTGCACGAAGCCATGGAGTCCAGGTGATGCTGTTGATATGGCACAACTAACAGCCACAATAGATACGCAGCAGCTCACATCTCACGGCCAACCCGACAGCTCATGGCTAACAGCCAACGTACAGCGACTCGACTGTGTATGCCCTGTAGTCCCCGCGGTTTGGAACCTGCCAGGTACAGCTAACGTACTTCGTACAAACGGAAGCGGGCCTTATCTCGAGTCTCAGCGTTCAGCCGGAGAGAGAAAATGTGATATGTCACAGCTTGAGGTGACGTGCGGGCGAACCTGCATACCATGGGTAGACAAGTAGATTTAGACGATGATTAGGCACTCATGAGAACCAGATTTGAGGCCTAGAAATGCATGGACACATCATTGTTGTGCCACATTGCCAGAATACCTGGTTAAAAATATTTAGGCCACGAAACTTGGACGGGCTAAAGGGCTTCACCTACCCCAAATGCCCGGGACTTGAATTTGGCAGGAACAGCCAGAGCAGCCCGCACCTACCAAGGTACTTGGGTTTAATCGCTTATACCACTCTTCGTGTTGACTACATATGTACCTACCTAATCTACATCTTTACACGCATATATCGGCATAAACGGTACTTTCGACCAACCTGCTGACCACAATTGATGCGTACCTATCCACAACAGCATCGTACCATGCTCCGAGCTTGCGGGCTTCAAGAGAGCCCTGGGGTTCCTTTCTGTTCTTGGCTGTTACCTGCGGGGTAGTATCTGTTGGTATGTCGGAAGTAAAAGCTACCTTTTTGCAATTCATGTTAGCCATAAACGGGCAGACGCTTTATCTGTAGGCCGCCAATGGCATTATCAGGATATTCGTTGCCTGGCGGAATTGGAGAGAGAGAGAGACGAGAGCCTCGCCGGACAACGGAGAGCTACATGAGCCCGTACAGTGGAACGTACAGTAGTGCTACTGTGAGGTGCAATGAGGTCATGAGACCCTGGATCGCTTCAACGGCACATCACGGAGCTACATAGCTGGTAATCTCGTCCGATGTATTGATAGAAGGATCTGAGATACCTAGGTATTCACATGTGCTACATATTGAGCCCATCGAGTCCATAGGGTCCATAGGTAGAGAGAACTCCCGGGCCGTGGACACTGCGTGATGTAGGCAGGCAATCCCCTACAGTATCCTACATGTGACCTTGGCCACATGTTTCACGTGGCTTCGGAAATTCCTCCGAGATACATACATAGTACATGCTTACTGAAGTAATTATATGCTATCGGAGGTATGCTATATATACTTAATGCATGTAGTAATTGTTGCGTTGTCAATGTTTAGCATCCATACCTTTCCATTGCTACCTACCTGCCTACAGTAGGATGTTATTCTCAGGTGAATATACTTCCAAGTTCTGTTAATATACTTTTGGTAATATGCTTCTGTTACATGTTACCAAGGGTATCGCTATGTGACCCGCATACTGTACAGTAGAGGGTCGCAAGTTTGATTCACGATGAATCATGACCTACATACATACAACATGTAGAAGGTCGATTTACGCTGCCTTTGGCTTATCGTACCCTGCCTCACCTTTCCTATGGGAGATATACATGTGTCTGTCCTACGTGGACTGGGCCTCTGTGCTTCACGAATGTAACCGACAGCCAGGACTTGGGGGGCACTTATCCCAACTACATACCGGTAGTACCTAGTATATGCCCCTCGTCGGTTTCTCTTGGCTGTGTTGATCGCGCAATCCAGCCCGCCTCACTTAGCTATCTACTTACCTCCATAGGAAGTCATTTGGTAAGTACTGCATCGCTGTCGGTAGCGTGTCTTGTCTCAGTGCTGCCTGGGGTAGCACCCCGGCTTGCAAGGGGCAGCCATCCCGCATGACGTCTCATAGCCCGCCCACATCTCAAGTCCTCCGGACTCCGCCTACGAGCCCATGTCCACCGTACTGGATGTACACACTCTCCTGACCGACAGCATCGCATTTTACGCGACGCGACGCTTCAGCTAGGTACTCTGTTAGGACCATTTCATTCTTCCCACTCCGCTACCACCTAGGCGCGTCCCATATTTTGTGCCGTAGCGCAGGCGTTGACGCGCAGACGAACCACCCCCCGAACCGCTTCCTTGGCTACCGCGGGGCCCCTCGTCTATCTTATTGAACCACGACTCTTACGTACCCCGGGCGTCACTGGTATCATTGGTACCGTTCTTATCACTCCCACAAAACCATCTCTCACGGCTTTCCCGGCTCTCACGGCGCCTTCTAACCCCTCCTCGTTCTGCCCCAAGCGTTGCCGATTCTTGTTGTTGCAGAGACGCACGTTAACTTCCTTTCCATCGCGAGGTGAATCCTCCTGATAGTACATCGCAGTAGGCCACTCACGCACCCTTGCTCAGCCGTGCCGTGGACCACTCGGAGAATAGCGCTTGTGGACATGGGACATCGCACACTCACCATAGCATAGCATCCTTCTCATCTTGTCTCTAGCCGCTAGTGAATGATTGCCCTGCTGGATACTTCAACCTTCATATGCACGCGGCTGCTTCTCTCTTCCCAGGTGGGCACCGAATAGGCTAACCGAGCCAGTCTGGACTGTTACGCCGTACGCTGGTTCTAGTCCTGACCTACCCATAACCCCCCGCCGGTCGTCACCACTTTCACCTTTCTTCTCCTGCAGCCAGCTTTGTGCGGTGGGCCGATCTTCTCGGTCAGTGAGCGCGGAGTCAAGCCTCCTAATGCAGCTTACTGGGGGCCAGCCTTATGACCTGAGTTCAGCAGCTGTGAGTACAGAGTAGTTCACCTCGCCCTGGCAGCGACTAGCATGGCCGCGTTATTCGGCTACCCTCCTTCAACACCACCGCTTGCCGAATGCGGTAGTACCACCTCACCCACGAGCGGTCGTGGTGAGCTGGCCCCAGAAACGGCCACCACGGCAATTGATGCCCAATTAACCGTGACACGGGCGGTTCACGCTCAAGAAATGTGCCAGGCACAGAGTTCAGGGACTCCACATAGTTTCTCCCGTTCGACATCGGTTGATACTGCTAATACGACAGCCGCTTCTGCCGAGGTAATTTTCGCAGACCTTGAGCTAGCTTCACCTTCAGATAACACTCGCATGCCAACAGCGCAACTGAGTGGAGAAAGCTCCTTGCAGGTCATCGCCGTGGACACCTCATTACCACTATTGCGGTGGGGGCTGGACGGGATCAGCTTGGACTGTCTCCCAAATGAGATATTGATGCAAATTCTCGGCTTTTTGGACGTATGCGACCTTCTCACAACGTCTAGGGTAAGTCTGGTGTATAGTTGCCTCTATTAAGCGATAAGGCTCCTCACAACCTGAGGCTCAAAAAAGAAGAGCCTAGAATTTACCGAGACCTCTTCATCCCCTTCTCTTTTCGGGCTTGGGTGCTCGTTCTTCACCTCGAGTTTCTATACATAGCTTGCCACCAGCGCAAATAAGAAACTCTGAGTCATGAGGTGCACTCATAGAACATCATGCCGTATCAGAGTACAGGAATATTTTCACATATCTTTTCATTCTCTCATCACAACACTAAGCGCCCGTCGAAACCTGCTTGTTTAGATCTTTTGTGGTAACTAACACGACTACCTAGATCAACCACCATTTCCGGACCCTCTCGCTGGCCCCGATCCTGCACACTTACCGGTTACAGCGCGCTCGCATTCTTCTCCCACCACTGCTGACTTCGCCTTCGCGGCCTACGCTTGCACAACTTATAGCCCGGCACATCTTCCTCACGCCCACAACGCTGATCTCACGCCGGCTTGCCCGAAACCTCGTGGCCATCCGCCTGTCCCGCCGTCTGCCTCAGCGTCCCTCGGCCGAGACCCTTGTGCAACGCGGCGTACTGCCCGCGGAATGTGTGTCCAGTTGGGGCCGCGGGCCGATTGCCCCGGCTCTCGTGGCCAAGAGACGTGCGGTTGAGAAGGAGAAGCTCAAGGATGGCCTTCGACGCTGGGTTGGCGGTGCCTGGCGCGGCGAGGTCAAGGAACGTAGCGAGGGCGTGAAGAAGTGGGAGGAACGTGCCGGCGTTGGGAGAGTCTGGCGACTTCGTCGCTTCTGGGAACGCGTTGGTCAGGGCGCTGCATAAGTAATCGTGCCGAGGTAAATTTGACGAGGTCTGACTCGAGCTCGGGCGACCCATATGTACACGACGTGTTTTTTTGTTTTTTTTTTGTTCATTTGTTTCATGATTGTATCTGCTCGGCGTCTTGGATTCCCCCGTTCTCCACAGTTGTTGGATAACTAGTTGATGGTGCTGGGCCATGGGACGTGGATGATGGTCATGTGTATCTGGAATATGCATGGGACTTGTTAATGGCTGCCAGGGGCAGCGATAATGGACGCATGGAACATGATAATGAAGCTTGCTTGGGCTAGATGTCAAGTAAATTGTATTGCTATGTAATTTAAAACACAATGTACAAGTTGTGCTGCTCAAACTCGCCTCCTGTATTGGATGCGGCAACATGGCTTCGTTGTATGAATGGCACTTAACCGTTGGCATTTTATATGGATATAAACTACCTAGGTAGTGCCCGATCAGCTTCGACTTGACACCGTGGCTCTACAATGCCACATCTCTTCGATAGTTCCATCTGCTAACCTCATAGTCCCAAAGGCTTACATCCTATCTACATTTAAATCTTAGTTTTCTACATCCTGCGATAGTCCGTGATGAACCTATTCTACTTATCTAGGTGACCTCACCACAGTGATTTGATAACCCATAACTAGAACATACGTACACCTACCCAGAGACATTTATGGCATTGATCAAGAGAACAGAACAGCCACGGCATCCATAGTGATCATTTTACGTTCTTTGTATTATACAAGTCCCGCCCGGCTCCAAGGCTAAGAAGACCAATGCCATGCTATTATGTACAATGCCCACCAGGGCTATATATTTGAGCATTCCAGTCCCCTTTTTCAACCGATTATAGAATGCATATTCTTCGCACCTGAGATTCCAGGATCTAACTCGAGACCAGGATGGCGAATTGTAGTTTGACTCCTAACTCTCGCTAAATGCATGATGCCCGCCTCGATGCTATTTTGGTGTGTGGTATTACAAGTAATGGAGATAGTAGGTACCTTGGCACTTACTATCTCGTATGACGATGAAGATGGGGACGTAATCCTTCGCCCCGCCGTTTTACACGCGGAATCGAAAGCCATCCCAGTCATCCTCCTCCTCGTCATCGTCGTCTTCTTCTTCCTCGTCTTTCTCATCGAGATCGCCATTTGGCGAGTTCTCTTTCCCCTCCGCAGCACCCGCCTTCTGTGTGGCAGCAGTCCCCCGGAGGTTCATCACGCTCTCTTTGCGCAGCTCCTCGCGGCGCTCCTTGAGCCTGCGGACGCGGCCCTCGAGCTCTTCCATTTCTTCGAATTCGGCCTCGAGAGCGCGGGTTGCGTCCTCGCGCTCGTCGGCGATCTCGGCTTCCAGAGCGTGTTTCCGACGCTCGTGCTCTTCCTCCTCCGACTTGGCAGCGACCTGTGCGGCGCTCAGCGCCGGTGCGGAGATGGTCGCGTCGGCGTAGAGGTGGCTCGGCGCACTGGCGCCGTTCACGGCTGTTGGCGGTGCTGGGGCATCGAGGGCCGACATTTCTGCTTCAAAGGCAGCCCATTCCTCCTCGTTCACAGCACCCGAGGAGGCTTGTGCTGTGGGGGCATCGCTCCTGGTGGATGGCGCCTGCATTGCAGTTTGTGCCGGTACAGTGAGCGTATCGGTGGATATGGGTATTGACGCCGCTGCTGCTGAGGCTCCGGATACGGAACTCCTGTCTGAGCCGGCGAGAGGAGATCGTGTCATCGATATGGCCTTGGGCGTTGAGACGGTAGAATTAGAGCCGGCGAGAGGTGTCGCAGGCCGCGACGGTATGGCGATTTCAACGCCGTGCACGGGCGTCCCGGATGTTCTGCGTGCCAAGCCTGGGGGGGTCTGTGTCTTCTCCTTATTATTGCCTTCTACGCCAGTCCCAGCACCATTGGGCGCCGACGCTTGGCTGACGGCAGGATCAGTCTTGCTCCGCTTCGCACGTATTGTTTCGTTTTCCTCCTCATCATTATCGGACATGTGTTCATCGTCATCTTCATTTCGTTTACGCTTCTGTGTCTCCTCCGTAGGTTGGGAAGGAGGACTGGGTTGTTGTTGTTGTTGTCGCTGGAGAGTTTGTAACCTTTGCTTATGAGGTTGGCTACGGATATGTGTATCCCATAACGATTCGGTCTTTATTGCATCGTGGCACACCTTGCAGAGCAGTTTCCCGGCATCTGAGTAGGCGGCATGGGGGTGCTTGATACGGTTCTCAGCGCGATGGGCGCGTAGCAGAGCACGGGCGTCAGCCATTGCGACCGGTAACGTAGATATGTATGATATTTTCCCGGCGGCAAAGGAATTCCAGAGTCAGATGCCACTGTCGAACTGGACGTTGATGGGGATAGGCTACACTGTTGCTGTTGCTGTTGCTGTTGTCATGGAAGCTCAAAGAGAGGTGACGGAACTTGGTGAGGTCTTCCATCAGCCACAGTTGGGTTGACCTGGTACTGCCTGGGGCTTCGGAGAAATGCCCCGCGCTAAGTCCCCTGTAGCCTGTAAATTGGACTAGGCAGGTATCTGGCAGGTACTTTCTTACAGGGTCTGTCAGGTACATGTCAGCCATGCCGCCCTGCCCAGATACCTATCAGGTCCTTAGCCAGGGTACCTACCTAAGTAAGTAGCCTCCACGCTTTTCCCACGACGGGGCCATTCCATGTCTTCCTCGATCGCCACCCTCGAAGATGGCAAAGGACGGGTGATCCCGCACTCCCTCCGACAAACCGGTTCGCCAATCTCGCTATGGACGAGGAAAAACAAATCGCCTCTACCTGGCCGCCACCGCCTCCTTTCTGGAAAGCCTTTACGCCCGAGAACATCTTGCGAATTGATGCTCTACGGAAAGAGGCTGCTGAGAACTCTGGCCTGCAAGATTCATCGAATGCTCGTCTCACCAGCCTACCCCGTGAGCTGCGCAATCTCCAGCCGCCGTCGGAGCCCGAGGATGGAGAATGGCGGGTATTTGGCGACAAGTATAGGTTGAAAGATGAACTTCCACATCTCGAAGATGGAGAGATTCGCCGGCTATTCCCAGACCCTGACGAGAGGGATCAGGATGGCAAGCACTTCGACCGCGCCACCATTCTCAAAAGATTAGCCAAATCGTTATTGTTGAATTTCCTCGAGCTCACTGGCTTGTTAGCTACGAGCCCTGAAGCCGTAGGTTACAGAAAGTCTATAGTGGAATCCCATTTCTAACACGGTGGTTATAGGCAGAGGACAAGATCACGGACCTTCGAGATTTATTCATTAATTTCCACCACCTCATTAACGAGTATCGGCCGCACCAAGCACGCGAGTCCCTCATCTCCATGATGCAGTCCCAACTAGACCGGACACGAGCTGAGACACACGCGATCCGCGACGCTAAAGACAAGGCCGAACGCGTCCTCGAAGGGCTAAGTTCCCTGACAATTGAGGACCAGTTGAACGACAGGGCGCTTGAGAAGGGAGGCGCTCATGGCCCTGACGCCGACGTGTGGGATTTGTTGTTGGCGTGATATTTGGAATAACAAAGAGTCTTGGTACTCTATCGAAAACTCAAGATTTTAGCATGATCATTTAAGGCGTTGGCGTACTACATGATAGCTAGCTAGTGAACAGCTCGGCGTACGGTATAGGAAACATGGGTTATGATACCCTCAGACTCACTTAGAAGCGAAGGCTAACAGAAGAGCCTAACAATCGGGCTCAAGGACCCAATATCGCGTCCTATTAACGTCTGCTATCAGAATTGTGTGCCGTGTGCATTCCCCAACCTCTCTCGTTCCCAGGACATTTGTAAAGCTCAGTGGAATCTTTTGGTTCTTTTGTAAGTTCAATGGCCGTTGAATCGAGTCTATCTACGAGGTCATATTTGATACCGTAGAAGAGCATTTGTATTCACTTTTCAAGTCGGGGTTTAATACACCAGGATACTAGCACATCTGATCTGTTTTGGGTGCATTTTGTGTGACCACGTGCTAAAACAGCTAAGTTTGGTGATGCTTTCGAATTCAATGTGTCGCATACTGCCAGAATTGGCCAATATGGTGGCCGAAGAATGGACTATAGAGCTTATGGGCCATATTCCTATCACTCTCCCCACGTCTATTCAGATTATACCAGTCTGTCTACATCACTCGCAGTAGTCAAGCCTATTGATGGCTCAACATCTCTCTCGTCATGCTGTAGGTAGTCTGGTGTTAACGTTGCTCATTAAAGTCAAGCAGATCTATAATGACAACCTTCTGTTCGTATGATGGCAGCCTTTGTGATATCTATATCTAAGTATTTACATGAATCCACATCGTGCAAATGTCTCGCATAATACCTACCTAAGACATGTAACATATAGGGGCGAGGTATCAACGACGCTGACTCATCGTTCGCGGCATTGGCTATTTGATTCGTCGTTGAGACACCCCTTTATGTCTTTACTACTTCGTATCTACTTTCGCATTACGCATGCTGCGCCATTGTATTATTTTATGACGTTGCTAGATGATTCGTTACGTCGTCGCAGTTTCTTCGCGATAAACTTCAGGGAGACTATCAGCTAGGTAGCTGTGGTCCTTGAAATTCGACGTTGCGGCGGGGGGGGGGGGGGGGGGGGGGGGGGGGCGGGGGGGCGGGGGGGGGGGGGGGGGGGGGGGGGGGGGGGGGGGGGGGGGGGGGGGCTGTGG